GGGTAGAAAAATATTTTTTTGTAATTTTTAGCTATTGCTTTGCAGTAGCTAAAAATTTTCCTTGCAGTTCAGGCAATTTTTAAAACCATTTTTTCTGATGAGAAATAATGGAAAATGAGGAGAGACGGTCAGAGAAAAACATATTTTTTGGCAGTATTCTTGAAGGTTTTGACCGGAAAAAATGATTTTTTTTCTAGATTTTTCCCTCCGGTATAGACAGACTATAAAATAATTAATGCAAAAAAACACAAAAAAAATTTTTTTTTGAAATTTTGTTTTAAAAATCTCGATTATTTTTGCAGAGCACAATTTAGAAATGTCAAATATTTATTGGATAAAATTTACTCTAATTTTTATTAAATTTTATTTAATTTTGAAATACTTTTTTTTCATTTTTTCCCCGGATTACTGTATTTTTTTATTATTTTTCCTCCTGGCTTACTGTAGTTCCATTTTTTTACGTTTTGTCCCTTACAGCCTTTTGTTTCCGGCACTACTGAAATTACCCTTCCATAAATTATGGTCTGATCCGGCAGTCAATTTCTTCCCTCCCAATGGCTCGTTATTACAGCCCATCTTGAGGGTCTTCGGAGCACAATAGGAAAGTAATATTATTATCTCGGAAATAACCTTGACTGCAGCTGTTTTATTCGCACTGACCCCATTGTAAATACGATTATGGGAGTCGGATGTGCACTTGTTTTTCATACCGGATTTTTCTCGGAAATTTTTGGGATTTTTTTTAAATTGAAGACGATTATGACCAGCTCGTATTTTAAAACATTTTTTATTTTATTTTAAAATATTTTTTCAATTTAAAAATTTTTCGTTAAAAAAATCAAAAATTTCTAGCTCAAAAAATCGGATAAAATTCGCTTATTCACGAAAAATTTTTTTTATGAGTGCATTTTTTTCGACTCCGCCCACTTTATTCCCGCATTTCTTTTCGTTCGGTGGTTCGGTTTATAAGCTCCGCCCACTTTCTTAATCGCACTGTGCAACCGATTCGGAGGCTCGGATATGGGGGAAAATAGCTTATTTTAATGAAAAAGGCAATGAACGTATTTTAAAATGCTATATTATGATTTTTATGGTTGTAAATTTTTAGAAAAAAAAATTTTTTTTTTATTTTTTATGTATTTTTTTTTATTAAAAATATAGATTTTTAACTACATGCCGTATTTTAAAATTTCGAATTCCTTCGAAAAATAGTCTACCTATTCCATATTTCCATTTCCCGCATTTCTCAATCCCATTGTTCGAGATGTATTCCCTATTCTCACTGCCGAGTTGATCCCCCATTTTTATTTTTCTTACTCCATTGTTCTGCGGACTGTTATTCTTGGGGGATTATTATAAGTCAGCGCGAAATAATAATCCACGAGGAACGGGAAGTTATTCCAGAGGATTTTTTTTATTTTCATGAGTTCATATTATTTTAGGTAGGAAGAAATAAAAAAAAATAATTTTTCAAAAAATCGGCACATTTTTTTCTTTAATTTAATTTTTTTCGCGTTTAAATTTCTTTTTAAATCTTTATTTTTTATAAAAAATATTTTTTTTTATTTGTGCCAAAAATTTCAAAAATTCAAAATCGACCAGTCGATTTTCCAAAACTCCCCAAAATCTCCCATCTTGACCCCAATTTCTAATTACCCGTCTTGAGAAGCGTCAAATTTTGCCTCGCGACTTTTATAACGGCACTGAGGTGCGGTTTTGATTTACAACCGCGTAATTGGAGGTCAGACTTGGGTAAATAATGATCTTAATTAGGGTGGGATCTTACGGCAGTCTGATGTGCCGGAGTTCAAGAGTATTTTTGATAGCATTTTACCAATTTTTAGTGCGAAATTTTTAGAGAAATTGAGAGATTTTTATATTTTTTGAAGAAAATTAATGGGTTTGGGTCAAAAGTGATGATTTTTTGAAATTTTTCATCTAGCTGGAGGCTGGTGGGGATCCTCGAGAGCGATTAAAAAGCTTTCTATGCCTGTAGAAAGTCACTATCCATCACAATTTTCATTAAAATCAATGAAAACTACCATTTTCGGAGTTTTTTTTTTCAAAAAATGGCGATTTTTTCCTAAAAAAGTATTTTTAAGCGAAATTTGGTCTCATAAAAATTAAACCGGCACCCCTTGTTATTAGTAGAACACTTCTTCTTTAACTGCCAACAAAAATGTTCCTTTCTATTCCATCCAAAAATCTTGATATAGCCTCAGAAACATGACATGATATCAATATTCCTCTCAAACATTGCAAAATAAATTCCACGGCTCTTTCGAATCCCTCTAAAATGCCAGGGGAATATACGAAAAATGAGATTCCCCGTCCCAAAACACAATATTCTCATGGAAAATATGCAAATTAATCTCAGTTCCTTTTTGCCATCGAAACGGGGATTTGTAAAAAAATTTTTCTCCGTTTTTGAGGTTTATGAGGCCGAGAGATCTTGATAAAGATCCGATTTGAGGTTTAAACTGAGTCAAGACGAAGGGAGAGGGCTAATTTGCATGGTCTGTTTGTTTTTTGCGCCGGTTATTTTGGGAATTTGGGTGAGGTTTTGGACCTTGATTATGTAACTTCAGAAAGGATGTTTATGTTCTTGGGGCGTGTAAATAACCACTGGCTAGGTTGCAGAAAGCATGCTGAATGGGATTGCATAACTTTTGGATTGCATTTTGAGTCTATGTAATCAAAAAATCATTTTGGATAAGAAAACGGGTTGCACTGTGCGGAGAAAGAAAAAAAGTCGGTTGCACTGTGCAGTCAAATTTTTTGCTTTCTGTACTATAAAATAATCGTTGAACGCACAATTTTTTGTTGCTGTGCAGTCGCGATAAAGCCTGTTTGTTGCTCTACTGTGCAGAAATTTCAATTTTTTTCCGGTTGCACTGTGCAGTCGACATTTTTTGATTTTACGCACTGTGCAATGGCATTTTTTGGTATTTTCACCATGAAGACTTTATAAATTAGGAAATTTTTTACATTATTTTTTACGAGACTGATTTTTCATTAGCATTCGTAATAAAAATTTAACATTTTTTTCGCCTGCACTGTGCAGCCGACATTTTTGGTTTTTTGCACTGTGCAATGGGATTTTTTGGTATTTTCACCATGAAGACTTTATAAATTAGGAAATTTTTTACATTATTTTTTCGCGAGAAATATTTTTAAGTGGTGCGCAATACACAAATTTAGCATTTTTTCGCCTGCACTGTGCAGCCGACATTTTTGATTTTCTGCACAGTGCAGCGGATATTTGCAGTTTTTGTGATGGAAAGACAGTAATTTAGATCTAGAAAAGTTTTATTTGAAGTTCAGGATGTTTTTCTTTGTTCTTAACCATTTTTCCATAGATGAAATTACTTCGAGCTACCTAATCCGCCATTTATATTATTCATCATCATTCTGATGTAAATCATTTTACCCGTGGTGTAAGCGTGTTCTACCAGGCCAAAACCTGCTCTTAGGACATTCAGAAGCCTTCAGCAATCTTATAGAACATATAGGGAATCTCCAAATCAAAAAATTTTTGTTTGTATTTTCTAAATTTTTTGTCTTTTATCTCTAAATCGACTAAAATATTTTGATTTTAATGTTGTAAAGACTTTTTCGAATGTTTTGACTCTTTTTTGTTTTGCGGATTTGGGGATCTGCACAACAAAACCGGGTAAAAACGAAGGGCGAACGGAAGGGGGGCCGGGTTTCCGATGTCGTGTCCCATCGAATTTCTCAAGAGTTTTCGCGGGCGGAATATTCAATGAGGATTGTGGGTCATCTTCTCCAACTTATTTTCGCTACTTTTGCTGGATTTCAAGTTATTTTTGGGATTTCCAAAAAATGTGTCATCATGACATATTTACCTAGTCATGTCGGAAATTTCTGAGCACTGATCTCGATCCTTTGAGAAACGTATTTTACATTTCATAAATTTTTTTTTTAAAATTTGCATATTTAGAGGGATAAAACTGGCAATTCCAGAAAAACCGTCATCCTTTGGGGTTAAAATGGGGGATTTTTGCGATTCAAAATATTTTTATTAGGCTTCAGCATCTTCGAAAACCTAGGTTTTATACTTTTTACTTATCAAAATGACCGATTTTAATTTGTCATCATGACACCTTTTCTGGATTTTTTCGAATTACAAAATTTTGTCGAGATTTCCAAAACTAACCAAATTTTGATCTCCAAGAAGCCTAGTACTGCCAAGAACTGCAGCAAATAACCCCCTTTGACCGTCGCTTTTCAGTTCGGCCGCTGATTTCGCAGTTTGGGCCGCGAGTTTTTTATAATTGAATTGTCGCATCTCCCTCCCGTCCCCGCTTTTTTTATAAACGGCCTCAGAATTCCGTTTAAGGCCCGCCACAATCCGATTTTCATTGAATGGACAAAGGGAGGGCCGGATTTCGGCGGAATTCGCGCCCCGATTTTTCCGTCGGCCGAACTTGGGATTTTGCGGTTGGAATGGACGGCGGATTTGGATGGGAAATGCTGTAGAACGACTTTATACCACACTTAGAGGACTTTCGGAACTTTGAGGACGTGATTTTTATCGATTTTTTTCCAAAAATTAACTAAAGTTATATTATCCATGAAAATTTTTGATAAAAAAATTGAATTATTCTGTCTTTGAAAGATTGTAAATGGTCTTAGTTGTCTTTTTATTTCATAATCTTCTACTTTAAAAAAGGAAAATATGAATCTGTCGTATTTTATCAAATTTTGTTACCTAAAATTGGCAAAAATCGATTTTCCGCCTGAAATCTTACGAAATTCGCCAATTTTTTGATTATAAATGAATCTACCACGAATTCTACATCTTTTTCCAACAAAATTTTATCTGATTTCATCAATATTTTCCGTATTTTACCAACTTTTTTTCGATTTTCCGCGAAATTTTTTTTTGCCGAGTTCCTCGTATTTTACCCAAATTTTTTCGTTTCAGAGATGCTAATTAGATGTTAAGTGCCTAACCAGATTGTCCTAACCAGTTTGCAATGGATTGCGGGTGCATTCCTCCACCTCCCGACTTCGATTTACCTCCTCCGCCGGATCCCTCGCTGATCTGGGATCTTCTTTCTGATGAGCCAATTGCCGAGTTTCTAGAGGTAAGTAGTCATGATTTGTTTGGAAATTGTGTTTAGTATAGATTCGAAGCGGTTTGACGATATTTTTTATATTGCACTAGGCATCTGATATAATTTTTGGCTGAGAATTGATTTTTTGCTTGGAATTTCTGGGGAAATTGGATGAATTAGGAAATAACAAGTGATTTTCTATCTATAGGAGTATAAAAATCACCATTTCAAGATATTTTTATATTGCACTAGGCATCAGATATAATTTTTGCCTGAGAATCGATTTTTTGTTTGGAATTTCTGGGAGAATTGGACGAGTTCTGAAATAAAAAGTGATTCTCTTCCTACAAAAATACAAAATTCACCATTTCAAGATATTTTTTATATTGCACTAGGTATTCCTTGTCTAATTTTAGCAATAAAAATAATCGTTTTGAAGATTTTTAGCCTGAATTGAATAAATTTTATAAGAGAGCGCCTCGTATTCCCGCAGGGCATATATTTTTTGGCAACATGTCAAAGGTCGAGCTGTCAAGGCCCGAAATTTGTTTGATTTATCTCCAAAGTTGATGAATTTTAGCTTTTCTTTTCCGACAATCTTAGACGAGCGTATTTTAAAATCTAGAATTGTTTTTACGACTTTATTTCTCAAAATCTGCTCATTTTTTGATTTTTCCCAATTTTGTTACCTAAAATAATATAATTTCAATTTTTCAGCTCAATTATGGCCAATGTGAATTCAACCCCGTGTTCAACGTGCTGAAAGGCAATGAAGTGTATGTCTCGGTGGTTCTCTGCGTTCTTTTCATCATCACAGCGGTCGGGTTTTTGGTTGGAGCTCTGATTTATAGGAGAAGGTGGGCATTTTTTTTGACGATTTTGAGGGAAAAACTGAATTCAATATGGCCATATATGGGAAATGTGGTCGTATTTTGCATTTTTATAGCAAAAATTTTTGATTTTTTTTGAGATTTTTTTTGAAATTCGATTTTTTAGGTTTGGTCGAAAAACGGTCGAAAATTGATAAAAATATTTTGAGGTGAAAATGGAGAGATCGTATTTTACCTTGAAATTGAATTTCGAAGCCGATTAGAGCCGTTTGCCGCCTTCTTTTTTGTCGAAAATCCCAAAATTTTTGGTTTTTTTGACCTTTTCGCCTACTACAATGACGGACCTGATCCAGTGACAAAAAACATACCATTTTGCATCCGGAAAGAATCAAAAAATGTGGCAAAATGCCTCCCTCTTCAAGTGAAAAAACTTCGTTTTCAAGGGCCCTCACAAAAAGAGGGCTTTTGAAACCGATTTTTTCACTTGGAGAAGGAGGTATTTTGCCACATTTTTTGATACCTTTCGGATGCAAAATGATACGTTTTTCGCCACTGGATCCGGTCCGTTATTGTAGGAGGTGAAAAGGTCAAAAAAGCAAAAATTTTGGCATTTTTGACAAAAAAGAAGAGCCGCAAACGGCTCTAATCGGCTTCGAAATTCAATTTCAAGGTAAAATACGGTCTTTGAGTGTTTTCTTCAAAATATTTGTTTTTCATTTTTCGACCAAATCCAAACTTTTGACTCTTCTTTTTTAAAAAATGCCAAAATTTTTGGCGTTTTTGACCTTTTTGCCTACTACAATATAACTTTCTCCTTAAAAGTCCCCAAACTTTTGACCCTTCTCCCCCCACCTGACCACCGATTGCATAACCCTGACCCTAAACCCATTATGGAGGTGGTGCAGGTCCCTAAACCCGTCCCCTCTCACGGGATGATCGCTTATTATTCAATCCATCTTGGCGCCGTCTGTTAATCTCGCGCCGGTGATGGATTGCGGCCTCGTAAATGCATTTCGTTGGGTGTGGATTTGTGTAAATGTTGGGAGACGCAGTGAATAATGAGGACATTCCGAGCGGAGGATTATATTAATTTAGATGGCCGGAGGTGTAAAAAGACGAAAATTAATTGAATTTTGCGGGGTTTGGAGGGAGAACAGGTTGGAAATTGTAAAATACGGATACTCCTGGGGAGCTGAAATAATTTAACAGCAAAATTTAAGGCTCTTAGAAGCTTTTTTATGGTGATTTTTGAATTTTAGGTAATAAAATGAATTTTTGGGCAAAAAACCTCAAAGTTGGAGAAAAAAATGGAGCGAATTTGAAGTGAATTTAAAATAATATTTCTTATAAATTATTTTGAACATCATTTTATCTTGTTTTAGATCCAAAAAATCCAAAAAAAATCGAAATTTTTGCCTAAATCAATATAAAAAATTTCCAAAAATGCAATTTTTCCCTAACTAAATTTTGCCAAACACCCTGAAATCAAATCTATTTTGCCTTGAACCGACCACACGGACAAAATAAACGGCTTGTCCTGTCGTTTTTTGAATGACCGATTAGCCGTATTTTTTGCGTAAATCCATTCTCCCCTGTCACAGATTGGATATACAAAAGTCAAGGGGCCTCGAATACGATCCATCATCCCCGACTGTCAACGGGATGGCGGATAATCGGGGACAATACGGTTACGGTGGAAGATTTGCGAAAAATTAGAGTTTTTTGGATGAGTAATGTCATGAATAATATAAAAATTTTGATTTTTTTGATAAAGATAATTATGAAGGCTACGTATTTTACAATTCAATTCTATTTTAGTTGTTATGCAGCCAAAATTTTGGATTTGGGCTTGATTTAAAATATGAATTTTTGAAAAATATCTGATGTCATGGATAATATAAATTTTTGTACTTTTAAAACTGGGATGTAATAACCCGCACGTATTTTACAATTTTTAGACTAATTACTTGTCAAAAATCTTAAAATTGAAAATTTTGCAATTTTTTGAAAATATGTTTTTTTCCAAAATGTGACATCATGACTTATATTAGGTAAAAATAAAAAGTTTTGACTTCGTGCCTCGTATTTTAAACTCCTCCGTAGTTTCCTAGTCAGCTTTTGAATGCGTATGACGACTAATTTCACTGCGGCCGTAATTGCGGCCCTTAGGGCATTTAAATTGCGCGAAAATTTCGGTCGGCCAAATTTTGGGTCCAATCAAAAGAGAGGCCAAAAAAGTTTAACTGAAATGTAATTTATTGATTTTATGAGGCTTTGGAATGTAAAATACGTATTATAAAATGGGTTTATTCTATTTATTCAATTTTTTCTAATAATTCAAATTTCAGACGAAACAATCAAAAACGCTGCCCCTCCAGCTCGCTGAACAGCACCACAAAGACGAACAGTGGCTCCGCCGAGACCGTTGTGACCGCAAATCAGTGGCCCTACGGGCAGAAGGTCCTCTCCCCACAAATGATCCATTCGCCAAGTTTCTATCAACCAATTGTGGCGCAAAATTCACAAGGCGCCCTAATCAGGTCCCTTCCGCTCTGTCACAATCAAAAGTTTGTCAATTACCCGCAAATTGCCGCCGGCAATTTCCCACAGACCTGCCAAAACCCATGCCAAAACCCAGGGAATTTTGCTCAAAACACCGGGAGCTTTGGCCATCATCATCCGAATTGCCCACCCAACTTCCAAACCATGCCCTACGCCTACAACAACTCGTGTTGTATGCACTCGAACAACGGGTACTGCACGCTGAGCTCGCAACCCCCGCATTACGAGGAAATCCACCACGAGGCGCCCCATTACGCCGCCAACCCCATCCACGACCCGCAACGCGCGTCGATTGCGGACCTGGCGCGCCGGCCCCCACCTCAATGCCGACCACCACCTCCGCCAGTGGCGGATAATGAATATTACCTGCCGCCGAATGTGCATATCAACAACAATGCCCCGATTCCGAGACCCCGCAATCAGCAGAGCTCACAGTCGACGCTGAGCGATGAGAATTCGGACCTGGAGGGGTATCTGAATCACGCTCCACAACTTGGAGCACCGCACTGTGCGGTCGACCCGAAGGGAAGAGAAAGTGGTTATGGAACTGGAGAAAAGAGACCGAGTGGATCGAAAATGAGGTAAGAGTAACTTCTAAGTGCTTTAGGACTTAGTGGGATGATTTTTAGAGGGCGTGGTAAAAAAATTTTGGGTGGGGTAAAAGGTGACCAAAAATTTTTTTGATTTATTTTGGCTGTAGATTATGATAGAAAACTCCATTCTATAGTCTAGGGGTTTTTTGAGACATTTCCGAGGAATTTTGGTCCATTTTAAAGCTGTTTTTAATTTGGCAGCTTGCGCCCTGGCTTCTTTTCTAAAAAGCCGGAAATTCGAAAACGTCTAATGTAAAAAGAAGCATACTGGTCTACAGAGTGTAATAAAGTCATTTTCAGCCACCCCCGCTCACCACTCAGCCAGTCCAGCCCACCGAATCGCTCAGTTACAGTAACCCAAAAACCATCGCCAAAACAGAACATGACTTATGTGTAGAGCGATGACTCTTGAGTATTATAATTAGATGACTTTCGTAGACATCTTCTTTTTGATGGGATTGGGTTTTTAGGCCCGTGGTTGATACTACTATCAGTAGTATCATTATGGGCGGAGCTTATAAATTTCTTCAGGATTTTTTCACATTGCCAACATTTGATTGTAAACGGGTCTCAAATGGATCATCACCGGTTGTATTTCATAGCGTTTCTTTGTCTTCCGTCATGTTGTGCATGACTATCTGTATATCTAGTCATTATTTAATCCTAATTTTGCTAACTGCCAATTATATGGTTTTATATGTAAATAAATGAATATAATACTGAACGAGGGTGTTTTAAGGTGTTTTTTGAGTAATCATTCGATTGAATATCGAGTTTGGAATTTGTGACATTTCGTCGAATTTTCCAATAAATTTTTTGACATTTCGTCAAGTTATGAAAAAATGGTCTAATGAAGAGAAAACGAATTGAAAATAAAATTTGAAACTACAGTCTTCAATTTTGTATTCAAATTTTTTTGTGACACTTCATCAAATTTTCCAATATTTTTTTTGACATTTCGTCAAGTTATGAAAAAATGGTCTAATGAAGAGAAAACGAATTGAAAATAAAATTTGAAACTACAGTCTTCAGTTTTATAGACAAATTTTTTTTTGTGACACTTCGTCAAATTTTCCAATATTTTTTTTGCATTTTGTTACACTTTTGAAAATGGCTCCAATTGCAAAAATTAGGTTTCAATTTTTAAGCTGAAAAATAACGTAAAAAATTTTTTAATTTTCATTTCTAAACAACGCGCATTTCTTATCCGGATTCATCGTCGTATTCGCCTTGCAATTGAAAGCATTTGCGAATGCCGGGAAATTCGCCGCAGTTTGTTCGATTCGCAGTTCGGCCGGTGGATGGGGATCGGTCCCATCGTATTTTCGCCAGTTCGGAAACTGAATAACCAACTGGGCCCAACTCACAAAAAATAATTGGTCATCAGTTAGGAAGTTCAATTCTCGTGTGCGATGAAGGTCGGCTGCTCTGGACAAATAGTATTTTCGATAGGCCGAGTAGGCGAAGCGAAGCCCGAAATGGTCGGCCAAGGCTTCGTTCATCACTCGGACGGCATTTGTGCACAATTGTGGGCGCTCTGGATCACAGCGGTTGTGGTGGAGCTTTAGAAGACACAAGTAGATGTTCATTATTTCTTTGGGAGCTCCGAAGAGGGCTGAAATTAAAAAGATAGGAATTTTTTTGGTAATGGGATTGAAAATACGTTTTTTGATTTCCCTAGTTGTAGTGACTAACATAAAATTATCGGTCACATAACGTCAATTTTTGAAATTTTTAGCTCGCGATTTGCAGGCGGAACCGAGATATTGAACGATATTGGTGGCCGAGAGAGTACGCGAAACGTTGAGTGCGGTCAGAAATAAAAACACTTTCTTGGCCACATCTCTGCCAGTTCCGCATTGAAAAAGTTGATTTTTTTATAAAAATATTATTCTCTACAGAGGAAATAGGTATGGAACTTTTTGTGCCAAAATTCTCAAAAAAAAAATTCACATTTTTTCCAACGTTCGACCTAAAACTCTCTACCTCTAAATTTGCGTCTGGTTTCACCAAGGTCTGAGCGTTGCACTTGAAGCGCTTCACCTGTTAGTCAAGTTTTCCGATAAGTTTTTTGATATTCAAAGGAGTTTTAGCTTACACTTTGTAACGGCAGCCGAGAACTACGATCTTTTTTTTGAGAGAGTACGTAAAATGAGGAGTTTTCGTCAGACGAAAAACTTCTTCCCCCATGACTCTCTATTTTCCTTCGAAAAACCTGTTTTTTTAAAAGAGAGTTTTTTACAGATTGAAGCTTCTCATAACAAGGGCCGGACATTTCGAAAAAACGACCAACTTAGAATCTTTTGATATTTTGCATAGTTGTTGTACTATGATAGCTGAACGTCAGTACGAATTTTTAGTTTCTGAAATAACCGTATACGGGGGTTACGGTAGGTACAATTTTTAGAAAGATTGGGTTCGTGTGTAAAAACCCCGAGGAGTAAAAGCGCAAAACCTCGCTGTTTTACGTTTTTGACCATGGGGAACATTTTCATAATTGACAACTTTACCGTAGGATGTTGCCTTCGACTACTTTGAAAAATACCAAGGTACCATATTGAATGTAACTTTTTTGCAGAGAACTTGTCTCAACTTTTGAAACCTCTCAAAAATACTTTGACATAGGTGTAACAACATATCAAAAATGCGCGAAAATAAAAGGGGTGGTTTTGGAGTTACGGTACTTTGAAGGCAGCCGGTACGGTATATCAAAAAATAATTTTTTCCAAAATCGGTGTAGAAGACCCGCAAAAATTGCCAAAACACGTTTTCCACCATGGCGAACATTTTTGTAATTGACACTTTTTTTGTAGGATGCGGCCTTCGACCGCTATGAGAAATGTCAGGATACCATGTGTAATGTAACTCTTCGGCATTCTACTTGTCTCAACTTTTGAAACCTCTCAAATATACTTTGACATGTATGTAACAACATATCAAAAATGCGCGAAAATAAAAGGGGTGGTTTTGGAGTTATGGTACTTCGATTGTGGCCCGAACGGTATATCAAAATATAATTTTTTTCAAAATCGGTGTAGAAGAGCCGCAAATCACGCCAAAATACGTTTTCGACCATGGAGAACATTTTTGTAATTAACACTTTTTCTGTAGGATGTCATCTTCGACTACTTGGGAAATGACCAAGGTACCATGGTCAATATAACTTTTCGGCATTTTACTTGTCTCAACTTTTGAAACCCTTCAAAAACACCTTGACATATGTGTAACAACATATCAAAAATTTAGAAAAATAAAAGGGGTGGTTTTGGAGTTATGGCACTTTGAATGTTGGACATACAGTAGACCTAGATTTATTCTCGGCTAAACTTTACGCAGATTATTTTAAAAACAAGATGTAATGTTTTATGTATGTTGCACGACCCTCAGAAACTATTTTCACTAGGAAATTCAGAAAATTTAGGCCTAAGCGTACTGTAACATATCGTGCGTATATAATTGGTTACTGTAACAGCAAGATCAGCGATTTCTTATTTTTTTTTGCAACGATTACCACGGTGTAGACTCGTGTATGCCATACGACGGTGGAATCTTCCAAATTCGGATGTCAGCAGCACAACAAAAGTTTGGTGTACTGTATGATCAAGATTAAAAGTACCATAACTCCAAAACCACCCCTTTTATTTTCCTAAATTTTTGATATGTTGTTACACATATGTCAAAGTGTTTTTAAAAGGTTTCAAAAGTTGAGACAAGTAAAATGCCGAAAAGTTATATTGAACATGGTATCTTGATATTTCTCATACCGGTTGAAGAGTGCATCCTACAAAAAAGTGTCAATTACAAAAATGTTCGTGAGGGTCGAAAACGTATTTTGGCGACGTTTACGGGTTTGCTACGTCAAGTTTAGAAAAAAGGAAATTTTGATGTACGGTACCGGCCACGTTCAAATTACCATAACTCCAAAACCACCCCTTTTATTTTCGCGCATTTTTGATATGTTGGTACACCTATGTCAAAGTATTTTTGAGAGGTTTCAAAAGTTGAGACAAGTAGAATGCCGAAGAGTTACATTACACATGGTATCCTGACATTTCTCATAGCGGTCGAAGACTACATCCTACAAAAAAAGTGTCAATTACAAAAATGTTCGCCATGGTCGAAAACGTATTTTGGCAATTTTGCGGGTCTTCTACACCGATTTTGGAAAAAAATATTTTTTGATATACGGTACCGGCTGCCTTCAAAGTACCGTAACTCCAAAACCACCCCTTTTATTTTCGCGCATTTTTGATATGTTGTTACATACATGTCAAAGTATATTTGAGAGGTTTCAAAAGTTGAGACAAGTTCTCTGAAAAAAAGTTACATTCAATATGGTACCTTGGTATTTTTCAAAGTAGTCGAAGGCAACATCCTTCGGTAAAGTTGTCAATTATGAAAATGTTCCCCATGGTCAAAAACGTAAAACAGCGAGGTTTTGCGCTTTTACTCCTCGATGTTTTTACACACGGACCCAATCTTTGTGAAAATTGTACCTACCGTAACCCCCGTATACGGTAACTTCAGAAACTAAAAATTCGCGCTGACGTTCAGCTATCATAGTACAACAACTAAGCAAAATATCAAACGATTCTGAGTTGGTCGTTTTTTCGAAATGTCCGGGCCATCCTTCGAGTTGTAAAAAACTCTCTTTTAAGTATAATAATAATAAGTAGTTTCTGAACAGTACAGTCAAGCAATCTTTCAAAAACTTACGTAAAATCAGACTATGGCCAATTTCATGTCCCATCACATATCCGAAAGTTGAGAACATCAGAACGGGAGGAAATGATTGCTCAAACAGAGGCTTGAGAAAGTATCCCCAGTCGACAACATTGTACTTGAATTTCGTCGAATGTTGGGCGTCAATCTGCGAAGAAATCAATTTTTTAGTCATCAAAAATCTTATTTGCAAAATTGTGTTCATAAATAATAAAAATTTTACCCACCGAAAACTCCCGAACCTTCAACAAATTCTCATGATATTCATTGTCATACCGCAATATCTGGCGGATATTATTCTTGTAAAACGATGCGCCAGGACGAGTAATATCCGTGTCGGCCGTGGCATGCGGGAAATTCCGATTTTCGAAGAAAGGATGTTCAAAAAACGCAAAAGTATTTTGTTTTTGCTCGTTCAGCAACAAGTCCTTGCTTTCGTTCGTCAAGATTTCACTGTTGACCAGCATATTCTCGGCTTCTTGCAGTAAATTGGTCGAGTATTCGAAGTAAACTTCCTTCAGTTTTTTGTATTTCGCTGTGTCTCGTTTGTTGGCTTCGTAAAAAAGCTTGTAAACTTGTAGTGGGAACATCCGCAGGATGTCGACTTCACATTTTTTGAAGGACCTGCCGTTCCGGGAGATGACGTTTTCGAATAAAGCGTTGGCGAAGTCATGTCGGCTGATTGGCTGAAAATTTTTAAAAACTAATAAGGCATCTCTTATAAGTTTTTTTAGCTAGCTAACAAGGAAAGTATTACATGTGCAACGCTCAAAGTTTCGTTAATTTTGCCCATGACGGCATAGGCGAGTCATCAAGTCCTAAAAAATTGGCTCGCCCTTCGCCGGGAAGCCCAGATACTCTGCGGTATCCGCGGTCGAGGAGAGTACGTAAAAGGCGAAGAGCGATTTCTTAGGGAAAAGTGAATTTTTTGGTAAGAAACGGAAAAAACAAGGTGTGGAAATTTTCATGTCAAAAAGTGTAAAAAAGTGTCACATTTTTCCGCAAAGCGCGAGCTATGAATCTTGTATGCCTTACAAGGAAAGTGCTTCTATGGGGTATGGAGTTACAAATTCAGAAGGTTTTTTCGCCTTTACAAACCAAAATTAGGCAGCTCATTTCTACATATTCTGAATCAGAGACCTTTTGCGAGTTTTTTCATATATGTCTCGACCTGTAACTCCATACCCCATAGAAGTACTTTCCTTGTTAGAAATATTAAAAGTCTAAATTTCTTCTATTTCTTCTAGCGCTATAGACTGATCAATGCCATCCGTTCGGAAACAGTTTACTTAACTTACCTCCTCTTCTTCCTCATCTACAGTAAAATCGGGGACGATAACCGTATAATTGGACGCATCAAATCCCGGGATTCCAAAAACAAACGAGATCAGTTCCGATCTTTCTTTCGCTTCTTCGATACTTCTGGGCAACAAGTCAGGATACTCTGGCGGGGGCCATTCGCCTGTCTGCTTTGTCTTGGTCTTGTAAACTCCCCTAAAACAACATAAGATCCAAAGAAATTTGCTTACCAAGCCGCTGTAGTTTCATTGTCGGGCAATATTTTATGCGGATTAGGGAGTGTAATGGTCAGTGAAGCTACAGAAGCCAGCCCCAGGTCCCAGAGTCGAGAGCCTTTGTCGAACAAAGACTTGTACAATTTTTTGATCAGCTCCCAAAATTTGACGTCATCTTTAGCGATGGGCGAATCTTCTTTGAGAGGAAAAAGAACCTCGGGATATTCTTTTATGGCGCTGTCCACGAGCTCATCAATTGTTGGCTCGGCTGGTAGAAAACCTTGCTGGCATTGGAAATAAAGATGACGGACTTTTCGGATCGAGTCTATCTGAAAAGCACGAAGATAATAGGTCTTCAGGAATACGACGCTCAGATTTTTTATGCATGGATCAGCGCAAAACGGGTAAGGATATGGCCTAAAAGTTTTCTTTCTGACGGCTCCCCGGGTTTTGTGAACTCTCTCTGCGGCAAAGGGCGTTGAATTTTTCGTTTACGCCTGCAACGCACCAGCTAAAGTGCGGGACCTGATCCAGTGGCAAAAAACGTATCATTTTGCATCTGGGAAGTATTAAAAATGTGGCAAAATGCCTCCCTTTCCAACTAAAAGAGAACTACTTTTTGAACTGCGCGCCCTTTCCCTTGCAAAAAGAAGGGGCATGGTTTTGAAATTGGAGCTTTTTCACTTGGGAGGGATGCAAAACGGTACGTTTTTGCCACTGGACTCCGCCACTGTAGAACTTTCAGGATGTGTATGTGGCCTATGCCTGACGTGTGTACAATGTATGTGCGAATAAAACTACCTTCCCGTTCGCAAATAGATAGATACTAATTGTAAGGGTTTTTGTCCACTCTCTTGATTTGCCGTACTCCCTCGGAAAAAAAGGATTTTTTGATTTCTTGGCTTATCTATCAAGTCCCAAATTTTTAGGGATTGTTAGACATCCCGGAAATATTTTTACGGTATATACGTATACCACTTTCTGCTTGCCAAAAAACATTTGTTCGCTTACATGATCCGCAATCGCCGTGAACATCAAAATATTCCGCAGCGTCTCCTTCAAAACGTCAAATCTCGTTTGAGGATCGAAATTCCCAGCCGCATATTTTACAAAGTCATCGCATGGATCCACACTGGTGTTCATCATCTTCTCGATCATGTCATACTTCTTTGCCAGGTAGTTTTCTTCTCTGTCTTGAGCCAAGATTAAGGTTATTTTACATAGAAAAACATAGCAAAGAGAAATTTTCATTTTCATTTTTATAAAAGAAAATTATAAAGATTTGACAGAAAAATAATGAATTTCACATAATTAAATGCAAGACTAGAGGCTTTTTTAATTACAATGTGTCCGTTAAGAATTATATTAACCTTTAGGATGATCGAAAATTATAAAAAAATTCATTGGTGTCCTCAGAATCCAAGCAACTTTCTGACCGGCTGAATCGGTTGATAATACGACAAGCTGTAATTTGCGGACAAATTTGGCAGCAAAATTTTACAATCCTCTTCAGAAAAAAAGTTATCTCCGGGTTTGCATCGGAACGAGTTAGAAAATCCCCTCAGGCATTTGAAGAGTCTCCAAATCTTAGCATCGGGATCGGCAAACGGATCTATCCGGTTTTGAGCTTGTTCTAGGACGATAGTTTGCGCCAGATTGATGAAATACAGTTGGTCTTCCGACAGGGAATTTATTTTTGCATTTTCCGCCCCTTGAATTCTGTTTTTCCGCAGATGCAGCTCATTCCGTTTGGAGTAGGCGTTGAAGATCATTCCGCTCACTGGAAATTGGAAATTAACAATTTTAAAATACGTGTAGCATCGCTTTACTGTTTATTTTATCCTGTTTATTTATACTTACGTTGTTCTTCGCCAAGGGCAAAGATAAAGTTGGAATAGGTGATTGATGGAGGGAAAGATTTGTGATGTAACGGGTACGTGAAGGCTTCAAACCCACGTCCAATATAAACTTTGTCTCCAACACGACTAATCGAAGCTGGTTGCTGAAATCGAAAATTTAACGGAGATATTTTGCAATTAATTTTTGTAATATAGTCTTTAAAAAGACCAAGCTGATTCTGAGGAAAAAATTGATATCAAAAAATCAAAAGAATATTCCGTCAGTCTGGCGACATTTTTTTATAACCAACTGAAAAAGTTGCTAAAATTTGGTAACTTTTTGAGTAAAGTAAAAGATCAGAAGCCGGCCATTTGTCGCGCAAGTGGAAAATATTACTCTGTCGGGAAAATAATGAGCACTCTCTCGCGTCGATCGCCGCCAAGGAAATGAATTGTGTAGCGGAAAAATCAAATTGCAGTTTAGCGACGCGATTGACGCGCGATTGATTTTTTGGTTCACTTTTGTCGACAAAGTTCGTTAAAGTCTCGACTGTCCCGTAGGGCGTAAGGTCAAAGAATCAGAGATTGTACACGGTGGGCCTCGAACTCAAAACGGGTAATTTTTTTCTTTAGAGTTCTCCGCGGAAGCTCCGCCGATTTTCCTAACAATAAAATTTAGATTTTTCTAGAGCTGAGACCCACCATTTTCAACCGATGCAGTTTCAAAAAAATATATTTTGGATTGGCCGTTCTATGCCGTTTCAAATGGACCACTTTGTATTACGCACCTAGACCAAATACGGCCTCGTAATTAGAAAAGAATCTGAGCTTTGCGGGCAACACTCGTATGAGGAAGCTAACGCCTTCTTCATACAACGATTTTTCAGCACCTACCGTCAGACTAGCCGTATAAAAATTGCTCGAACCCCCACGAATGTAATATTCAATCATTGGCCGGATACTCCACAAATGTCGGTTCTGATACAATTCGGGGACTGGGGAGAAGTCGACAAAATCAAAATATTTCTCAAAGGTCGCTTGCTCAAAAATTGGATGCTGGATATCCATAAACTCCAAATTCTCATGGAATTCCTTAAGATAGTCTTGTTTTCGGTCCATTGTCACATTCAGTGTTCGGATAGTGTCATCAATTTGCTCCAAAATGTCAGTCCAGATGACCTTTAGATCCGTATTCAAATCGCTTATCGGTTGCTCATTGGCGTCGAGGTAATTGAAAAGCATTTTCTTGTAGAAAATGGGGAACACATCACTGAGGAATTCGTAGCAACCAGGATACCAACCCGGCTCCGGAGAGTTGTAGATGGTCCAGAACTCTTGGAACAGGGCTTTGCGGTCTTCCGGCTGGAAGTATTACAATGATAATAGAGCTTAGTCTACGGAAAATTGAAATATTTTGAAACTGTAGCTATATAGGCTTCTGTAGAAAAAATTGCAAGGGACCAATCAATTTATAGGCTATATATGTAATCCTTGTAACCTCAGAAATTGGTAACAAAGTCTGTAATTTTTACAGACAGACTTTGTTATCAGCCTGTCGGGAAAATAATGTGGACTGTCGTGTCTTGAAATCGCCCATCATCTTTTTGACGTCTTTACTCCCGGACATAAATTTCTGACCACCCATATCTCAAGCGAATTTAACTCAATCACTTTAAAACTTGGCACGGATACTAGCCATGACAAGCAGAATCTGCCACGTAAAAATGTTTTTCGCATCTCTGTCCTTAGGCGAGTTATGCAAGCTTTCCAAAAATTGGCGGAAAAAACTTTCTGATCACCTGAAATAACTAGAGTTTTCTCGGTCACCTTGAGTAAGCGACATGGCTCAGTTATCTTAAGACAACTTTTAGGGACCTACAAGGACGATGAGCATAATTTTTAACACCAGCCAAGGCGTATGCCCTCAAGCATATTGTATTTTTTCAGTGATCCTTTTACTAGTCCGTCCGTAAAGTCGCTGGAATGTTTTCGGCGACATGCACCCCGCGAAACCGAAAGTTCACTTTGCACTGTGCAATTTTTGGCTTTTTGCACAGTGCAATGAGCTTTTTTGGGACGTCGCTCGCACCCTAAGTTTTCTTGCACAGTGCGCGCCGCCGAAATCATTCCAGCGACTTTACGGAAGGACTAGTATAGCCGCGGCTGGTGATTTAGTGTGCTACTGCGACGAAACGATATTATTTTCCCGACAGATTGAGAAATGAAAGTTTGCAAACAAACGTTTGTATTCTACTGCAAATTTGTTTAAACCATTATGAGTTTCACGTATTTTACCCCTTTTTTCAGTTCCCTTTGCTGACTAATCAGCCCGCCACTCCACTTACCGCTCTTGGAAAGTAAATTGTTACAGGCAAATCATCTTTAAACGACACATCAAACACAGTATTCGCGATGTCTTTACATTTTTCTTTTCCAATCACCGCTTGACACTCGTCCTCTGGCTTAAACGGGACCTTCTCCGGTCTTACAATCAAAATATTTTTTCCCATCGTATTTTCGTCAAAAAACGTTGATCCGTACGTAAAAAGGATTTTGAGAGTGTACTTGTACTCGCTGGCGAACAAGTCGTTGTTTACGAATTCATTGTTGCCGATGAAATCTCGAAGTCGCGCGCGATTTTGCTCAGCATCCGCTGCACTAACGCCGGGTTGGAATTTGCGGTCGAAGAGGCGTTGATGCTTAACGCAGAGGTCGTAGAATCCGCGGACTCGTTGTAAAGGAAGCTGGAAGAAGGTTTGAGATTTCAAGAAAACTGACGGTCAAGCTAGTAGTGGATCTCAATATCAGTCAGTCGGGAAAATAATGAACGCTCTGCCGCGTCGAAAATCGCATCGCCGCCAAGAGAATGAATTTTGTCGCGATAAAATCAACCTGCTTTTTACTTTAGCCACGCGATTGGCGCAGCGACATAGTGCTCATTATTTTCCCGACAGACTGATACGTGAGATCTCAGAATCTCAGAATATCTGCCCTGTATATAATACACACAATATTTGGGGTTTTAAAAACCTTCTTTTCGCTGAAAATTTCTTTCTAAATTTTTCACTGAACGGCTATCAGCGTATTTTACCTCAATAGTTTTCATGAAAAAACTACTGCTCTAATAAGCTATGAAAAAAACTTACAAACGCTTCTTTCGAGCCTTTCATCACCTCCTCCATTACTCTGGCTTTTCTCCCTCTCAACGCATCTTTATACAATTGCCCTGCGGCATATTCAGGAAAGTTATCGCAAGGTTTGGGACCGTCTTTGGGCATTCCGCTTTCGAGAAGCTCGGCTTTGAGTTTCAACGCTTCTTCATCGCTCATGGAATAGATAGGGCGAGCAAGAATAATAAGTAAAAACCATATCAGTAGATACATCAGGAATTCTGGCTTTGATGGTCTTTGTCCAGACTCATTTTTTGGAATCATGGCGATAAAAATTTTCAATTATAATAAGCCAATTTATTAAAAATAATTGGCAAATTTTCATTATCTTTGGATGATTATAAACAATTGCATTGTTCTCCTTTTTTGGCGAAAATTGTTGCCAGCATTCTTGCAATTAGTGTAAAATGAATTGCAACCTTCGTAGAACAAACTTTTGCACAACAAAACCTCACCGTAACAAATACTTTTAGAGGTCCCGGGAGTGAATTTTAGACCAAAAGGAACCTCGATACTACAATGACAGACCTGATCCAGTGGCAAAAAATGTATCATTCAGCATCCGGGAAGCATCAAAAATGTAGCAAAATACCTCCCTCTCCAAGTGAAAAAAATTTTCATTTTAAAATCGCGCACGTTTTTTTGTGAGGAAAAGGGCGCGTTCTTCAAAACGGAATTTTTTATTATAGTTGGAGAGCGAGTAATTTTGCCACATTTTTTGATACTTCCTGGATGCAAAATGGTACCTTTTTTCAACGGCTTCAAATCCGTCGCTGTAAATGGATCAAATTGTCTTGAAATTCGAAGACCCTGTCGCGATATAACAACTAAAATTTTTATAATTTTTTGCTGGGAAATTGAGTGAACACAAATCTTAGATCAATAGAGATGAGTTTTGAAGAAACGAATTTTCAAAATAATAAACAATTTTTACAGGGTACGCCAAACGTGTTGGCTTGGGCGACAATCTGATCTTCAAAACTCCGTAGAACGAATCGCAAGGAAAGCAACCAAAAATTTCTTTGTTATGCAGCTAACTTGCATAACGAAGATTTATTCTGGCGTAAAATTTATTTTTCAAACATTTAAAATTTTTGGTTATACACAGTTTTTGTTGTATTCAGACTTTTTTGAAGTTGCTTTGTAAGTCTTTAAACCCAAGAAAAAATCTGAATACAGAAGCATTATGCAAATCTAAGAATTTATTCCTTTTTATGCTGATTTGGCCATTCTCGCTTCTGTTTTTTCGTGGGAAAACGAAGGAGTGGCCACTTTTTTCGAACGGCGAAGAGATGGATAAGAAGGTGGGAAAGGAATAGAGACAAAGAATTCACTTGATTTTATGAGCGATACAAGAAATTTCTGATGTTGGGGCACTTTTAGGCAAGACAAATTGAAATTTATTTTTTACTAAACATGGAGTTATCTTTGCAATTTAAATATTTTTTTATTATTTAAAAGACGATTTCTGAGTCAGTGCGTCAGCCGTGGACATAGAAAAAAATCGATTTTGAGTTTTTTGCACTAAAATGGCTGTTGGAAGGTGCTAAGCAAAAGCGAACAATATTTTTTCCCAAAACCTTCATCAAGGTATATTTTTTTACAATTTACTGTTTTAGAAGTAACCGCGTCCAGCTGTCGTATCTTACCTTACTGGGCGATGAATTGATGGTTACTGAAGTTTTCGACCCTTGCGATGACGATGGTATCATTATTTTTCCGATTTTCCTACTGTAACATACCGTAATACTGTATCGACCGCTAAAAAACGACCGTAGAATCTTTCTTTCTGAAAATTTCACAGGCGATTTTACGATTTTTGGAATCAGCATAAAATTCTGCTCTAGAGGCAATCAAAAAAAGTTCAAAAAAAGCTGCGACAAATTTCGTGGTATAGTGGTTAGTGGTCGGGACTACCAATCCAGCGACCCGGGTTCGAGTCCGGCTGGGCGCGAATATCGAAAAGAAGTCGGAAATTAAATTTACTGTGATTCAGAGGATTGTATATTTTGCCACGAGCAGTTATTAATGTCAATGGTAGCTGGATTCGAGGTTAAAACGGGGTTTATATAATTTTAGGGGCTCAATACATGAAAAAATAAAAGTGCTTCAAACCGGTTGAAATTGATAATACTTATTCTAAGGGCTATTCTAACACACTTTCTCGTTAACTTTTTTTCGTAACTTACTGTAACATGGATTACTGTGACATGAAATCCAATTTTATTTTTCGCATACCACGGGGCGTAGACAGCTCGGACTATCGCCATATTGATAGAGATGGTTAATAACGAGTTGTTTTGCATACGAAATTTTTCTTATGGCCGCACAGTTTGAAACAACCGGGTTATTTCACGAAGTTTTGTCAGATAGCGGTGATATCAAGACACACTGGAAGTGAAGCAGAAATTTATTTTGTATACCTATAGTGGACCTTCGTTGCTGTTTGAACGACCTAGTCAAAAACACTCGAGACTGGATGCAACAATTTTGAAGAAAATCCCGCTTAAGTACAAAATCTTTATCTTACTGTAGTGCATGGAACAGTAAGCTACCAAAAAAAAGTTAACGAGAAAGTGTCTTCGAATAGCCCTTAGAATAAGTATTATCAATTTCAACCGTTTTGAAGCACTTTTGTTTTTTCATGTATTGAGCCCCTAAAATTTTATAAACCCCGTTTTAACCTCGAATCCAGCTACCATTGACATTAATAACTGCTCGTGCCAAAATATACAATCCTCTGAATCACAGTAAATTTAATTTCCGACTTCTTTTCGATATTCGCGCCCAGCCGGACTCGAACCCGGGTCGCTGGATTGGTAGTCCCGACCACTAACCACTATACCACGAAATTTGTCGCAGCTTTTTTTGAACTTTTTTTGATTGCCTCTAGAGCAGAATTTTATGCTGATTCCAAAAATCGTAAAATCGCCTGTGAAATTTTCAGAAAGAAAGATTCTACGGTCGTTTTTTAGCGGTCGATACAGTATTACGGTATGTTACAGTAGGAAAATCGGAAAAATAATGATACCATCGTCATCGCAAGGGTCGAAAACTTCAGTAACCATCAATTCATCGCCCAGTAAGGTAAGATACGACAGCTGGACGCGGTTACTTCTAAAACAGTAAATTGTAAAAAAATATACCTTGATGAAGGTTTTGGGAAAAAATATTGTTCGCTTTTGCTTAGCACCTTCCAACAGCCATTTTAGTGCAAAAAACTCAAAATCGATTTTTTCCTATGTCCACCCCTAACAGACGGCTGATGCACTGACTCAGAAATCGTCTTTTAATATTTTCGATTTGTAATTTATCTGTTGTTTCTTGGGTAGTGGGAGAGATATTTTGTGGGTGATAATCACCAATTTTTCAAAAAATTTTGACTTTAGAAAATGTTGTTTTTTCTGTACAACTTTTAGAAACTCTGTTATATTGACAAATTTGCAAGGCATAAAAATGCATCTAAGTGCGTTTTTTAACGATGTAATTTCAAAAGAATAAGTTTCGACCACTACAAAGAAGTCTTACATCAGAATTTTCGCTTTTTTCAAAATGAAATCAATGTTTTTACTCTTTAATAATGGTCGTATAATATTCATATATTAAAATACTTCATGATGGAAATATAATATACTTTTATTGAAATACTATATATTACTGATATATTACTGCTATTTTTATTTGATGATACTTATTTATAATATTACATTTATTGAAGGAAGAATATGGGGACAAATGGGAGACGATGGTACTATTAGCATTTTCACAAAGTGCCTGGACATCATTTCGCTTTCGCACAGTGCATCTTGAACTTTTGTCGCCGACGCACTGTGGATTTTTGTTTTTGCGCACCGTGCAAACCTCAAAAAAGCCGATTGCACTGTGCACATTCTCGCGGAGGCGCAGTTGAGAAAAGCTTGCGTCGCAGCGATATTTCAAATGCACAGTGCAAAACCAAAGAAAGGTCAATGCACGGTGCGAAAAATCACGGGCGTTTGTGCACAGTGCGCGCAGCGACAAATGTCCGGGCACTTTGTGAAAATGCTAATATTAGCATTTTCACAAAGTGCCTGGATATTTGTCGCGAATCGCACTGTTCACAAAGGCCCCCGATTTTTCGCACCGTGCATTGACCTTTTTTTGGTTTTGCACTGTGCATTTGAAATATCGCTACGACATAAGCTTTTCTCAACTGCGCCTCCGCGAGAATGTTCACAGTGCAAGCGGCTTTTTTGAGGTTTGCACGGTGCGCAAACGGGAAATTTCACAGTGCGTTGGCGACAAAGGTTCAAGATGCACTGTGCGAAAGCGAAATGATGTCCAGGCACTTCGTGAAAATGCTAATAGTCCGTTCGTAAAGTCGCCGGAATGACTTCGGCGACGTGCACTGTGTAAGAAAACTCAGGGTGCGAGCGACAGCCCCAAAAAGCCTATTGCACTGTGCAAAAAGCCAAAAATTGCACAGTGCAAAGTGAACTTTCGGTTTCGCGGGGTGCATGTCGCCGAAAACATTCCAGCGACTTTACAAACGGACTAGTATAGACGGTCAAAGTTTGTATGACCGTATGATATGATATGGCCTTATAATGAAGTGTGATACAAAGATGGTCACATACGCATAAAAATCGGGTGCCGCGGCCAGAAATGCGAAATTCTTGTCTCAAGAATTTCCCTGTGGAGACTTTTTTATTTTTTTCTCTGCTAACAATCAGAAACGAATTGCGCATTTCTTGTCTAGTGGCCTAACATTGTAAGAGACAAGAAATCGCGGTTTCTGGCCACGACACCTGATTTGATGCGTATGCCGCCGTCCTTATATTGATAAATAAGTTTATACATATGCAAATTTTTTTAAACGCGCATTTTCAAAGAAATATTATAGTTTTCAGGATTGAAAATATAAAAGAGTTACATTAGAATTCGACTTTTTTCGAAATTCAATTTATGTTTTTACTTTTTGTATAATGGTTGTATTTATATATTATAATATGTATTATATATATTATTATATATTAAAATGTCTTATGATGTTAATATAATACTCTTTTACTGATATAATTGGTTATATGTATGTATATATTACTGATATATTACTAATTTTTTTAATGCATATTTATTATAATACTTATATAGTGGAGGGTGGCATACTCTGCCGGCAGTGCTCATCTGCGGCAACGGCGCCGCAGATGACTACTACCTGCCTAAAGGCTGTCGAGCAGTTTCTGCCGTAAGTATCCAATTCCCTGTTGGATATTCCAGCAAGCGTAAAAGATTGGAATACGGTAATATTACAAATTTCTTCGGAGTGTATGTTCTTTTAAAAAAAAGGTAAATATATGTATATTTAAAGGGATGCGTTTTATTAAAACCTTATGAAAGACAAGTCGAATAAATACTGTTTTAGAAAAATCTAAAATATCCGTAAGGATTAACAATTTAAAAGTTATTTGTGTAATTTTTCTACTAGTATTGGCTCTCTGTCTGTTAAGGGTAAATCCAAATGCAATCATCATGGATTGCATCTTTAAGTTCGTTAAATCTAAAGTATTGTAATAGTACAGGGTGTTTCAAGAAATTTGGAACAAATGACTTGCTTATATCTTTTTGTTCTTTGCAGCTATCAACGAATTTCTTTTTGTTTCTAAAAATTGACAGCGTGCGTTTTTAGAATCTCAAAAAAATTTTTTTCGTCGGCGGAGGGCCCATCTCTCGGCGGAGAAAATTAGGGCCTTTTTTAAAAATCACAGCGTATTACGTGGCGGAAACGCCGTTGTAACGGCTGAAATCAAGTTTACGTAATACCTCCATCGATTTTACGGTATGCTTTTTTTGCGTTTTCGATTTTACGCACTTCCGCGGATGCGCGGCGGAGACCTCAGATTTCGGTGGACGTCGTTTTGGGCCTTCGGCTGTTGCAATTCATGTTGGAAAAGAGGTTGGGGTGGTTTTTTGTTGTCATCCGATGCACAGATGGCAAAAATTTCGTGCTTTTTATCCCCGGCGGAGGAGTCGGCGGAGGCTTTATCAAAGGGTAAAAACAAAACTCCGCCGATTTGTCCGCCGGACCAAAAAAATCAAAAATCTTTGAAAGACAATGCTGCTCTGATGGATTCTTGTAGCTGAGATTTTTCCCGGACTCGTAAGACAGCTTTGACCCTTTGATAAAGCCTCCGCCGAATCCTCCGCCGGGGAAAAAAAGCACGAAATTTTTGCCATCTGTGCATCGGATGACAACAAAAAATCACCCCAACCTCTTTTCCAACATGAATTGCAACAGCCGAAGGCCCAAAACAACGTCCGCCGAAATCTGAAGTCTCCGCCGCGCCTTCGCGGTGCGCGTAAAATCGAAAACAAAAAAATGCATACCGTAAAATCGAAGGAGGTGTAACGTAAACTTGATTTCAGCCGTTGCAACGGCGTTTCCGCCACGTAATACGCTGTGATTTTTAAAAAAGGCCCTAATTTTCTACGCCGAGAAATGGGCCCTCCGCCGACAAAAAAAAATTTTTTTTAAGATTCTAAAAACGCACGCTGTCAATTTTTAGAAGCAAAAAGAAATTCGTTGATAGCTGCAAAGAACACAAAGATATAAGCAAGTCATTTGTTCCAAATTTCTTGAAACACCCTGTAGTCTTCCTCGTCGGGAGTGTGGGAATTAATCCCGTTTTATTTAAAATGTATTTTGTGTTTTGTATTTTTGTATTGGGATCGGATGACTTTATATGAGATGAATCAGTCTGGATAAAACATATTTTTATTGATTGGTCTTGGATGAATAATGGGGATTGGATTCCCTAAAGATATCTAATTATTAATTGGGCGATTGTGCATCAAGGACCTGCGGTAAGGTGATATTTTTAAATTTCAAGAGGTACTGCACTTGCGATTTTCCAGGCTTATTTTGTTTTTCTTTCAGCCCAACACTTCAAGATGACTCCCGCTCAGTTCCTGGAGCTGCTCGGCATCCGGTTTGTCAACGGAGGTGCCGGCCAGCTGGCCTGGATCAATGACCCGGCCCACTTTGCGGGGATCCATGTGGTCAATCCAGGCCAGCTGGCCCCGGTCCCCGTCAAAGAACAGGAGCTCAGGAGTGGGGCTGGGCGTGGGGGAGAGCTCGCCCCGGAGGACCCCCGAGGTTCTGATGTGGGAGGAGGCGGCTTCTGCCGCAGGCCTCCTCCTCAGTGCCCTCGATGAGATCTTCCGGGATCTCGAGGTCTCCCCCAGCCTGGAGGTGGTTGCGGGAAATCTTGAGGGGCCAGGGCCTGGGGTGGCGGTGGAGTCCCCCAGAAACGACCTGGCCCTCCTGGTGATCTTGGAGGAGCTGAGGGCGGAAGCCGTCAGGCTCGGGCTGGATGAGGAGGCGCCGGGGAGGAGGAACCGAGGGCGGACAATATGCTGCGAGCTTAATGATACGTAAAGGTTGGGCCGGACCCCCCGGGGGAGCAATTTCTGGACGATTGCTCGCTGAATGCGATCGCTTGGCCGGTGCAAAGGCGGGCCACTTAAGGGACATGGTTTACAACGGCAAGATTATGGGAATTGAATTGGTAAGTGAATTTTGCACACCGTCGGCCAAGAAAAATCAGATGGCCATTTTTGCAGGCACTGCGGCCGGTGCGGGGAAAGAAGCGAAAGAAGGGGAAAAGGGAAGGGGTACTGTAATTCTTGAAAATATTATGTGATTTGTCGGGGATATTTTCACCGGGGCACGGCGCTCTACATGTCCTAACTGTACCGGCACCAGAACTATTTTGGGGAATTTTAATTTGGAAGAAACTGATCGCTTTTTTCTTGGCGGGTTAATTAATCAATACTTTCTAAATTCAGGCCCCGGAGGACCCCCGAGGTTCTGATGTGGGAGGAGGCGGCTTCAGCCTCCCCCTCAGTGCCCTCGATGAGATCTTCCGGGATCTCGAGGTCTCCCCCAGCCTGGAGGTGGTTGGGGGAAATCTTGAGGGGTCAGGGCCTGGGGTGGCGGTGGAGTCCCCAAGAACGACCTGGCCCTCCTGGTGATCTTGGAGGAGCTGAGGGCGGAAGCCGTCAGGCTCGGGCTGGATGAGGAGGCGCCGGGGAGGAGGAACCGAGGGCGGACAATATGCTGCGAGCTTAAAGATACGTAAAGGTTGGGCCGGACCCACCCTCCAATTGGGATTTCTCGGCTGAGTTATGGCTCTAGATGACGCACAAGTTCAAGGCCTGGAACTGGCACTACTATCAAAGAAAGTTGAAGTATGCGTAAATCCATACTTGGCAATGCACGTTCTACTGGTCTGTGGCCGTGTAATTAAACCAAAATCTAATAAAAAAGGAGTAGAAGTTGAAGCAGAAAAACAGTGCTGAGGATGGCCTCGACTCGCTGAGCAAAGCTGAAAATGATGGAATTTCGACGACCAATGCTGATGATGCCCGTTGGGAGTGGTGCGTAATTTCACCCACTTAAAACGACTGGAAGGCTCCGCAGGCCTGGAGGTGATTGAGGACAACCTGGAGGGGCCAGGGCTTGAGGTGGCTGTGGAGTCACCCAGCAATGACCCCCTCATGGAGATCGAGGAGCTGAGGGCGGAAGCGTCAGGCCCGGCTGGATGAGAAGGTGGCCGGGTCTGCCGGCTCCCCGTCACCAGTCCCTCCTTGATACTCGTCCTGTTCCCTTCGAATGGCTCCGTATTTCCCCTTGGTGGATCCCTGCTTGCCACACACATTGTGGGAATTAGACTTGAGCAATGGGAGCTCGATTGGAGTATTTTGAAGCGCGTCCGCCAAATAAAGTGTTGCATCAGTGATTTAGCCATAATTTCATCATGCCCTCATTTGCATCCGGATGAGTGACAGGTTAATGTGGAAAGTAATGGGTTCCCATGGATTGAATAATCGAAGGTTTCATCACCATATTTCTTCATCTCTTCGAGTCGGGAGCGGCGGCTGTTGTGTGCTCAGTGCGCTGCATAAAAACCCCGGCCCCGCCTGTTCAGCCACGAGACGCACGTGGGAGGTGGACTAACCGGATCCTCCCGCCGCGAGACGCGAAAGGGCGCTTTCTTCGCCGGACGCGTCGATAGTTCTATTTTACGTAGTTTTATTCCTTTGTTTCCTTATTTATCTAATTCGTTTTCCTTTACGCGGGTCATAAATACGGTAATGAACCTATACGGACCCTCTTTTCTTTTCGAGAAAACAGGTTTAGGGACAAGGGTATACCTAGCTGTAGGGTGTCCTAATGGACCCAAAAAGTATTGGTATGGGGCACGAATGGCAACTGGGGAACGAAGCGGAATGCTACCCTCCCCTTTTTTGTTTTCTGTCAAAACGACCCGTCAAAATTGGTAAAAAGAAAGTGGAATAATCCCGAGAAAATTTGACTTGTGACTCAGGGCTGGCGTGATGCGTCGAATAAGTCACTAAAGTCCCGAGAGCCCGGCGGTAAGTTTGGCGGGTGAGCTTGTTTTGGTTGTGAAGGCACGACTGGAATCCAGAGCGCAAATCGGCTCAAAATTCCGGTGTCTATTGTCCGCGGCCTCCGCGCCGTAAGTTGTAACGATGTTGGGGTTGCGCTGGGGCAGCAGGTTCCTGTGGACCAGGAAGTGGCCTAGCTCTTAAGGGCGTGGAGCCAGGTGGGTGCAAGTTTCCTTTAAATCGCACACACTGATCCAAATGAATCTTTACGGGCGCCGCGGTTACTGGGGTTATCAGCACGTGTGGGGGATCCACTTGATCAAACCCGCAGGGAAAATATTATAATATTTATTTATACAAGAATAAGATAACACGTACATGAAATATAGCGCTAAAGACAACCGAAACCCCACAGAAGCCTTAGAAGGCTGACTCCAGGTTGGAAAACCTCGGAGGATCGATCCAGTGAAGAACTTGGGAGGGTTTATATAGGGGCCTGATCGGGCTTCGAGAAAGTTCATCGTCCACGGAGCAATCAGCCTAAGTGGCCGACTTTCATCATCGATGTTACGAAAAGAGGCCTGACATTTCCTGCAGCTGCAAATGCTTGCGGCCTATGCGCAACCACGACATTTCGGGGCATCACGTGGCAGGAGGGCGCCACGTGACTTTCTTCGGCTTGATCACGGGCCTCAGCGACCTTTCTTCAGGTCGCTTGCGGGAGGGAGAGTGAGTCAGGTGAGAAATGTCTGGCCGAGAGAATGCGGGAGTTCCTCATTCTCACTCAATCAGCAGAATCTGCAGGAAATTTCAGGCATTGAGAATCGTTCGATTCGAGATCGGTTGACTGCGGAGAAGAGGCCGTGTAAGTACTGAAGAAAAGACGAAGGGAACGTAGCTTGAAGAGAAACACTGTGTGGCTGGTTAGCATAATTGTCAAGAGACGGTGAGGCCAGGGGGACTTCAGATATGGATCAGCACGCGGGCCAAAACGTCGCCGGAAGCGGGAATGGACAAACAGGTATGAAGATATTAGTGTAATTTTTGTCCTGGGAATGGCGACTCTGAGAACCACGATTTCGCTCATTCCTAGGCAAATGGAATCCTTGGGGCTGGTACATGGGTTTTGGTGTTCGTGTTGTCGAAGTTTTAATTGCTTGATCAAGTTAAGTACTTGTAGCGCCAAAATGACCCCGTTGGACTGGTTCTTACTACAACGCGGCGTAGCCGTCGTCAACGAACATCTTGGCGAAATCACGGATAAAAAACTCATGAATATGATGAGATTCAACACGAGAACGCTCCACTGCGCAAACATTCCCGCCCTATATAAGCGGATCTCAAGGATGCCGAAAAACCAATCTCGGCAACAAATGACCAAGATGTAATGATCCAACTCAAAATCCGCATCTCCAATATCAACAATGGTATGGCCAAAGTGGACACCAAGCTGAAGGAATTGTTGATTTCCTCTGGCTAATTTATCCAGCGCACTGAGCAAACAACAGCGGCCGCTCCTGACTCGCAGAGATGAAGAAATATGGCTATGAAACCTTCGATTATTCAATCCATGGGAACCCATTACTTTTCCCATTAACCTGTCACTCATCCGGATGCAAATGAGGGCATTATGCATGCCCTGGTGAAATCATGGCGAAATCACGGATAAAACCCATAAATATAATGAGATTTAACTTCGAGAATGGTCTACTGCGCAAACATTCCAGCCATATAGAAGCACTTAAGGGAAATTTTTTACAACGGCAAGATTATGGGAATCGAATTGGTAAGTGAATTTTGCAAACCGTCGGCCGAGAAAATCAGATGGCCTTTTTTGCAGGCAGTCGCTTTATATCCATTCCTATTTTTGCCACTTTTACTTCGGGCTCAGTTTTTCGCATTTTGCTTTAGAATTGCTTCAGTTACTACCGAAGGCTCGGGGCCCGCGGCACGTCGGGTAACTATAATATTAAAACTCATTGATGGCGAAAGCCGAGGGCACAATTTTTCCGAATTTTTGCGCCTTCTTGTAATTTTAGTCGGTTAAAGCATTAGGACCCCTTGCGAAAACTCGCGCACCAGAAAGCTGGGCATTCTACTGAGTGTTCTGCACGCCAAAAGTTCGGAAATACAAGTTGGATTTCCAGATACCCGCTCAGATGTTCACCAAATATCTACCGCATTTCCAGACTGGCAGTCTGTTGGAATTGTCCACGGGGGTCCTGCGACCAATAACCCTCTATGTCATCAGTGGAGAAGGAAATCGTATCTCCACCACAATACACCGACCGATCTTCACCAGGCCACTCATGATCCTCACCAGGCCGCACCCAAGAAATATAGCTATATGAATCAGAGAAAAGTAACCAGTACTGAAGTACTGATCAACACAGTGCACAAAAACCCAAGCCGAAAAACCAACCGTGTACGAAAAGAAATGTATGAGTGGTACTACAAAGTCAATGCCAAAAATTCGCTCAAGCTTTAGCTATGCGACAGAAAAATGTAGTCTATCAAGTTTACCCCCACTTTAGAAAATTTAGGGGCTTTTTACAGAACCGTTTTTTGTCTATTACTGTCGCCTGGTGCCCTAATTTATTAGTAAATATTTGATATGAACCGGCTTAAAGATTTGATACCGGTTTTGGCATGGGACACACTCACCGCACCATTCTCGGCAGTTCCTGTCCATTTTATACCAAAAGTAACGAGAGAGCGTTTCAAGGGTTTTGTACGCGGCAAAATGCCCTCCGGTGTGAGCACTTTCATGACAAAACGGGAAAATGGTTTTTCGGAGAGCCTGAGAGGCGAATTTCGTCCCATTCGAAAATCGCCCCTGAGGGGCGATTTTCGTCCCATTGCGATCGTTTTGCCTGTGCAAGAGGCAAAACGCATACTATCCCCATTGATTGGTGTTTACCTTTAGGAAAAAATAAAGTTTTGTAAGAAAAAAATGTGGAAAACTTCTGAAACAACCAAACCATATGCGATCGTACGTAATTGAATGACGAGACTTGTTTTGGCAATGCATTTCTGCTTTTTCTGCTTTACTTGTTGATGGCGTTGATAAAAAGAGAATTGATAGCCAACTTGTTGATATTTTTATCAACCATTTGTGTTTTGATATCCTCTGAAATATAATTTCCATGCGTAAAAATATCATTTGGCATATAATCTTGATATATAGTATACTACTGTATTTGAAATAATTATTTTTGATGATAATGCTACAAATATAATAATGTTTTTTTCACTTTATAAAACGATTTATATATAATGTGTCACATATGTATAGCATATACATATACTAGAAGCACATGTAGAGGCAATATGGAACGTAAATAAAAAGACCGCAGCCATTATGCTTATGTATCTTCTACTGTCTGTTTCAATTTTGAGATGTACCGTTACACCTTTTTCTTTTTTGATTTGTTTCCGCTGTGGCCTGCACTTGAGGGTGCCGGAGAAGAGGCGGTAGAAGAAGAACCCGGAGAGTCGGGCCAGAACGTCGATATTGAGGGAGAAGAGGTCTATGAAGCCGCCGATGATGCTGGCGCCCCGATTAGAGAAGAAGAACATGTTGGAGACGAGGAAAGCGCTGATCTAGAAGAGACGCCAAGAACCGAAAACCCCAAAACTTAACCACTCGCTGCTACCAGTAATTTGACAAGTAAAAACTGGTGGATCTTGGTACCTAGTAAAGTACCGAAGATATATTCAGGTATAAACAAACGACTATGCAAAGAATCAACCCGCGGGGATAACAAGTATAATATTTATTTATACAAGAATAAAATAGCACGTATATACACGAAAATAGAGCTCTAAAACAACTGAAACCCCACAAAAGCCTTAGAAGGCTGACTCCAGGTCGGAAAACCTCGGAGGATCGATCCAGTGAAGAAGTTAGGAGGGTTTATATAGGGGCCTGATCGGGCTTCGAGAAAGTTCATCGCCCACGGAGTAATCAGCTTAAGTGGCCGACTTTCATCATCGATTTTACGAAAAGGTGCCTGACATTTTCTGCAGCTGCAAACGCTTGCGGCCTACGCGCAAGCACGACATCTCGGGGCGCGAGGGGAGCCACGTGACTTTCTTCGGCTTGATCACGGGCCTCAGCGACCTTTCTTCAGGTCGCTTGCGGGAGGGAATGTGAGTCAGGTGAGAAATGTCTGGCCGAGAGAATGCGGGAGTTCCTCATTCTCACTCAATCAGCAGAATCTGCAGGAAATTTCAGGCATTGAGAATCGTTCGATTCGAGATCGGTTGACTGCGGAGAAGAGGCCGTGTAAGTACCGAAGAAAAGACGAAGGGAACGTGGCTGAAGAGAAACACTGTGTGGCTGGTTAGCATAATTGTCAAGAGACGGTGAGGCCAGGGGGACTTCAGATATGGATCAACACGCGGGCCAAAACGTCGCCGGAAGCGGGAATGGACAAACAGGTATGAAGATATCAGTGTAATTTGTGTCCTGGGAACGGCGACTCTAAGAACCAAGGTTTCGCTCATTCTTAGGCAAACAGAATTTTTGGGGCTGGTAGTTGGGTTTAGGTATTCCGTGCTGTTGAAGTTCGAAGTTTCGTACGTTTTTGCAGATGACGCCTCTGGATTGGTTGCTGCTCCAGCGTGGAATCGCCGTGGTGACGATAAATGGAGAAGATATAGTTCTGGATGTCTGTCCAATCATGGCTCTCTCGGGTAGGTGGGGGGTATCTGGAACTTGGTGATAGATGAGCTTTGTTGGGAAATTAAGCTAGTTTATGGGCATTTTCACCCCTAAAAACCTAAAATAGGCAGCGAATTTTTATGTATTATATCCTTGGTCAGCACGTTTTTTTCTGATTCGTTTGAGATATTTCCCGTCAAAAAGTGAGAGCCCCCATACAAGTACTCTCCTTTAGGAAAAAAATTTTTGTTAACCAGTTGAGTAAACCGGCTTTTTCAGCGACCAATCCGGCAGGTCTCTTCTGGCCAAACCAGCCCATTTTTGATGATGGAGAAGGAGCAGCCGAGGAGCCAAACCAGCCCATCGGTAGTGAAGGAGAAGGAGAGGGAGAGGTCGAGGACAGCCCTGAGGATATCGAAGCCCCAGCGGAAGAAAGAGAGGAGCCCGCTGGCGGCCAGGAGGAGCACGAGGAGATTGTTGTTGATGAAGCTGTTGGCCAAGGTGAAGAGCCAGAAGAAGCCACCGATGGGGAAGAGGGGGCCCCGGCCGAGGGATTGTCTGAAGAGAGAGTAGGAGAAGAACCCACCATGGACTACGTAAAATGTTATAATAGCTTTCCTTGATAACACCGATATCTTTCATTTTTGAACCGATGCGAGTTCCGTATCAGAAAGACCTAGCGAAACAAAGAACCGTAATTAAGAAATGAGTTAAAATCATGAAAAATGAATATCATTTTCGAAATCAGCGCCATCAACCACTCATAAATCCACCATTCGTCGAAAAATTCAAAAATTACTACTTTACAGTACTATAATACTTAAGCGAAATTGTAAGAATGACAAAAAATGAATATCATTTTCGAAATCAGCGTCATTGATTACCCCTATTTTCGATATTTAGTCATAATCTTCGAATTTTTACTTATTACGCAATGACCACTATGAATCTTCAATTTTTTTAGCCCAAGGTGACTACCACCCTAAAATATGGCCCCCACACTACTTTTTCTATTTGGGGGCATAATGGGAATATTTTGGGGGCAGCTTCCAAACTCGTGTTTGGGGGCATGTGTTTGGGGGCAGAATGGTATAAATTTGGGGGCAGCTTCACAATTATCCCTCGGAAACCTCTAAATCGGGCCTTATTTGGTCAAGTTCAAAGATATAATTATATTGTTTTGTCGTTTATTCCAAGACTCAAATCACAATTAGGTATCAGTTTCATTATCCGACTTAAAAATCGGACATCTTTCGATGGGATTCATCGTTGAGTTGAGTTTGCAGCGGAATGCATTCGCAAAGGCCGGAAAATTGGCAGCCGTTAATCGAATCCTCAATTCCGCCGGATGATGGGTGTTATAAGATGGATAAAACGTCTCCCACGCCGGGAAATTGATCGTCAGCTGAGCCCAATTGATAAAGAATAGCTGGTCGTTGGTGAACGCTCCCAACACACGATCCGCAAGCCGTTCGTTGGGCCTGGCCGACAAGTATTTGCGGTATGAGGCGTAGGCAAGTCGCATTCCGACATGGTCGGCAAACGCCTCTCTTCGCAGGAAATAGCCATCGGTGCATGTCTTGGCCGGGCTTGCAAAAACCGTCTCCTTGTTTCGCCACGCATGCCATTACATCCGTATAGTAGTCGAAAGGATCACCGCGAAAGAAGTCTGAAGATTTGAGATATTTTGAGGAGACTCGGCTCAAGTTTTGAATGAGATACGGTCAAACTTCTGTTCAAAAAATTGCAAAATTCCAAAAAATTGATTTGTTATAAAAGGTCTTCGTTATACAACGTTTTTTACATAAAATTGATTTAAAAGGCCTCGGAAATTGTACAAAACCGCTTCAAGTTTGGCTCAAGCCCCAATAAGATTTGAGTTTCGCATTTCTAGCACTCTACTGGTCGGTGGAAACCTACCAAAACTATGGCCAATTTCGTGGCCCATCGCGAACCCAGAGTTGGAAAGGATCAGCAACGGTGAGAAGCTCTTGTCTTTACATAGCTTTCTAACACTTATACTTTATTACGGATCAATCTTGTAATGCGAATAGTTGTAGTATGGTTCAATTAGGCTTTCAATGATTAGGACACTGCAGCCATCTATCTTGTAATACGCATCTCCTGACGCGCAATGGAAAGCATTAGAAAACGCTCTCGAGCATTTGAAGTAGTCCCAAGCATCCGAAGTTTTGTTGGCGAAGTCTTCGTCAAGCATAGTCAAGCTCTGAGCCAAGTTGAAAAAGTAGAGTTGTTCTTGTGAGAGCTTGCTGATAAATGGACCTTCAACGAAATTCTGCTGCAAAAACATTTGATTCCGTCGTTGGAAGGCGTTGTAAGCGACGATGCCCGCTACATCATTCAACGAAATAGTTGGCAAGAGAAGGTCTGAAGTGAGAAGATCGAAACTTTAGGAAGTCCCCCAACTATGACGCTCGGATTTTCTTTAAATTGCGTGCATTCTTTGGTCATAGAGCACATATTAATTACTGAAAAGTTTAGCTCACGCTTTGCAAAGTCAGTCGAGAAACTGAATGACAAAAGAGTACGCGAAACTCGGAGAACGGTCAAAGAAAAAACATTTTTTGGTCATATCTCTGCCAATTTCGATTAATTTTTTTGTGGAAACATTACCCTCTCTGGTAGAAATAGGCATGAAACTTTTTATGCCAAAATCTGCAAAAAAAAGTTATATTTTTTCAACTTTAGACCCAAAATTTTTGTTGTTTCTGCAAAGCGCGAGGTAGTGTGTTGTCATAGCAAGGGGTAAGACACAATACACGGCAACCCGAAATAGAAGAAAAATGTTTCCCGCCCACTTTTGAGTTTCGTCCAAACGAAGTGTCAAAATTGACAAAAGAAATAAAATAATTCCGAGAAAAATATTTTTCGGTCCGGAAATCCAACGAAAAATTCTTTTGTGACATTTTGTTTGATTTCAACGGATAAAAAACGGGCGAAGTGTCGAAAGGAGCTAGGAAACACTTCGGGTTGCCGTGCAATAGTTCTTCTTTGCCCCGACTCTGCAGTACTCCAATGTTAAGAGTCGCAAGTTGCTGGAGTGATTTTGGCAATATGCACAAAAAGAAAAGTTCACCTTTCACTCTGCATTTTCTTGCTTTTTGCATTGTGCAAAAGGCTTTTTTTGGCAGTCGCTCGCATCTTGACTTTTCCTACATAGTACAAACTCCGAAAATCACTCTAGCGACTTTACGGGCTAGTATCTCCTTTAGTAACCTTTTCAGCGTCTACAGTGGCGGACCTGATCCAGTGGCAAAAACCTACCATTTTGCATCCAGGAAGTGTCACAAAATGTAGCAAAATACCTCCCTCTCCAAGTAAAAAAGCTCTGATTTCAAAAGCGCGCCCTATCTTTTTGTTAGGGAAAGGGTGCGCCTTTCAAAACGAAGTTTTTTGTCTTGCAGGGGGAGGTATTTTGCTACATTTTTGATACTTCCCGGATGCAAAATGATATGTTTTTTACCATTGGATCAGGTCTTTCACTGTAACTTACTCTTTTCTTCAGGAAACGCAAAGGCAAAGTTGGAATACGTCAGCGCGGGTGGGAATCCCCGGTTATAAAATGGATAGCTGATTGCATGCATTCCCAATCCCACGTAGTTATGGCCGTCGACTCCTGCGATAAACGTTGAGTGCTCCTAAAATATAATAGAACCAAATTTAAGTGTTCAAGACAAAAAACAAAAACTTACGTCAAATCTCGGCGTGTAGAACAAGTTTTTACCATTCTCGAAATTGTATTGAATCAGCCGCTTCATGTTGTTCAGATGTCGATCAACATACAATGTCTCTTGGGTGAAATTCACATTGAAATACCTCTCAAAAGTTGCGTCCTCAAAAATGGGGTGAGTAATATTCAGCCAGCGAAGCTTGTCGAAGGACTTGGTAATGTTATCATCGGGAAGGTCCATCGAATAGAGCGAAGATTTAAATGCGTCCTTAACATCCGTTAGCATCTTCAAAAACTCCTCGTCCAAACCGTTGGTGGAGCCTTCGTTTTGGTTGATGAAATCAAAAATTATCTTCCGATAGTACATGGGAGCCACATCTTCGATGAGTTCGGCGCAATTCCGGTACGGACCCGGATCCTCGGCGCCGGCAAAGATCTGGGCAATATCGTAGATAATCGTTCTGCGGTCTTCCACCTGAAAGTGGTGCTACTAGTCCGCTCGTAAAGTGGCTGGAGCTTTTTCGGCAACATCTACTGTGAGAATATATGGTCCCCTTTTTAAGGGGCTTATCGGGGCTGTTGCTCCCACGCTGACTGTTTTTACACAGCTTATGGCGCGGAAATCGCTCTAGCAACTTTACGAATGGACTAGCAGTCATTCTCCCTAACGAATGAGGTGCCCCAAGTGCGGCGTTCAGATTTTCTTTCAATTTTTCAGACTTGTCTGGAATAGGCTCCAAATTAATCATTGAAAATTTTAGTTGGCGCTTTGCAGGGAGAGCCAAGATATTCAGCTTTTGCGGCCGAGAAAGCGTGCGAAATGCTGAGAAACGGTTATAGAAAAAAAGTTATTGACCATATTTCTTGTGGAAACACAATAACCTTATATGGTAAAAATGCGAAAGAGCTTTTTCATGCCAAAATTCGCAGAAAAGTCAAAAATATCGGTCAATCGCGCAAAGCGCAAGCTAACAATACGAGTTGCGCTTGGGGTATTCGGCTGTTGTCGGTCTGTCGGGGAAATAATGAGCATTTTTTGCGTGGAAAAATCGCATTGCCACAGAGAAAAAAAATGTGTCGCGGCAAAATCAAATTGCTTTTCTCTTCAACAAAGAGATTGGCACAGCGACATTGCGCTCATTATTTCTCCGACAGACTGATTGTATGTATAGAAGATGAAATTTCCTTACATCTGACGGAAAAAAGAGTTTAACCGGCAACTCCTCGCCCAGCACCAGATCGAAAATATGAGCAATCATCTCTCGGCACGCTTCCTTCCCGATCTGGTCCTCGCAGTTATCCTTCCCAAAGTCCGTTTGGCCATATGCTTCAAAATTTAAAATCATCTTGGTTCCCAAGATTTGCTCATCAAAGACCTGAGAGCCATAGGTAAACAGGATGTTCAGGTAGTGCTTGTACTTCATGGCAAACCACTCCGTGTTGTTCAGGTCGATGTTGTTCAGATAGTCCTGTATGTCGACGTTGTAGGCGTTAATGGTCACCTGATCTTTTCCGGGTCGGAATTTCCGACTGGGAAATGGTGTTTGCTGGGCGCAAAAGGCAAAGATCTGCTTGACGGCTTGGAGAGGGGGCTGAAAATTATATTGACGGTATTAAGAAGCATATGCAGTGGCCGACTTGATCCATTAGCAAAAAGCGAACCATTTTGCATCCAGAAAGTATAAAAAAATGTGGCAAAATGCCTCCCTCTCCGAGTGAAAAAAACTCCGTTTTGAACTGCGAGCCCTTTCCCTCACAAAAAGAGTGGGCGCGTTTTGGAAATCGGAGTTTTTTGACTTGGAGAGGGAGGTATTTTGCTGCATTTTTGATACTTCCCTGATGCAAAATGAAACATTTTTTGCCACTGGATTAGGTCCGCCACTCTATGTCCAAATATTACTCCGGCAAACATCAAAAAAGCACAACAAAAACACAGATTTCTAAGCCGGAGCAGAAGTTGACCGTCATCAAGTTGTATCCAAGTGAAAAAAATACAAAAAATTTGTATGTTACACGGATACTTCCCATTATCAATGCTTACAAATTGACTCTTCATCCCGCTGAACACCTCTTCCGCGCGCTCTTGCTTGTATTTAACGAGCGTCGTCTCGTCGATGCCATAAGTCGCGTAGGTAGCAAAGTCCTCACATGGATCCGTCGTAGATGATATCCCCGATTCCAAGAGCTCCGACTTTTTCTTCAAGGCCTCTTCTTTCTAAAAACGTTGTGGTAAATAAAGTTGGCAACACTTTGTTCTGTTCACGTTTCATTTGGGGAATAGCATCAAATGAAGGCTGCGCTTCTATTGCGTCTCGAATTGCTTACCGTCAGCGCGTTTACAGTAAGAAACTGTAAGAAATATAAGACGAGCCACATGGTAGACCAAATTCAATTATCAAACAATAACTTTGAATCCGAAATTTATCATAATTTATTGCATTGTCTGGTCCATTTCAAATAAACGCTCTTTGTTTCCGTTTACTTATGAACAATTTCTTTGTCCGTAGTCCCAGACGTTGGAATCGATGTATCGGAAGAAAAATACAGAGGAATCGCCGTAGAGCGGGTTGAGCCCGAACTCTCCCCCTTTTTGAACACTCCCCCTTGAATAAAAATTCTCTTTTTTTGAACACCCCCACATCTTGAAAATTGAAAAGAAGAGGTGTGAGATGTTATACAAAATACAAAATAACTTTTTCAATTGATAAAAGTAAAGAGTGACATGTCATACGCTGAATTTTTTTTTCAGCAAAACCATCTTCTGATTCCAAATTTATCGAGTAAATAAATGCCAATGAGCATTCGAAATTATGAAGTCGTGAAGCCAATCGTATTACTAAATGTTTCTATCAATCCTTTATAAATCATTCTATACATATGACCAAGAAGATACATTAACTTTACATTTATGTAAGTCAACCTTGCCAAAGACGGGAAATGAAAATTTTTGAATAAATAGTTTTAAACTTCAATTCGGATATTCTTGATGGGTTATATAGACCATAACTGAGTGATTGGAAGAAAATCTAAGACCGAAATAAAGCTCTATGATAAGAATCAGGAGCACAAAAATGTCAGGTTACGGAAAATCGTCAAAAAATAATGAAAAGCCATTGTTTTCCAATATTTTTTTGAACTAAAGGAGAACTCGCTCAAATTCGATGAAAATGTGTTGAATGTGGTATCCGTCGTGCGCGTTGTCTGTTCGCCGTCGCTGTTGCCTGAAAGATGACTATTTTAATGTTTTAACGTTGAGTTTCTTTGGTAATTTTTGGCATAACAGAACCAAAAAATTAGTGTACTCCCCTAAGGAACTATGCCACAGCGCTTGCTACACTTCGGAAGGCTTTGTCGCTCCGTGACAAAGCCTTCCTCCCAAGCAACTTAAAAAAATTTTTTTTTCTTATTTTTATATTTTTATATTTTTTTTGTTTTTTTTCTGTTAAAAAATACCTACTGCGTTAGCAAAAAACGTTAGTTAAAAAAAGTAAAAAATAGTTGGTGAGACAAAAAATTATTTACATGATTACATCATTTCGTATCTCTTCTTTAAGCGTTTCGTTAATTCTTTCGCTAATATACGAAACGTCACACTTATGAGCTCCTGGACTTCTTCCTCGTCCTTTATGATCAGTGCGGCATCTGAAAGCAAGGACAATAAAAACGTCTTATCGTATACAAATACCCCAACTGGCATATCCTAGGGCGCAGCTCGGAACGAAAAAAAAGAATTTCCGCGACAACACCGGAGAGCTCAAAGATGTTTGCAAAAAGTTTCTGCCATATTTCTTGAAACACCCTGTACAAAGTTTTCAGGAGTTCGAATCCAGATGGAGCCAAGGGGCCTCCAAAATTCCTACAAAGACAGTAGAAATCTTTCTATGTATCAAAACTTGCCCGCCCTTTACTTACATAAGAAAATATATACATCCCCTCCCAAGCAACCTATTTTTTTTTTTTGTTTTTTTTTTATTTTTCTTATTTTTACATTTTTTTAGTTTTTTCGCTTTTAAAAAATAGCTACTGCGTTAAAAAACATTACTTACCAAAACTGTAGGTTAGACCAAATATAACAAAGTATTACATCATGTCGAATCTCCCTTTTAATTTTTTCGTTGCTTCTTTCGCCATTATTCGGAAAATCACCCGGATCAGTTCTTGTACTTCTTCTTCATCCTTGACGAGTACTGCGATGTCTAAAAACAAGGACAATAAAAATGTTTTATCGTGTATAAATACCCCAACTGGAATATCCTAGGGCGCAGCTCGGAACGCAAAAAATTGTTATGCGTTTTTTAATCTTAAAAGACGATTTTTGGCTCGCTGCGTTTTTTTGAATTTTTTGGCCTAAAATGTTGGTATAGGTCACTAAAACACATCCCAAATTTTTTTGCCCAGTGAGCCCGGAAGGTGGAAATTTGCATGCGGATATTACCGTCCTTCTGAGCTCTGTTGTTGCCGTCGCAAAAAAGACAACTTGAGGAAACCGACTCCGTTTAGGTTTTGGGGAACGGCGATTTCGTGGCAGATAAAGCATGGCGCAGTGAAATTTTGATGCGCCAAAAAAGATTTGCGGAGGATAGGTTACCCCGAGAATAGGTTACCCATCGGATAGGTTGCCCCAAAACCACATCACCCGGAGGATAGGTTACCCCACCGGATAGGTTACCCTTCAACTTATATTTTTTTAGTTGAAGTATTAATAAAAAAACTTGCGTTAGAAAACTGTTAGTAGAGAAAAAAGATTTTTTTACAATTCGTACCGCTCCTTCAATATCCTGGTTAGTTCTTTTGCTGCTATGCGGCCAATAAGCCGGACCGTTGCTTCTCGGGCAAAAGGTTTAGACAACGAATAGGTTAGAACAATAATTTACATTATTTCGTACCTCTCCTTCAAACGCTTCGTTGCTTCTCGAGCAACAATTCGACAAAGTACGCGTACAAGTTCTTGGATTTCCGGCTCATCCTTGACGAGCATTGCCACATCTGAAAACAAGGACAATCAAAATGTTTTATTGTATGAAAATACCCCAACTGCCATATCCTAGGGCGCAGCTCGGAACGTAAAAAAACTTGACGAGCTTGTTACACAGGGGACCCAAATTGACTTATAAAAACATATAATGACTTATAATGAAATGATTTTTTATAAGTCATTATTTGTTCTTATAAGTCATCTTAAATGACCATCCAGGAAGGAATCAAAATGTCGCAAAACACCTCCCTTCTCTAAGCTAAAAAAACCCGTTTTGAAGAGTGCGCCCTTTTTTTCAAGAAGAGAGCACCAACTCCGAACGCATCCAACAATATTCGCAATCAAAAAACGCGCGATTTTTGCGCTTCTCTTTTTCTTTTGGCCTTCCGTATTTGCAAAATTTTATTGTTTTTTCACAGAAAATGAGAAATTCAGCTAGCGAGATATTGAGAGATAAAGCAAGCGCATTCCGAAAAAAATTGAAAAAGTCGCGGAGATCGGTTGTGGCCCAAAAGTGCAGGGTGCGCCAAAAAAAGGGGTAGACCATGTACAATGTAAAGTCAATCTAGCGGGTCTCAAGGGCAGGAAATTTTCAATAGTCCGGTTTTTTATGGCCGTCTGTCAGTGTAGTTTGTTCTCAAATATAGATGGGTGCCCAGCAATCTTCATGCGCCAGATTTTTGATTTTTGGGCCGCTGCTCAACAGCGTGAAAAGCCGTTGTTAAAATAAATAATTGAGGTAAAACACACAAGCAACCCTTAAGCTGTAATTTTTTAATTCGCACTATTGTACTAAGGTGTAACCTCCTATACAAAACCGGATCATAACATAATTTCTGTCTTTGAGACCCCTTGGATTGACTTTGTATTCTACACGGTCTACCCATAAATGCCCGATCCATATAAGGCGAAGGATTATTCACGGCGAAAACCGTCTGTATGCTATTGTACGATTGCTAACAACAAACTACCCTCCATTCTAGTTGTTGTATGACATAAATCAATTATGCACAGTTAAAGCGTGTCTCCTAGCATCTTAAACGCTATTGGTTTCATCAAGTTCTGTTTAGCTTGACTGAAGTTACACTCAAATAAAAAAAAAAAATTTACAGTTCGCTGACAACTGTTGTCTAAAACGTGTTCCATCAAAGTTTTTAGTAAGTTAAGTAACAAGTTAATAGTCTTACCGGGGTATTAAAAGAATGGTACGCTTCACGTGCATTGTCGAGGGTCAACTCTGACCTGTATGGAGCACTTTTCCTGGTGAGAATCCGTTTTCATTGAAAGGATCTTTAGTAATATTCCTTATTATAGAACGTATAATGTACGCTGCCAGCATGTTTAAGAAATACTGAAAAAATTGGTAGGGAGAATAGAGAGAAAAGTGCTTGAAGAAAGTGAGCGTCTAATTTTGTGGCGCAAGGAGAGGGAAGAGAGACTTGTGTGGCAGAAAGAGCGTTTGAGAGCAGGTCCTGCCATTGTTGATTGGCTAGAAAGGAAGACGCGTCTTTTTTCCTTTTTCTTTTTGTAAACGTCATTTATAGCATAAAGCAAACAGGGATGCTTTACGTATAACAAAGCCTGTACACAACGAGCAATCAAAGCGCGATTTAAATTTGTGCCAATTTTCATCAAAATTTCCGAAAGGCAAAAGCAAAGTTGGAATAGGTCAAAGCTGGTGGGAAGGCCCTGTTATAAAAGGGATAGCTGATTGCATGCATTCCAAATCCAAAATACTCCTCATTCCCAGCCTCGAGACCAAAGAAGGATGTGTGTTTCTGAAACTTCATCACCTCTACACCTCAAAATTTACCTCAAAACTCGGAGAGTAAAACATTTTCTCCTGACAATCGGCGTTGCATTGAATCATACGTTTCATGTTATTCTCATGCCGATCCCGATACAAAAACTCGATAAACGTGACATTAAAGTACTTTTCGAATTCGGCGTTTTCGAAAATCGGATGACTTATATTCAGCAGTTTGATCCGCAGAAACACCGTTCCCTCGTTCGCTTTCATCGAGCACAGCGTGGCGTTGAACGCGTTGACAATGTCTGTGTACATTTTGAGGAATTGATGAAATCAAACATGATTTTTTTGTAGTACATCGGAGCAACATCTTCAACAAGTTCGGCGCAGTTGTTGTAGTGCCCGGGCTCTTCGCTGCCATTGAAAATATCGCGGATGTTATATAAGATTTGTTTGCGTTCTTCCACCTAAAAGTGTGGCCCTATCAGCAAAAAGAATACACCAACTCTACATTTATCTAATGTAGGGCAACCTTGCCGAAGACGGAAAATGAAAATTTTTGAATAAATAGTTTTAAACTTCAATTCGGGGATTCTTGACGGGTAATATAGACCATATCTGAGTAATTGGAAGAAAATCTAAGACCGAAACAAAGCTCTATGATACGATCCAGGAGCAAAAAAATGCCAGCTTACGGAAATAAACGGTGAAAAACCATTGCCTTCCAATATGTTTTGCCACGAACTAAAGGAGAACTCGCTCAGCTGATGGTATCCGTCATGCGCGTTGTTTGTTCGCCGCCGCTATTTCCTGAAAGATGAAAATTTTGATGTATCAACGCCACAGCGTTCTGAGCCTTTTCACCGCCGACCGGTGTTCAAAGAAATGAAAAAATAAAAAGTGACCATCACTTGATATTCTCTTTACGATCGATTCCAAAATCTTTTTTGTTGAGCCCAAGAAAGAAAGTTTTCTTGGCATTCAAAACCGAAATTTCGCTTTTTTCAATGACGATTTCTGTAAAGAGCATCATGGTGACAAAATTTATATATTCTAAAAGGAAACTGATTACACAGAAATGGATATGAGCACAAAAATGAGATGACTAGGACAAAAGACACGGACATTTTAGTAGTACAAAAATCTTTTGGTCTGACCCAAGCATTTTTCGCGTTTCGTTCGCCGCACTGCGGGTCGGGTCAAGTTTTTTTATGGGGTAGTCAAGTCTTCCCCCCTAATATTATTTTTTCCTCGAACTTCAGTCAGTTATAACGGAAATAAATCATGGGAAATCTGGCCAGATCTTGTTGATTATTGCAAGAACAAATTCTACTCTTTTTTTAGAAACCAAATTTGATGGAATTATGTTGTGAATTTCACTCAAATTTTGGCATTCCTTGGGAGTAGTTATTTTATGCCTAAACGATCAATTCTGAGAGTTTATAGTCGGATTTAAAATATGGCCTCCATTTCACCTTCGGACGTAAGTCCACTGTCTAATAAAGGCAAGTATCCGTTAATCTGGTTGTACATTTTTTAGTAATTAAAGATTTTGTATCTAGGTTATGATATTCTAGGTTATTCAGAAAATTATGTGCGGGATTTGGCTGGTTTTCCTCGAAATGACGCCCAAAATACCAGAAGTCTTCACAGAATGGATCAAGGTGACATACATTACAAGGACCATGTATAATATCCGCCTGAAAAAACGCTAGATTGGTCTCAAACACATTTTTTATTTTTTTTTGATGATCCTTTAAAGTATTTTCCTTGATTTTTGTGAACATTTCGCATGGTTTGAATTTCATCTCTACCTAAAATCTGCGTCAAATTTGGACATGAAGAAAAAGTCTAAAAGAGAAAGAGAAACCTGTCCAATTACGGTTTTATAGGCACTAGAGACCAATATTACGCCAAATAATGTAATCAATACTCGGAAAATCTCAACTAAAATCTTCAAAAGTACCATAAAAATAAACAACGTCTAAAATAACTAAAAAACGTACAACCAGATTGACAGTTATAATATACTTACCTTTATTGGACGGATGGCGTACGGACGAAGGTGAAATGGAGGCGACATTCCAAATCCGACTACAAACTGTCTCAAAATTGATCATTTAGGTATAGAATAACTACTCCTGGAAATCACAACGTAATTCGATAAAATTTGATTTCTAAAAATAGAGTAGAACTTGTTCTTGAAATAATCAACAAGAACTGGCCAGATTTCCCTTGAGTAATCTCTGATATAACAGCCTGAAGTTCGTGGAAAAAATAGTATTAGGGGGAAGACTTGACCACCTGAGAAAAACATGACCCGACCCGCAGTGCGCCGAGCCGTTTTTCCGAAAGAAAATGTCAAGCGTGTTTAACAAGTCCGGTAGCTTCAATGAACTGTTAGAGATAAAAATTTTTCCACACTCCTAAACTCCTTTTCCATCTTACAGGGGAAGTACCCCAAGTGCGACACTCAGATTTTCCTTCAATTTTGCACACATGTCGGTTTTATCAAAATCTGAGTGTCGCACTTGAGGTACTTCCCCTGTTAATATAGCTTTCGAAGAATACTCCGCCGATTTTCGCCTCGAGGAAAGAGAAAACAGAGTCATGGGTTATGCGTGTGCCATTGGCCATAAAAATCTCATCTCACACTCTTTTCCAGCGTTGAGTGATCCAAACACTCAAAACAACTTCCGTCGAAATCTGAGGTCTGTGCGTAAAATCAAAAAAGTGACTGAGACAGACGTAAAGTCCACAAAGGTGTAACGTAAGCATAATTTTGGCCGTTGTAACAAAGCTTCCACCATGTAATACGATGGAATTTTTCGAAAAGGCCCCAAATGTCTCCGCTGAGAAATGGCCTCTCCGACGACGAAAAAAAATTTTTTCGTGGTTACAAAACCGCCCAACATCAATCTTTAGAAACAAGAAGAATTTCCGCGACAACACCGGAGAGCTCAAAGATGTTTGCAAAAAGTTTCTGTCATATTTCTTGAAACACCCTTTACAACCTTTTCAGGATTTCGAATCCAGATGGAGCCAAGAAGCCTCCAAAATCCCTACAAAGGCAGTAGAAATCTTTCTATGTATTAAAAAATCCGAATATATAGTTGCCCGCCCTTTATTTACATTAAAAAAATATATACATCCCCTCCCAAGCAACTTAAAATTTTTTTTTTTTTTTTTTTTTATTTTTTTTTTTTTTTTTTGTTTTTTCTGTTAAAAATACCTACGTTAGCAAAAAACGTTAGTTAAAAAAAGTAAAAAATAGTTGGTTAGACAAAAAAATTATTTACATGATTACATCAGTTCGTATCTCTTCTTTAATCGATTCGTTAATTCCTTCGCTAATATGCGGAACGTTACTCTTATTAACTCCTGCACTTCTTCTTCATCTTTTATGAGCAAAGCGACATCTGAAAGTAAGGACAATAAAAACGTCTTATCGTATACAAATACCCCAATTGGCATATCCTAGGGCGCAGCTCGGAACGAAAAAAAATTGACGAGCTTGTTTTATGCGTTTTTTAACCCTTTCCGGACGAGTCGGCACGTTCAGGTAAAAATGAAAGAGCGTACCCTACTGAGTAACGGCATAATAGTGGTTCAGCCCATCGAAGCGTTATTTGGGACTTAGGACAAAAAATGTCCTAAAACATACCCCCATTTGACATATCACTTTTAAAATTTTTGTGACAAGCTGTAGATCGGTTGACTTTTTAATGTCAACAAGATGATTCAACGCGAATACGGACAGGAATAGCACATAAACATTACCTAAATGTCATTTTTATATTTTTACTCTGTTTTCAGGCAATTTTCATGGATTTTAATTTGGTTTCACACTAAAACAATATTTATCAAAGAAAAAATTATTATTTTCTCGATTCGAGCTGCGCCCGACCCTTCTCGGCTTGCAGCGACATTTTATACGATGAAACATTTACATTTTCAACATTTTTGCGTTTTACAGAAATATGCCTCATAGGTTTTTTCTGGAAACACTCTAGGAAGAAGCTAGCATCAAAATAGATTTGGAAAAACCACATTTGGACCGAAACGGTTGATGTCGACAGAAGATATACTTGATTTTAGGTCCAAAATTGACCAAAATTAAAATTTCAATTTCCAAAAATCGATAACAAATCCTATAGTGGTCCCATTCGGACAGTTCTTGGATGTAACAGTACTAAGACTCCTCGACTTTAATTTAGGGTAGTTTCCGACCTACAGCTTGTCACAAAAATTTTAAAAGTGATATGTTAAATGGGGGTATGTTTTAGGACATTTTTTGTCCTAATTGTAAGTCGCAAATAACGCTTCGATGGGCTGAACCACTATTATGCCGTTACTCAGTAGGGTACCCTCTTTCATTTTTACCAGTACGTGCCGACTCGTCCGGAAAGGGTTAAACTTACAGGGGAAGTACCCCAAGTGCGACGCTCAGATTTTCTTTAAATTTTGCGGACGTGTCGGGCATAGACTAGATACCAATTCCTGAAAGTTTGAGCCCGTGCTTTGCAGGCGCAGCCGAGATATCGAACGATCTTTGCCGCCAAGAGAGTACGCTTAACGCGGAGAGCGGTCAGAGAGAAAAACGCTTTTTGGCCATAACTTTGCGAGTTTCATGGGGAAAAAATTGATTTTTTATAGAAGCATTACTTTTTACGGTAGAAATAGGTATGAAACTTTTAGTGCCGAAATTCGGCAAAACGTCTCACATTTTCGCCGACGTTCGATCTAAACATTTCGGTTTTTTCTGCAAAGCGCGAGCTAGGATTCTCTCATATGTCTTAGAAAAAATTATTCTAAATTTGTGCCGAGTTTCATCAAAATCTGAGCGTCGCACTTGGGGGACTTCCCTTGTTAGTGTGAGGTTCTCCAAGCCAAGGCGCGAATAAGGAATGTTCCGGTACCCAAAACAACTGGTCTCTTGCTAGAAAAAAATTTGCTTTTTTTGGTGTTGGAAATGTGTCAAACAAGATGAAGACGAATGGAGATCACTGAAAAAGGTATGCTTTTTGTTTTTTTTTTTTTGTTTTATAGCAGGTTGGAAAAGTTTTTTACGAGAGCTGATCCAATACTCTTGTGTTTTGGGCGATTTTAGGGACTTTTTGACATAACGAATCGTGAAAATGGGTTATGATTTCTAAATGTAGTATAAAATATTATATTACACTAGGTACTTTGGTGAAGGTTTTGCCTGTAACTCGACAAAAACTCAACCATCAGAATTCCTGGACGGTTTTTTTGGGAAACTACACCCATTTTCACGCATCGTTATGTCAAAAAGTACCTAAAATCGTTCAAAACACAAAAAATATTGGACCAGCTTTCATAAGAAACTTTTCCAAACTGCTGTAAAACAGAAAAAAAACAAAAAGCATACCTTTTCAGTGATCTCCATTCGTCTTCATCTTGTTTGATCCATCTCCAACAATAAAAAAGAACAAATTTTTCATTTTCTAGCAAGAGCCCAGCCGTTTTGGGTACTGCTGCGGGAACATTCCTTATTTTCGCCTTGGCTTGGAGAACCTCGCGTTTTAAATAACAATTGCCTAAAAAGGTTTCTACAATTGCGGAAACGCCCATAAAAGATGTTTACTTACATATAATAACCGCCACGATCAAGGCCATAACTTTCGACAATGAAGGCATTTTTGGAATGGGTTCGTCTGAAAGGAAAATAATATAATATTTTTTATAAAGAGTTGTGAAACGAACACCAAAAACAATAAAAAAACCGGGCGTTTTCGGCGATCTGAGGAAATTTTGTCCACAAGAAACATTTCCTTTTTTTACGGCTTCAAATCTCTTTTTCAGCGGGATTTCGGCCATGTTTCCTCCTCGCGGGCATTTATCACTTTGATTTTCTTGGAACTTCAAGATTTTAGGTATCATTTATTAATTTAAAAGGAAGGTGTTAAAGGCTAGCATGAAGTATGTATTAGTAGAAGTTTTCAACGAGCTTTTTCAACTTCCCCCGATAGTTTCGCGTTTCAAAATTTTCATATTCTTCGTGTTGCCATTTTTTAGTTTCTTTTGACAAACTTATGTTTTCTGTTTTCAGATCACAGTGCCCCCGCAAGCCCAGCTCTCTCCACATTTGGTAAGTAGGTGATTCTTTGTTTTCTTCTGTTTTTAGGTCAAAAGGTTGTGTTCAAAAAATGGTAAAAATGCCTGGTTTACCTTATTTTAGCTTGAGTTCTTGACTACAAAACGGTGCAATATTGCGAAATTTTATTGTCGTTTGATTTTTTTATAGACTTTGGAAACTGCCCACTCGAAAACGACAATATTTCTTGATCTACCTAATAGATAGTCACGCCGCTCATAAATCAGCATACAAATACCAAAATAAGTGGTAATCAGTTGTTAGCAATCATAGGATAGCCAGCCGGGTTTCGTTATCTTCTCGTTCATCTTTTATGAGTTGGGCACTTGGGGGTACACCATGTACAATGTAAAGTCAATCTAGCGGGTTTAAAGGGCAGAAAATTTTTATGCTATTGTATGATAGCTAACAAGAAACTACTGTCCGTTATAGTCTTTGTATGCTGGTTTCGTGAGGTCTTATACCTCGAAATGTAAAAAATTCCAAGAAACAAATTTTTTTCAAAATTGGTACCACGCCTGTGGCCGACATAAAGCAATTATGCGGAGTTAAAGCATGTCTCCTAGCATCTTAAACGTTCTTGGTTTCATCAAGTTCTGTTCATTTTGACTGAAGTTACACTCAAAATAAAAAAAAATTTACAATTCGCTGACAACTATTGTCTAAAACGTGTTCCATCAATAAGTTTTTAGTCAGTTAAGTAACAAATTAATAGTCTTACCGGTTTATTAAGAGAATGGTACGCTTCACGTGCATTGTCGAGGGTCAACTCTGACCTGTATGGAGCACTTTTCCTGGTGAGAATCCGTTTTCATTGAAAGGATCTTTAGTAATACTCCTTATTATAGAACGTATAATGTACGCTGCCAGCATGTTTAAGAAATACTAAAAAAATTGGTAGGGAGAATAGAGAGAACAGCGCTTGAAGAAGTGAGCGTCTAAATTTTTGTGGCGCAAGGAGAGGGAAGAGAGACTTGTGTGGCAGAAAGAGCGTTTGAGAGGAGGTCCGCGCCATTGTTGATTGGCTAGAAAGGAAGACGCGTCTTTTTTCCTTTTTCTTTTTGTAATAGAAACGTCGTTTATAGCATAAAGCAAACAGGGATGCTTTACGCACAACAAAGCCTGTACACAACGAGCAATCTCAGAGCTTCCAAATGTGGATTTTACGTCAAAATTTTGCGTGGCGCCTTGTTAGGGGGCTCTAAAGGCGTTCATACTGAACATTACAAAGATTTTGCCCAAGCAATTGCCGATGTCTTTGCCGGAGGAAAAGATCCGGTTTCGTATCAAAATTTTGGCGAGCTAAATCGAAGATGTGGCTCTCTCTTTAGTCACTTTCTCGGTTAGAATTACATTTATTATAAAAATTTTACTTAGTACTTTCCAAATGCTTCAAGTATTCTAATTATTAGGAAGAACATAATGGGAATAATTGTAGAATGGTTGAATATTGCTTGGTACAACACCTCCACAATCTCCTGTTTTGTGATACGCGCTTCCCGGCTCACAATGGAAAGCGTTCGAAAATGCCCTCCAGCACTTGAAGTAGTCCCATGCATCAGACTTTTTGTCGGCAAAGTCTCCACCAAGCATAATCAAATTCTGAGCCAAGTTCAAAAAGTACAGCTGTTCTTGCGACAGTTTGCTGATAAATGGACTCTCAACAAAAGAATCTTGAAAGAACATTGTATTGCGACGTTGAAAAGCGTTGTAGGCAACGGTGTTCACTCAAAAAAAAAGATGGGGATTTTGACAAACGAAGTACTCCAAGTTCAACGCCTAGATTTTTTGTAAATTTTTCACGTTCTTTTGGCATAGACGGTCTATCAATTCCTGAAAATTTTAGCTTGCGCTTTGAAGAGATGGCTGTGAAATTCAACAATCTGCCGAAAGAATGCGCGAAACGCGTGGAGCTTTTTTGTTATGCTAATTCTCGCAAAAAAACTGTCGCTTTTTTTACTATTTTTCGATCTAAAAATCTCTGTCGTTTCTCCAAAGCTCGGTCTAAATTTGTGCTAACTACCATCAAAATCTGGGCGTCGCACTTGCAGTATTTTGTATCAAGAATTAAAGTAAACCTACGATGTGCCTTATTCCGAAAGGCGAAAGCAAAATTGGAATAGGTCAAAGCTGGTGGGAAAGCCCTGTTATAAAAGGGATAGCTGATTGCATGCATTCCAAATCCAAAATACTCCTCATTCCCGGCCTCGAGACCAAAGAAGGATGTGTGTTTCTGAAACTTTATCACCTCTACGCCTCAATCATTACCTCAAAACTCGGAGAGTAAAACATTTTCTCCTGATGATCGGCGTTCCATTGAATCATCCGTTTCATGTTATTCACATGCCGATCTCGATACAAAAACTCCTCAATAAACGTGACATTAAAGTACTTTTCGAATTCGGCGTTCTCAAAAATCGGATGACTTATATTCAGCAGTTTGATCCGTTGAAATCCCGTCGTCTCGGGCGCATTCATCGAGTACAAGGTGGCGTTGAACGCGCTGACAATGTCTGTGTACATTCTGAGGAACTCCTCTTCAAGAGTCTGTATGGAATCCTCGTTTTGGTTGATGAAATCAAACATGATCTTTTTGTAGTACATCGGAGCAACATCTTCAACAAGTTCGGCGCAGTTATTGTAGGGCCCGGGCTCTTCGCTGCCATTGAAAATATCGCGGATGTGATATAAGATTTGTTTGCGTTCTTCCACCTAAAAGCGTGGCCATATCAGTCTGTCGGGAAAATAATGAACAGAATGTCGCATCAAAAATCGCATCGCTGCCGAGAAAATCCATTGTGTGGCAGCAAAATCAAATTGCTTTTCACTTCAGCGACGCGCTCATTGTTTTCTCGACAGAGTAATGAAGGGGGTTTCTCATTGGAGAGCTTACCGACTCAGGGAAATAAATGACCACTGGGAAATCATCGTAAAGCTTGACACCAAAAATCACTTTGGCCATCTCTTTACATCGCTGTTTTCCCTTCGCAGGTGTCATCGTGCAACGGCTGATCGAGCTGGCCCTGCATCCCAATAAAGACTTTTCTCCCCATCATTGCTTCGTCAAAGTACGTTGAGCCATATTTGAACAGGATGCTGAGATAGGAAGCAAAATGCGAAGCAAACCAAGTGTTGTTTTCGAAGGATGGGGTAGCAAGGTCGGAGTTTATTAGGTTGGCAACTAAGTTATTGAAATTTTTTTTGCATTATTCCACAGACCTTCTTAAGTCAGTATGGCTAGTATCACACTATCCCACCTGTAGTAGGGTTAGAGTATTATCAAACCCAGAGGCATCGAACTCGCAGCTCGCGTGTTGGTGTAGTACCTTGAATTTGAATAAGAGCAATTTTGAGTGGTCATTTTGCAGTGCCATGCAATGCGTTTAGAACTCGAATGACATAATGCTAATGTACAACGTTTACAACGTTAGGACACCTTCAACAGTCTTGTGTAACATTTTGTCCCAAAAGGATCAATAGAAATTATTACGACTTCGCTTAAAATTAGGCGGTAGGCTGTCTTTCAAGGTGTTGCACGAGACGCTAAAGAAGGCAGCGCGGTTAACTCTTCGGGTAGTGACAGAGCTATTCACTACGAACCAAATTGTAGCATAAACCGTCTTCCTTCTTGGAGCATGACATAAAGTTGCGACCGTATTTATCTTCAAGACCTGCCTAGTGGCTCCCAAAAAGTTAACCGAGTAGTTGCTATTTTTTTCCAAGACCTTTGTGCCGCTGATAAATCTAGGGCCCTGAAAAGGGACGTCTATTCTCTTTGTTAAAAACCCGTACAGGAGCCAGCGAGCTTAGGCGCGGTATTCTGAAGTTAAGGCCGAACAGACCCTTTATACCCGATGAAAGCATTTTTAAAGATTTTAGCAAATTTTTTAAGCGCTATGCTCTCGGGAAAATTACCAGCACAGAGTATCACTCCTCCGAATATGTTTACATGGGAGATAGAAAAGATTCAGGCTGCGAGCAAAACGAAATCTAGAATATCCACTTACGTCAAAATGCCTGTTTGGACCGATAGAAATAATGATCGTAAGAACTTGTCAAACAGTCCAAATAGACTTTGCTTTCTTGAGTGTTGTGAAGTACTTATGTTACTCTCTGTGTCGGATATCACACCTATTTGGCTGCGTACGATCTAAGGTATAAAAACTTCAGTATAACAGAACATCTAGAAACCGGCTTCATGAAATCTTCTAAGCCTAAGTTCCCTGGTTTCTCTGTTGGTGGTGCCACTGCACATTCAGATGATAAGGCTTGTATTGTTGTTACTAATAGTGGGTATTATAGTTGTTGACTGTCAAGCCTTTAAAGGTTGTGGCAAAAAGAAAAGCAGTCAAAAATTTCAATAACTTAGTTGCCAACCTAATATTAGCGCTAGATTTGCCGCAGCTTCCGTGTCGTCCTTTCCGGGCTTGAACTTCTTTCCGGGGAAGGGAGTTTGATATTGGCAGAAACCAAAGATCCTTTTGAGTTCGACAAGAGGCTCCTGAAAAGATTCGTTGTGTTTGACTGTGATACAGTGGAACCTTTGTAAAAAAAGCTTCCGTACAATGAAACTTGTCCATAGCGGACAATTTCACGTGTTCCAAAAGCCAATTTTAGGCCCACAGTACAGCTTTGTATACATATTATATAACCCAACTCAGCTCTGGTCGCAAAGCCGCTGAGGAGACTTCGGCGACACTGTTTCAAAACTCACAATAAAGTGTCACGTTTTTGCCTGCTTTCAGTCTAAAAATCTCAGTCGTTTCTATAAAGAGCAGGTTTGGAGGCTCACATATATATGTCTTCGAAAAAATAAAGCTAAATTTGTGCCAAGTCTCGTCAAAATTTGAGCGTTGCACTTCAAAGTACTTCTCCTGTAAAACGAATAATTTTTTGTCTCTTGCGATTTATTGCACACGGGTACCGATGCACTTTCGGCGGAAATTCAATACCAAATTTGCTTACAAATTGACTCTGCATTTTGCCGAACACCTCTTCGGCTCTCTCCTGTTTATATTTCACAAAGGTGGAGGCTTCGATTCCGTAGGCCGCGTAGTTGGCAAAGTCGTCACATGGCTCGGTGGTGGACGCTATTCCCGACTCTAACAGCTCTGCTTTTTTATGCAGAGCTTCTTCGTTCTAAAGGCATGATGATATGAGCGTTTGGGTTGTGTCCGAACGGTGCACCTGAAACAAACAGTGCACCTGGCTGAACGGGGCACCTGAGCGAACGGTGCACCTGACACGTTTTGAACTGTGCACCTGGGCGAACGTTGCACCTGGGCGAACAGTGCACCTGGGCGACAGCGCACCTTGAAAAAGAGATTTTTCATGAACAATTGAACAAAATTTGAAATGTTTTCGCTTCGAGACAGGGAAAAAGGATTTTTTTGGAATTTTTTAAAAAATTTGAAAGGTTTTCGCTTCGGGACAGGGAAAAAGGATTTTTTTGGAATTTTTTAAAAAATTTGAAAGGTTTTCGCTTCGGGACAGAGAAAAAGGATTTTTTTGGGAAATTTTGATAAAACTTGAAAGGTTTTCACTTCGAGACAGAGAAAAAGAATTTTTTTTGGAATTTTTTTAAAAATTTGAAAGGTTTTCGCTTCGGGACAGGGAAAAAGGATTTTTTTGGAATTTTTTAAAAAATTTGAAAGGTTTTCGCTTCGGGACAGGGAAAAAGGATCTTTTTGGGAAATTTTTTAAAAATTTGATAGGTTTTCGCTTCGGGACAGGGAAAAAGGATTTTTTGGAAAATTTTTTAAAAATTTGATAGGTTTTCGCTTCGGGACAGGGAAAAAGGATTTTTTTTGGAAAATTTTAATAAAACTTGAAAGGTTTTCGCTTCGAGACAGGGAACAAGGATTTTTTTGGGAAATTTTTTAAAAATTTGATAGGTTTTCGCTTCGGGACAGGGAAAAAGGATTTTTTGGAAAATTTTTTAAAAATTTGATAGGTTTTCGCTTCGGGACAGGGAAAAAGGATTTTTTGGAAAATTTTTTAAAAATTTGATAGGTTTTCGCTTCGAGACCTCCCCTTGTCATATTTAGTTTTTCAGAATGAAAAAAAAATTATAAAAACGGCTTACCTTGATCCCCCCTTGTCATATTTATCTTTTTACAAACAAAAAAATTGTCAAAAAAAGCTTACATTGATCTCCCCATGTCATATTTATCTTTTTACAAACAAAAAAATTGTCAAAAAAAGCTTACCTTGATCTCCCCTTGTCATATTTAGTTTTTCAGAATGAATAAAAAATATAAAAACGGCTTACCTTGATCCCCCCTTGTCATATTTATACCTCTGAAAACTTTTAAAAATTTTCCAAAAAGTCCTTTTTCCCTGTCCCGAAGCGAAAACCTTTCAAATTTTTTAAAAAAATTCCAAAAAAAATTCTTTTTCTCTGTCCTGAAGCGAAAACCTTTCAAATTTTAAAAAAAAATCCAAAAAATCCTTTTTCCCGGTCCCGAAGCGAAAACCATTCAAAACTTTTAAAAATTTTCCAAAAAAGTTCTTTTTCTCTGTCCCGAAGCGAAAACCCTTCAAATTTTTTAAAAATTTCCCAAAAATTTCCTTTTCCCCTGTCCCGAAGCGAAAACCTTTCAAAATTTATTAAAATTTTCCAAAAAAAATCCTTTTTCTCTGTCCCGAAGCGAAAACCCTTCAAGTTTTATTAAAATTTTCCACAAAAAATCCTTTTTCCCTGTCCCGAAGCGAAAACCTTTCAAATTTTTTAAAAAAATTCCAAAAAAAATTCTTTTTCTCTGTCCCGAAGCGAAAACCTTTCAAATTAAAAAAAAAAAAAAATCCAAAAAAATCCTTTTTCTCTGTCCCGAAACGAAAACCTTTCAAATTTTTTAAAAATTTTCCAAAAAAATCGTTTCTCCTTGTCCCGACACGAAAACCTTTCAAATTTTCTTCAATAATGCACAAAAAACTTTTTTTCAAGGTGCACTATTCGAATAGGTGCACTGTTCAAACAAGAAAATGTCAGGTGCACCGTTCAGCCAGGTGCACAATTCAGCCAGGTGCCCCGTTCAGCCAGGTGCACAATTCGTCAGGTGCACCGTTCGGACCGAATCGAGCGTTTGATATGATATCTGATAACTAGGACACCATTAACTTAAAGTTAGACTATGAGCGAGACCTATGATTAGAAAATGGATGATATACCGCATAACTATGACTGTGGGCTAGTGTTACTTTATTGAGTTTGATTTTTTATGATTTCACACACAGCGTCATAGCGATTTATTATTTAATTTTATGGGCAGCAGACTTCTTTTCTTCTTTTGTCCTTTATGGCCTCATTGTCTCCGAATTTAGAAAAATCAACAGCAATAAATGCTGTTGATTTCCAAAGTGTTTGAATAGGAAAGTGTCTACGATTGGTGGAGGATTGCTGTGAGTTAATACAGTGGGGGCCTGATACAGTGGCAAAAAACGTACCATTTTGAATCCGCGAAGTATTAAAAATGTAGCAAAATGTTTTCCTTTCCAAGTGAAAAAACTTCGTTTTGAAAGACGCGCCCTTTCCTCACAAAAAGAGCGGGCGCGCTTTTGAAATCTGAGTTTTTTAGTTGGAGAGGGAGGTATTTTGCCACATTTTTTGATACTTCCTGGATGCAAAATGGTACGTTTTTTGCCACTGGATGAGGTCCCCCCACTGCATGTCAAAATATTACTCCGGCAAACATCAAAAAAAAAAACACAATAAGCACAGATTTCTATATAGCCTGAGTAGAAGTTGACCGTCATCAAGCCTGAGAATCCAATGAATCAGAAGATTCCAAACATAAAAAAGCGTTTATAACGGATATAGCGAGGTTGGTGACCTTTGTGGTGTGAACCAAGTGCGGAACAGCAAGAGGTGGCACACGTCAAAACAATTCTTTCAGAAAATTGAAAAAACAAGGAATCTCGGATCATTGATTTTTTGCGAAGTGCCGCAGAATTATCGAGCTTGAACAATTATTTTCCTCTTCGAAGAAACATTTTCTCGAAATTCTCTGGGAAAGTTTTCTCTTGTGACTCGATAATTCGGCGACATTTCGTCAAAAATCAATGATCCGAGATCCCTTGTTTTTTCACTTTTTTTGACGTGTGGCAGGGCCTGAGCAGATTTGAAAAAGCCCTGGGCCGGCCTGACCGCTTCGGTCGTGCCGTATGTTTGCCGTATATACAGAGGTTCTAGTTTTTTTTATTTGTATGACGGAGTTCCAGTTTGGCCCAAGATTGGCACTTTCGACCTGCAAAATTGTTGACCGATTCGATGGTATCGACTTTCCATTTACGCAGGTTCAGGATAATCATTTTTTGTCTTTCGGTTATGTAAACACATTCTTTGGCATTACACACAACTTGAAGGGTTCCTCAAGTATGCAATCCGCAAGGAGAAAACGATACATAAACCCTTTCGTCCATTCAAAAAAAAGAAATGCCGAAATCTCAGCGCATTTTTTGCTAATTACTAAAAAGTGAGCAAGGAATGAGTGTGTTTGACAAGTCTCCTCATCTCTAAAAATCCTTGGTATTTTCTACAACTCCAGCATTTCATTTTGCTATACAAGCCTTTGCTAAGTTTACACGACCATGAAAATAGTGATAGTTGTCGCTTTGATTTCGATCTTTCAAATCTACCATCAAGCCGCCGCTTCGGCGTTGACCCTACTCAATTACGGGCTGACTCGTTTTCAACTGTCGATGATATCGGTCGCTTTCCCAGCTGGGAAGTTTTTCGGGACATTGGCAGTAGTCCCGTTGTATCGACACTTTACTAACAAGCATTGCTTGGACTTCAACGCTCATTTGCTCTTTGCTGGTTGTGCGTTGCAGATTTTGCCGAGGTAACGGTTAATTTATTGGGAGTTTATGCTAAGAAATTGTGGAGTTCGGGGCAAACGAGGTCTCTCTCTCTCTTTTATCTTTCTCAAAAAAATCCCATTATATTTCAGATCGTATTTTACCCCAAACAACAACATGTTATTGTAGAAAGGCTTCTAAGAAACAAAGCCTGTCAATGTATAGATGGCTAACCATTTCGTATGCCCTATATATTTTTTATCATAACGAATTGCGTTACAGCACACCCTTGGTATAACGAGCCATTTTTCACGGTTTTTTGGAGGTTCCAACTTACATTTGATAACTTACGTACCTCAAGTGCGACGTGAGGAAATTTGCCACTAATTCAGAATAGTTTTCCCTAATAAGTCGTGTGCGGGACTCCCAGCCCGCGCTTTGCAGACATGACCGAGATTTTTAGGTCAAAAGTTGGGGAAAAAATCTACCCGTTACAGGCAGGTTTTGTTGTACGGGAGCTCGTTATAATGTAAGTTTGGCCCGGACTAACAAGGGAAGTACACCAAGTACAAAGCTCAGATTTTCTTTAATTTTTGCGCACACGTTGGGCATGAAATAAATATCAATTCTTGAAAGTTTAAGCTCGCGCTTTGCAGGCGCAGTCGAGATATTGAACGATTTTTGCCGCCGACGAGAGTACACTAAACGTGGAGAGCGGTCAGAGAGAAGAACGCTTTTTGACCATAACTTTTCCAGTTCCGTGCGGAAAAAAAAGATTTTTTGTAGAAACATTACACTCTACGGTAGAAATAGGTATGAAACTTTTCGTGCCGAAATTCGGCAAAAAGTGTTAAATTTTCGCCAACTTTCGATCTAAAAATCTCGGTTGTTTCTGCAAAGCGCGAGCTAGGATTATCGCATATATATTAGAAAAAATATTCTAATCTTGTGCATTGTTTCATCAAAATCTGAGCGTCGCTCTTGGGGCTTCTTCCTTGTAAACCGATTTACTTCTCTAACAGTAAGCATTGACTTTCAAATTTCAGCTACATTTTCTTCTGCCTTGGCCGCTTCATTGCCGGCATTGGAGTGGGCATTGGGTTTGTTTCGGCTCCGATTTGCATCAAAGACATGACCGATTACCATCAACGTCCCAAGATGTTCTTCACCGCAGCTGTGATTTTCTCGGGAAGTGCAATTTTCTCATCGTTTCTGCCGTTCCTCAAAGGCATTCATTACTCAACGTTCTGTTTTTTGATCACTTCACCCGCATTTATCAGCTGTATGTTGTACTACAAGTACCGAGAGCTCTACGTGGAGCCCATCAAAGAGGAATTCGATGGGGAAGAGGAGATGGAAGTGCAGAACTATGCACTTTTTAATCCGAAATTCATGGCGTTTGTGTTGATGGTCATTAATGCGGTGAGTTTTTTTTTGGAAAAGGGAAAGGCTTGAGACGATCAGATTTTTAGGGGGTTAAGATTAATTTTTTCTTGCAGGTGAAGTACCCCAAGTGCAACGTTCAGATTTTGATTAAACTTGGCACAAATTTAGAATAATTTTTTCTAAGACATATGCGAGAATCGTAGCTCACGCGTTGCAGAAACAACCGAGATTTTTATGTCGAAGGTCGTCGAAAAGTTGACACTTTTTGCTGAATTTCGGCACAAAAATTTTCATACCTATTTGTACCGTAAAGGGTAACGTTTCCACAAAAAATTAATTTTTTCCACACGAAACTAGCAAAGTTATGGCCAAAAAATGTTTTCCCCTCTGATCTCTCGTTTTTTGTACTCTTTCGGCGACAATATCTCGGTGCCGCTTGCAAAGCGCGGGCTAAAACTTTCAGGAATCGACGCTTAGGTATGCCCGACGTGTATGCAAAATTTAAAGAAAATCTGAGCGTCGCACTTGGGGTACTTCCCTAGTTAGTAATATTAGCGATCTCTAGATTGAGATTTGCAGAGAAAATCAAAAATTTTTCTCAGTTTGTCGGGAAAATAATGTGGATTTGTCGCAGCAAAATCTCCCGGGTTGGCGCAGTCGCCCATCAAATTTCCAGCATTGGAGAGTCGTTAAAAAGCCATGATGGACGATTCCAAAGCATGACGAATCCACATTATTTTCCCGACAGGCTGATTATTGCAAAAGAAGCAATAATCAGACTTCTACACTCCTGCAAAAATCATCATTATTTCATAGCCAAACTGGCAAGGATATGGCTAAAAAGTGTTTTTTCTCTAACCGCTCTCCGCATTTTGCCTACTCTCTGATTAATAAAGATTGTTCGATATCTCGGCTTCGCATGCAAATCCAGAGCTAAAATTTTTAGTATTTGATATATCGTCTAGGCCCAACGTATCTACAAAATTTAAAGCAAATCTGAGCGTTGCACTGGGAACGCTAGAAAATCGAAGAAAACATTTCTGACCAAAAAATATCTCCAATTTTCGCTATAACTCATTTTCAGACCATTGGAGTGCCAGTGATTCTCTCCTACTCCTCCGTAATCTTCACCGAAATGCATATTGCTCCTCACAAAGCCGCTGTACTCTCACTTGTTTACCCGTTAGTTCAAGTCTTCTTTTTGTTCGCTGCGAGCTCCTTGCAGGGGCAGATAAGCCGAAGGACAACGGTAATTGTCGGCTACGGCATCTGTCTTGCAGCATTCTTTGCACTCTTGTTGACACAGGTGAGAAGTTCTTTTGGGCAGATTTTTACATAGTTTGAGCATACGGTCTCTACAACGAAGTTTCCCACAACAAAAACTGTACATAACAAACAATTTTTAAAGTTGAAAAAAATGTTTCAAAAGTCAATCCAAGGCAAAAATAAGCCTTTCTACAACAAAACCCTTCTATAAAAAACAATTTTTTGGGCTCTTTCTGGTTTTTGCACAGCAAATTAACAGTTTGTTTTTTCAAAATTTAGTTTTAAATTTTCAGCACTTCCACACCCTCGACCACAACCCGCAAGTCAAGGCCATGGCCAGCGCGTTCTGGCTGATAATGTTGGCCGGCCTGATGGCGGTCCCTTGCAATTCCGGTCTCTGTATTATTAGCGGTAAGTGAGTGATAGCAAATTTTTTCGTGCTTGTGACCGAAAAAATAAACAAATATCGGAAACCGAAAATAAGAGTTGCGTCAAAGAATTCCTTTGTAATTAAAATAGATTCGGCCGATAATTTGGGCGTGTGTAGGTGGACGAAGACGAAGAACGTGATCTGTTTTGAATTGCAAGAACTTTGGAAATGTTTTGAAAGAATTTCAAAGAAAATAGAGTTTGAGGAGTGATAATTGAAACTTTAAATTTGAAAACAATGCGAAGTTAATAATGAAATTTTTACTTGAAAACAGACCTTTTCGGATAATAACAATGTTTAGAAAACTATCAATAACAAGACCTTGAGCTCTAAGACAGCAAAATGAAAAAATACAGTTAAGAATTCCGCACAACGAGGGGCATAAAAAACATAATTTGGAATAGAAGTGTTTTGCTGTTTGGAGGTTTGGCCTAACAAATTAACTGACAAGAGATGTATATACCCCATGTGCGACGCTCAGATTATGCTGAAACAATGCACAAGTTTAGAATATTTTTTCCTAAAATATATGCGAGAATGCTGGCTCGCGCTTGTCGAAACAACCGAGATTTTATGATCGAAAGTCGACGAAAATTTAGGACTTTTTGCCGAATTTCGGCACGAAAAGTTGTATACCTATTTCTCCCGTAAAGGGTAATGTTTCCGCAAAAAATCAATGTTTTCCGCACGAAACTGGCAAAGTTATGGCCAAAAAGCGTATTTCTCTCTGACCGCTCTCCGCGTTAGGCGTACTGTCTGAGCTCTAAGACAGCAAAATTAAAAAACGCAATATTGTGTACAATGAATTGCTAGAGACAACAAATTTTTCGTTATAGAAAGATTTGCGAACGAAGAGTTCCATTTTGGCCAGATGTTGACGTTGAAGATTTCAAAAATTGGTGACTGAAGAAAAGTTTTGCTGTGTTTCTTTGAACATATGCTTCGCTTTTACTCGATCCACGCCAATTACAATATCACAGCTCTAAAAACTGTTTTGTCCTGAAACTTACTTTTTTATGTTATTTTTTTCAACCATTAACCTAAAAATTTAGTACAAAGCTTTTTGATAAGTTCGTCAGAAAGGCGCAATGGCCCAGGCCGGCAATTTGAGTTTGCTGAAAAAAGGGTAGAAAGTGTAGGAACGAACAAAAAAAAGACGAGCTATAGGTGTAGGAATGACGTAAAAATGTGCTATAAGTGCACTTAATGACCCGACATTGTCCAAATCTGAGAGCACGTCAGACTGAGATGAGCTAATTTTGGTCGGTGAAATGAAACATGAGCCATTTTTTGTGACAACATGCGTATTTTACAATTCGATTTTTTATGCAAAAAAGCCTATGTATAACAACGACTGCATCTTTTGTATCTTAATTACAGTCTATTTGTTTGTCGGGGAAATAATGTGGATTTGTTGCAGATGTCTCGCCTCACCACAATCGCGTACCAAAAAAATTTCCAGGCCGTCGCCAAGACATGACGGGCGATTCCAAGCCGCGACATATCCACATTATTTTTACGACAGACTGATATCGCAGTTTTTGAATTTAAATTTTCAAAAATTTCAGAGTTGTTCTGCACCCGCTACTCTTTGTTCCGCGGCGTTTCGTTCTCTCGAGCCGTTTTTTGGTTCCTCTCGGCTGTCATGTAAGTTTGATAACAATTACTGGTCGCTTGTAACCGACCTGTTTTTATGTCAAAATATTTGTATTTTCCCACAATCTTTTTATCACTTTCCAGCAGCGGAACTTTTCTCTGGCTCCTGGAAAACGGAACTCTCTTCACCGCTCTCCTGCCGTCCTTTGTTGTCGCGTCGATTTGCTTCGTTTATTTGTACATCTTGTTGCCGGAGGACGCAGAACAACGGGGGCGGCTAGGGAGCCCCATGGTGGCGAGTGGATACGGAACTGTTGGCATAATGTATTAGGGGCAATGATTGGATGTTTTGGCAGGCAAACAGTTGAAAGCTTTGTAGAAGGAACTCCCTCTTTAAACAGACCTTTTTGAACAAGTATAACAAAGTATTTTTTTGTCCTTGCAGTTTGTTGTAGAGAGGTTTTTCTGCAGATCTTTCAAAAAAACAGTAATTTTTTTATGTGCAAAGTATAAAGAGAATAAAAAATGTACCATTTTGCATCCGGCAGGTATCAAAAAACGTGGCAAAATGCCTCCCTCTCCAAGTACAAAATCTCCGTTTTTAAGGGTGCCCTCACAAAAAGAGCGAGCGCGCTTTTGAAATCCGAGTTTTTTCACTTGGAGAGAGAGGTACTTGGCCACATTTTGTGGTCCTTCCCTGATGCAAAACAATACATTTTTTGTCACTCGGTCAGGTCAGCCACTATAAGCCATAAAATTTGTGGAAATAAAACCTCTAGCAACGACCTGCTACCTACATCTCGCCTATATCTCGTCTAACAAGTTCAAAAAATGCCATAGGGTTTTCCAAAATGCAATAGAATTTTTTCTTTTCCAAAAACGCTATTTGTTGCAAGTCAAAGATCATGAGTTTGTCTGAAATTATCGGACTTTCCACACCCTCAACCACAACCGCAAATTAAGGCCATGGCCAGCGCATTTTGGTTGATAATGTTGGCTAGGCTGACGGAGGTTCCTTACAATTCCGGCCTCAGTATTATTGGCGGTAAGTGAGTGATAGCAAATTTTTTCGTGCTTGTGAGCGAAAATAAACAAATATCGGAAACCGAAAATAAGGGTTGCGTCAAAGAATTTTTTAATTAATTTAAAATAGATTCGGCCGATAATTTGGGCGTGTGTAGGTGGACGAAGATGAAGAACGTGATCTGTTTTAAATTGCAAGAATTTTGGAAATGTTTTGAAAGAATTTCCAAGAAAATAGAGTTTGAGGAGTGATAATTGAAACTTTAAATTTGAAAACAATGCGTTGCATGGTCGTGGAAGAACGTGATCTGTTGTGAATTACAAGGATTTTGGAGGCATTTTCTAAAAAATTTTAAGGAGATCAAAGTTCAAAAAATTATGATCAAATTTTGAAATGCCCATCAATCATCATCATAAACTTACGGTCAAACGCATACAAAAAGCCTTCAAGGGTCAAAAAATTAATTATTGTTGGTATAGAGGTGTCCTTTTGTGAAGATTTTTTTTGGCCCAAGAATGAATTAACACCGGCCTTTAAATTTCTAAAATTGATTGCTGTAGGCAGATTCTGTTGTCCAAAACCAGCACACAACAAATCTCCATATAACAAGGCCTATCTACAACTAACATTTTCAGAGATCTTTGGGCAAATTTTAGTCAAAAAGAAACCATTTTAAAACAAAAACTTTCTATAACAAACACCAAAATTTTCCTTTCAATTCGTTCTACAGAGGTTTTACTGTATCTTTCCATCCCAAATTTCATAATTGACCTGTCATTTCCTCACTAACTTTAGCTCTTTATTTCGGTCAACTAGTACTGTAAGCATGAGATCATCTTTGGGAAATAAATAAATTAGACGTTTTCGAACCGTGTGAATCTTAAAGCTCGGGCTGGCAACGTATCCATAAGGGCTGGGCCGCGACGATTATCCCGGCCGAATCGCGGGCCCGTCGAAGGCGCGGTTCATTTGGACCACTTGGCTGAGGAGGCGCTCCAGCTGCGCCAAGTCTCGTCGGTCACGCTCTCCTATAAATTCTGCGAACGACATTAAAAGGTCGAGAAATGTTGATAAAGGTTGTAAATTGTTTGGTTTAATAGGCTTGCTTGGGGTTTGTGTGCGGAAAAGTTGACTGTTTAGGTTCATAGTGTAGTAGGCGTAAGGAATTATTTCAAAAGCAAAGTAGGAGACCACAGCTTAGCCTGTTGTTAGAAAAGGCTTCTAAATTTAGAAAAAATCAAATTGGTGGCTTTTTTCAAAACGAATTTTTATATGAAATGTTCCGATGTGGGCATAAAATAAATCCATGTTTGGAAATTTCAGCTAACAGGGGGAGTACTCCAAGTGCGACTCTCACATTTTGATAAAGCTTGGCACAGATTTGTAGATGTTTTAGGTCTAAATTGGCAAAAATTTTCGTTTTTTGCAAATTTTGGAGCGAAAAGTTTTATGCCTATTCCTGCCGCAGGAAGGTATAGTGGCAGACCTGTTCCAGTGGCCAAAAAACGTACCATTTTTCATCCGGATAGCATCAAAAAATGTAGCAAAAACCTCCCTCTCCAAGTGAAAAAACTCCGATTTCCAAAGCCCGCCCGCTCTTTTTGTGAGAGAACCCTTCAAAACGGAGTTTTTTTAGTTGGAGAAGGAGGCATTTTGCCACATTTTTTGATACTACCCGGATGCTCAATGGTACGTTTTTGGCCACTGGATCATTTCCGTCACTGTAGCTAGTTTTTTGAAATTGGTATCGTGTGTGCAGAATTAAAAGAAAATCAATACGCCGCCCTTGGGATATTTACTAAATAGAATTGATATGTATGCATAAGAGCTGAAAACTTGAGTTTTTGATTGGTTTCATATTAATATATAATTTGCCTTACATACGGTTTTCTACTCATATCATAGGTAGATCTTTAGCTCAAGCATTGCAGAAATCAAAAAATGTGGCCTTATTGTAGCAGGGGGATGTTTCACGTACAAAAAGGGCACTAACTCGAGTTAGCGGCATCACAGAAAAAGCGGAGAGAGCAGAGAAAAAGAGGAGTGGTAACTCGAGTGACCTGACTTTTTATCGACTTTGGCCGCATATTTTGGGCCATAACTTTTGATACAGTGGACCAATTTGCGCCCTTCCAAAAAAATATTAATGCTGGTGGTACACAGAATACATGGATATAAATTTGTAAATTTTTCTTCTAAATTATGCAAATTATATGCAAATTTTTTTCTTGGTAAATAAGCTCGCCTTTTATTAAAATCTTTATATGGACATGTTTGTTACGCTCTCAGCATCAAAGGGTTTTTTGAAGGGTGTAAATTGGTATACTGTATCAGGAGTAAAGGCCCGCGCAACAGTGGGCGAGAATTTTTTGGTCATAACTTTTGTCACAGTAAACCAATTTGCAAATTTTTAAGAAAGTTTTAAAGCTGGGACCACGCTGCGTATCATGGTAGCAAAATTTTTTCCGTATCTTGCATATTAAATACCAAGAGAAAAATTTGCATATGATTTGCATAATTTAAAAGGAAATTTTACAAATTTATATGTGTATATTCTGTGTACCGCCAGCATTAATATTTTTTTGGAAGGGCGTAAATTGGTCCACTGTGTCAAAAGTTATGGCCTAAAATGTCCGGCCAAGTCCATAAAAAGTCGCCCGATTCGCCAATCAAAAAGAAGAGGGATCACTCAAGTTACCACTCCTCTTTTTCTCTGATCTCTCCTCTTTTTGCGTGATGCCGCTAACTCAAGTTAGTGGCCTTTTGTACGTGAAACATCCCCCAGGAGCTCGAAATTTTAACCGCGTGTCATGCCATCAAAACTTTTTCAAAAATTTCCCTCCAGGCATTTTTTTTACAATCCTTTTTTTATTATTACTCTCTACCGTATTCCATATAATTTTTCGGTCACAAACTCCTTATTTAATCTCCAGAAAAAAACAACTTGAGGTCAATCTTGGAAAGTGCAACATTTGCGCAGTAATCCTATCCCTTTATTATACATATTCTGTTTACATTTGTGTGCATGCCAATAATAGCCACAAACTATTCCGACCCCTATAATTTTGAGGTCTCAGAAAAAAATACTCGCTAAAATAAAAGCAGTTTGAATTGAGATTTTTTGTTTTTTCAAACTTATTTTTAAATCATCATCTCTAGTATAATGATATTTTAAGTGAAAAAAACAGTTGACGTAGGTCTTCAAAGTTTTATTACTCGGAATTAGACTCAAAGGGCTGATAAGATAAGAGAAGCGTACGAAAAAAAAGCTACAGATTGTAACCGAAAAGTTGGAGTCAAATTTGCGAAAATTAAGAGGATTACAAATGCACTTTGAGTTGGGGAGCAGTTGCAGGAATTTGTGGAGGAGTGGGATTTAGATGATGCATGAATTAAAGGTCAAAGGTCAGTTAGAGCAAAAAATGGAAGTTTTGAATTTTTTCATCACAAAAAATCAGTCAAAACTTGCAAAACTTGGTATAATTGATCGCGAGGAATCAAAGATCATTCGTTATAGATAGGTTTTGTTGCAAAGACGTTTATCTCTCTTAAAACTGGCTCTTAAGATCTTTGAAATTCTCCGTTATAGACGATAATTTTTTTTATAGACAATCATTCTTGGCTCTCTTTGCAAAAACAACCGAGTTTATTAGATCGAAAGTTGACAAAAATATGGCTTTTTTGCGAATTTTGGCATGAAAAGTTTCATAGCTATTTCCACTGTAGAGGGTAATGTTTTTACAAAAAATTATTTTTTCCCGCCTCATACTGACAAAAATACGGCCAAAAATTGTTTTTCTCTCTGACGCGTGTCGTTTACTTTCCCAGCGGCAGGGATCGTTGAAAATCTCGGCTGCGTCTGCAAAGCGCGTGCTAGAATTTTCAGGAATTTGAAACCTGGTCTAATTGTAAGCCTTAAATGAAATTGGATGGATTGAGTCCGCGGTACCCATAAATTTAGAAAAAAATCAAATTGACGACACCATTGACGCATTCTCTGTGCACTCTACAAAAGACAGGAAGGAAGTTATGCTTGTTTCTACGTATTAAATATTATTGCGAAAATTAAACCTATTGAATTTCGAAAACCGGAATTGTTCTCCTGTTTGCACTGACGACAGTCTGGATGCTCTAACGTATTTTAAAACCTCTAAGAAGCGTTGACCTCAGCTTGAAGTTTAGTTTTTTAAGCCATGTATTGGATATATAAAACGGTGAAAAAAGTTGGCGTGTTGCTTTGCAAAGGGGTACTCAAACATCTTTGTAGATGGTATACAATAAAAAACAAAAAACAACGACCAGAGAAATCCAACTTTTTTGCTGTGTTTAAGCTTGCACGGAAGAAATCAAGCCTTCCCTGCAACTATGCGCTTCTCAGTGTGTCGGGAAAATAATGAGCACACTGTCATTGCACCAATCACTTCGATAAAGTAAAAAGAGAAATGATTTTGCCGCAACACCATTAATTTTCTCTGCGGCGATGCAATTTTCGATGGGACAGAGTGCTCATTATTTTCCTGACATACTCATAGAATAAATAAAAAAAATTTCTTAAATTTTGAAATAAATGAAAAGCAAAAATCATGGGTTTTTTCATATCAGAAGATCACTGCCTCAAGTTTACTTTTTACGGGCTCTAATTTTACTCTAATGAATATTTATTTACTTTGTCCTAAATTTTCAAATAAATGAAAAGCAAAAATCATATGTTATTTTTCACACTAGAAGATCACTGTCTAAAACTCCCCTTTTAAGGCTCTAATTTTACTCTATTGAAATTTTCACCGAGTTCTATGCATTAGATCAAGCCTACTTTAACAAGCCGCTTCGACAAAAAAATTCAAGTCATTTACAATTTTTTACGACTTCTTGATGCGTTATAAATTCCCATTAGTATATTTTATCAACAAATCAAAAACTACTTACCAGATCTTCGGATCATCGGCACCGCCATTACAATATTGATCATGCAAACCAAGCAGATGAGGGCCTCCCAAAACCGCATAATGTCTTTCGTTGAGGGCTGTGTGTGTGTTGTGTGTGTGAAGCCGGTGGCGAAACCGCGGGGCCGGCCTTAAATCTTTTTCTCTTCGCTCCTTGAAAATAATAATTAAAGGCGCCGATAATTATCGCCGGCTCCGCCCACTAGCGATTCCATTAAAACGTCCTCGAATTACAGGAAGCGGCGGAACGGGCGTTGAAATTGAGGAAAAATGCGAAAAATTTGCCACAAAAATTTCACCGCGAATGACGTCATCCGACAACGAGATATGCCCGTATCAGGAATTTGAATGATTTTTTGGCGAAACGGAAGGTGATTAGTTACGGTACAACGAAGAATGGGAATAACAAACACAATTTGGGGGAGGATGTTTTGTAAGACGGGTCACATTCCGAGTTGCAAAATTATCAGAGAATTTTGAATTTTGGAGGAGACGAAAATTCCGGGTGTACTTTGGACAATCTCCGGATCTTTTGTCTATTTTTGCAACTCCCTAAAATATTATAAGGTACAAAAGATATGTATGTATAAACTAAGACTTCAAGTTTTGCAGGAATGGCCAAAATTTTTGTCTAACCGCTTGTTTACTGCGGACATACCCGAGCTCATCGCTCAACTTAAATTTTTCACACACTTTGAGCATACAGCACATATATCAGTTGTTTCCAGGGATTGCTACGACTCTTGGCTCCGGCCCTGAGCGGCTCCCGAGCCCGAAGTCGAAGCCATGCCTCTCAGTGTTCAGAAAAGTAAAAATTTCATTTTTTTAACCTTGTTAAACCAGTTTCTTGAAAAATATTGTGTTGCGCACGACTTGGCTCAAAAAGATTGGGCATGTCATCTCTGGCATATCGGAGCCGGAGACCTTTTTACATTTTGCACGGGAGCCGCAGCCAGAGCCTCCGGTTCTGGGAGTTTAGAGCCGGAGCCGGAGACAAAAGTCGTTTCTATGAAATGTCCTCAAAAAGCTACTCTAAACTTGTGCCAAGTTTCATTTGATTACCAGCGTTGCACTTGGCTACTTCTCCTGTTCAGTAGATTGATTTTTTGGGGAAACGGACACAACAGAACTTGTCTATAACGAAAATTTCCAGAGCCCATAAAGCCGACCAGGACAACGAACACTTGCTTTACCATTAAATAGATGTTTTTTCCATTCATAATACAGAGAATTGACCACAAAAATACTCTGAAGTAGGCCCTCATATATAGATTTAGACTCCAAAAAATACTTTTTTCCACAATTCTCACATCACTATAATCTCTGTACCAAAACCACAAACCCAGCTCAAAAATAAATATGGTAAGTGCTCAGATTCAGACCGACGAAGAGTGTAACCCAAACCGAAAACAAGAGCGTGATCAATAATAAATTTAATGTTTACCAAACCCGAACACTTCCAAATGCAATCGAATTACATCAAGGAATACATCACTTTTTGAGTGAAATGCTCTGCTTTTGACCTGAAGGTCAAATTACCGGCCGTTGTGACATAATTCAAAGAGCTACACGAATATAAAATGAAAGTTTAATGGCGCACTAGTCAAAATTGAACGGGGTAAGCGCTCAAAAATGAATGTTGGCACAAATTTTGATTATTTTTCCCAAGCCGTACATAGGAAATTTTCAGCGAGTACCTCTGGGACCATTTTCTTGAAAAGGAAAAAGTTTGACTCAATAAAATACATGACAAAAAATATTCACTTTTTTGAGATTTTTGTATTACAAATTTCACACTCAATATGCACAGTAGTGCAATATTATAAATTTGTAGAAAAAAGCAAAAAATTCCATGCAAAAATCAAAGAATTATGGCTAGAGGTGGCAATCGGGCCGGGCCGGGCCGATTTTTGCGGCCCGGCCCGCGGGCCGAATTGACCAGGCCGGCCCAGGGCTTTTTCAAATTTGCTCAGGCAGTTCAAAAAAAAATCAATAAAAGGCTAAAAAGTAAAAATCAGTAAAAAAGTTTGAATATGCAAATTTAGAGCCTCCAATGTTTTTATTTTTCTTTGTTGACCGCCCATTCGATGGTCATCCGAGATGAACGGCCGGCTTTCTCTATGGGCAGTTCTCCTGCAATTTCTTTCCGTCCATGCCGTTCATTTTCCTGACGCGATGTCTAGGAAGCTGGAGAACATAACAAAAGATATGGACCCGACTGCTGATCCTTGCAATGATTTCTTCACCTATGCTGCCGGAAATTTTAGCCCAAATATTATGGTTGAGATGAATCTTTATATCAAGAGAACGCTACTGCAATCAGCCCATGGAGATGAGGTAGGACTTAGATCGAGTATGACAAACCCTTTTCGATCTTGATTTACTCGTTTTTTTAGGCTATACGGTCATTTCTTTCAATTTCAGATCCCAAGCGTCCAAAAAGTTAAGTCGCTCTTTGCCGACTGCTTGATGGAACCCACCATGATGGAAGAATCGAACCGTCCAGCATTATACAGTCTGATTGTGAGCAGTTGGAAACAGAGAGGTTATATCTTTCCAATGAAGAACGAAGTTTTCGCCAATAACGACGACCTTTTTATCGAGTTAGTCTTGGAACTGTACGTTTTTCTGTTTTATACGGGAGCCCCGATTTTTAATCAATGGGGTTCCGACGCTTCTGCGGGGAAATTATATCTGAATATTCCGCCAAAGGTCAACCAAGAGCAAGCTTGGTAAGTTATTTGTGAATCACATGAACATATCAATATGTCGGGAAGATAATGACTTATTAATACTGGGGTTCATTGAATACATATGATAACCTTCAGGCAGAAGTACTGCAATGTCACTGGAGGATGTGCCAATCTGGTCTACGACCGGAATTACATGGCTCGAGGTTATGTACAGGCAGATCATTTAAAAGGCCGCTTCTTCAACAGAACTATGGGGACAGGATTAGACGAAACTTTCCCGGAGATTGCATTCTATTTTCCACACGTCATAGATGTAAGTTGTTGGGTTTTGCCTTGTGGCCAAAAGGAAACCTTCTGTGCGAAAATAAAACTGTTTTTTTGCCGGACAAGACACAGCTCCGGCACAGCTTAAAGTAAGGCAAAAAAATTAATGAGTGTGCACGATTCCCGCGGCTTTATTTTGAGCTGTGCCCGAGCAACTTGTGCCAACTTTCAGTCAGTAGTAATTCGTTCCTATCCGCCGGGTCCATTCATTCAGGAAAAAGCTCCAAGCGTCTAAACCACACTTCAAATTCAAGATATTCAAACTTCTTTGGGCACCTCTAGCCTTCCCGTTTCTTCCTGAAACCCGCGAAGAAAAGATGAATTATAAACGATGACTTTTTTCAGCCCAGCCTGTCTGCTCATCGTGCCAACTTTCTGAATCACCTGTTGGAGTATTTTACCGATCAAATTCATCGCCCGAAAAAGTTTTCCAATTGCGAGAATTACATTCAAGAGGCGTTTCCCCTTCAATTTTCCAAAATGGCGTATGAAATGGAGATGAAAGAAGGCAAGGAGGCATTTGAGAAGCTGAAAGCAAAATTCTTCGAAGAAGGAAACGCGATTAAGAAAACCGCTGAAGGCATGCTCCGAAACGCAAACTTCAAGCAGAATCAGACCCGACAAAATTATCTGGACAGATTGGCGAAGAACGAGTTCAAATTTGTGGATCATCCAATTCTTTTTGGAGATGAGCTAGCTTCAGTGGAGCTGTTGTATTGGGGCCCAGTGTATACGAGGCGATTTGAGAATGGAATAGCCAAGGTTTTTAAGTTCAACTCGGAGAAAAAGCTGAAAAATTTTGTCATCCCAGAGTACAAGGCAAGTCTATTCGTTATGAATGCCATCGAAAGGAACACCTCGTCGAGAGGAACCCCTTGTTGAGAGGAACCCCTCGTTGAGAGGAACCCCTCGTCGAGAACAACCCCCGAGTAGGAAATGTTGGATATACAGGTAATCGATGACGGGATTTCGAAAATGATGTTAATTTTTTCTCATTTTTACTTTTTTCTTAAGAGAGGAACCCCTCGCGAGGGGTTCCTCTCGACGAGGGGTTCCTCTCAACGAGGGGTTCCTCTCGAGGAAAACCATTCGTTATATGAAGCAAACATTTTTGGAATGCGTCTTCTGACCTACATATTCCAACAGAATACTTTTTTTCGAGCCTTGAATTGGCACTCTTTTTTCGCTAGCTCTCGGGCTTTGAACTTCTTTGAGACCAAACCCCTAAATCTACTATTTTTAGAAAAAAATCAAAAAATTACTTTTTAACATTACTACTTAAACAAAAAAGTAAGAATCAGAAAAAACGAATATGATTTTTGGAATCTACGCCATCGATTACCCTATTTTTGATCTTTTCGGCCATTTCGGGCAAACATCGAAAGAGACCCCCGATTCCGGGGTCTCTTTCGAAGGAAACCAAACAACACCATTAACGCCACAAGCCATATTTTCACCTCGTACTGTATAGTACCAGATAGTACTATAAAGAGGAAAGCTAACATGATTTTCGAAATCAGCACCCTCGAAAACCCCTAAATCGACTATTTTTAGAAAAAATTCAAAAAATTACTTGTTAACATTACTACTTAAGGAAAAAAGTAAGAATCGGGAAAAACGAATATGATTTTTGGAATCTACGCCATCGATTACCCTATTTTTGACCTTTTCGGCCATTTCGGGGAAACATCGAGAGAGACCCCCGATTCCGGGGTCTCTTTCAACTCGGGGTCTCTTTCGAGGAAAACCATTCGGAATGCTGTGCCCTGTACAAGAATTCGATCGCTTTGCTTTGCAGTGTCTTTTTTGAGCAATACTAGTTCAAAACCGTTTTTTCAAACTAAAATAGGTCTATATGTTTTCGAGAATAAAATTTTGATATTTTATCTTCAGTTTGGTGCTTTCCACTCTCGAGAGAATCAGCACAATTACTTTCACTTTCGCGCAGTTGACTATCCGTACTACGATGTCGACTTTCCCGCTTCTCTCGATTTCTCTGGAACAGGGCTTATGATGGCCCATGAATTGGCCCATACTTTCGGCAAGTGATGAAATTGACCTTAAAAAATTCCCGTTTTTTAGGAGATAATTTGCTACAAAGTCATGAGGACCCGGACAAGGAGCATCGTGCTCGGTGGGACTGTATTACAAAGCTCTACAGTCAACAATGTGATCCACAAAGACCGGACTTCTGTGTGGATCCCAACAAAATCGCCGACGAGGCATTTGCGGATCAAGTTGGTGAGTATTAGCCGCATTATTGCAGGACTAGATAAACAATTCCTGGGGAGCGGTTATCTTCCCTGGAAGTTAAGCGGGAGAAGCTGGGACACTAAAATAAGTCGTGAAAATTTGCATAATTGAACTGCGTCGAGCTACGTTCTATTCGTCAGTCTAGCGCAGAAAGCACGCCGATTTATTTTCCTCACACGGGAGGTACTTTTATGGAAGCTCCAACTTTTATGGTTAGACGGGACTTTTGTCACAGGTATTTTTGTGAGCTGCGCCCTTGTTTTGTGAAAATGTTGTTGCCATTTTATACAAAGGATGTGCACACAGCCTGAGGCGTTCAAATCACGTTACGGGTTAAGTTATGCAACCTTTCTTGAGCAACTTTACGTCTTTACATTGAGCGGCGGAAGAAGGGAAGTTTTTGTTTCGAGAGTAAGCCCCAAAACAAGTCGTCCACACGTTTTAGACTTACCTCAATGTCATTTTAGGTATTCGTCTGGCCTATTTTTCCCATTTCGTCCCTGGAAATATTTCGGAGACCCGAATAATGCAACAGTTCTCCAACAGACAACTTTTTTTCATCAACATGGCCCAGACAATTGCGACGACGGTGCGTTGGAACGACTACAATGTAGCGAATCCCCATCCGCCAGCTCGAGTTCGTGTTTGGGGAGCTCTTGCCAACTTTAAAGGATTTGCCGAGGCTTTCCGTTGCCCTGTTGGTTCGAGATATCACCTTCCAGTAGACCAACGATGCAATATCTTTGACTTTGACATCGATAGCACCACTACCACGACAACTACGACCACGACAACCACGACCACGACAACTACGACCGCTACAACAACGACCACGACAACTAGGACCACAACTACAACGACCACAGAAATTACAACAACGGCTGCAACAACGACTACACCAACTACTATTGAAGCAACTGCTGCGACGACTACAGAAAAGGCAACAACCAGCACTGCAGCGCATCACGAACCAGTTGTAACTGACGGAACTCCTCATGCCAGTACGAACACTCCACCGGCCCCTGGACCAACCAAATCAACTCCGAACCCACATACGACTACTACGCAATCTACACAAAGCACTACTCCCTCTATGGCAACTACTCCCTCTGAACCAAGAACTACCCCTCATACGCGAAGAACCACTCCCTCCGCGACAAAAACTACTCCATCTTCACCGGAACCAGACTACAACCACGAAGAATATGGAGAAGTTGTCCCCAAAAAATCGATTCTATTCTCACCGCCGTCTGTCTTATATCCCATATTGTCATTTGCATATATTATGTTGTAATGAACAGAAATTTGGGTTTAGTTTACTCGGTTACGAAAATTCAAAGCACCAAAAATTTATTCAAAATTTTTAAACCCCAATTTGAAAGCATAGGCAACGAAATGGTTGCGTCGTCCGGGTTCTAATGTTTAATAAGGCTCATATTTTCATGTAGCACCGGAGGAAAAGGACAATTCAGAACCTTACACTAAGATTCACCTGGCACTTTTACTTGAATAAAATTGGGAGGGGAAATCATTAAGATAAATAATCCATTCTACAAAGCATTTGTGCTTTATTTTGCTGGTTTAGCATTAAAAATTTTTAACTTATCTACCTTCCGGGCCGGGCCGAAAGTGTCGGCCCGGCCCGCGGGCCGAAGCGGTCAGGCCGGCCCAGGGCTTTTTCAAATCTGCTCAGGCCCGGCCCGGCCCAATCACCGGGCCGGGCCGGCCCAGCCCAATTGCCACTTCTAATTATGGCCAAAACCCGTTCATCGTCAAGCCGGATCTCGCGTGCTCACTCAACAAGAGGACCGGTAAATATCATGGTGAAAGACGCAAACGGGCCTAATGTAAAGCACTTTTGGAAAACTTGAAAGAAGCCAGAATTCAGTGTAACCCCTGCGCAACAACTTCCCATGCAGTGAAAGTTTGTAAAGCTAAAAAATCTTCCAGTCGTCAGAATCAATATAAAACTCTGTACATATAACTATAATATTGTAAATCCTTTTACAAAATACGTTTTTGGTCCTTTGCAATTCTATACAGAGGCTGCAGAAGTCCTGGCGGCAAGCTTAGCATATGAATTCCAGTTGCTTTAATTTGCAAAAATTTCACTTGATTTTTTGCCCTCAGTTTTTGATTTGCCGTTTGCTTTCCACAAAGCTAACATTCGTTGCCCATAATTGCATGGAAGTCAAATAAAAATTTTTTAATTTGTCACATGACATCATCGGTTAGAAGTCAAACTATAGCTTTGCTGTTCATATTACGTGAATATTATACATCCGGAAGACGGATATTACGTTGAAAAAAAGAGATAATGTTTGGTGAGGAAATTAGTAAACCCGGTGAGGAATTGGAAAGAGATCTTTGAAACAAAGGTGTGAAAAAGAGATTTTGTCCGCTCGTGAAGTACTGGGTAATCTTAAAATTTTGCATACGTTTTCTGTGTATGTTTTCTGTATCATCCGGGGTTTTATCTATGTAAGTTTTGTCAATATCCTCAACCGTAATGGACTTCAAGTTTGTACAGTAAATGTTGATCATTTCAAAGCAAGGAGAAATTGGAGCAGTTTGTGAAATTTTTGGAACAAGGAACCCTTGGGTTATTCTCAGGAAATAAGAGGGGGTTCCTGGTAAATTCAAATTTTTTTCGGCTACGATGCTCAGCCACGCGTTTCATTGATTTTTTACGAAATGTCGAATTATCGAGTCACACAAGGAAACTTTCTCAGAGTTGAAATGAATCGACGAGAGTGATTGTAGGAATTGGAATCAGGTGTATAAGGAGGAGATGTAATATTGTTTTTGTGTGTAATTTTTCAGAGTACAGTAATGATGATGGTACATTGGTGTCAGTTTCGGTTACTGGCCATGTTGCGTATTTTTGAGGTATCATTGGAATGGAAGAAGAGTCGGACATTTGGCCGAAAGAGGAAAAGACGTTGTGTTTCGCCGGAACAAAGGGCCGTTTAAACAAAGTGTGTTTACAAGAAACGGAGCGGGGGCACTTACAAAAGTGGCCAGATCAGAAGATAAGAACAGAAAAATGCGATGGCAGAAAAATGCGATGGCAGAAGCGCCAGGACGGATCAGAAGACGCTGACACAGTCATTTTTGCGGAATTGTGAGGGCTGCGGGCTGACCGCTCGTCGCTCAGGAAACGAAGAAGATGAGTTTTTATGGCGCAGGGTTACGGTAGTTTGATTTTTGTGTTGGGGTTACACATTAGTTACCAAGATGATGGTACAATTTTATGATGAGTATAATATATCACGCTATACGTGTATTAAGATTGTAACGGTATTGGGTAGATTTTTGGACTGGATTGCTGTTATAAATTATGTTATACGTCTACGATGGTATTTGGTAGATTTTTGGGCTGGATTGCTGTTATAAATTATGTTATACGTGTATAAAGGTGGTAGATTTTTGGGCTGGATTGCTGTTATAAATTATGTTATACGTGTATAAAGGTCATAACGGTATACGGTAGATTTTTTTGACTTGGATTAATGTTATAAATTGCGTTATACCACAGATGACAACGTGTCATGAGGATCGCGGAAATCACTGTATTTTGGGTTATATATCTACGCGAAGGGGTTTATGGAGATAGCGTGAAAACGGTATTCCATTGGTTGTTAAGTTGGGTGACATTGCAGAGTTTTTTTTCTTCAAACCAACAATCTGCGATCAAAGAAAAATGATGGGAAGCAACCAGGCTAGACCCGTTGAAGAGGGGGAAGGACGTGTCGAACAGGAGAATATGGAGATGGGCCTTGTTGAACAAGAAAATGTAGTGATTGGCCAAGTGGACCAGCAGGGCGATGAGGAACTCGACCAAGAGAGGAATGTTCAAGTGGATGGTGGAACCAGAATTGGAGGAACAATTGGCAAGAATGGAGGAGGAAGACCGAGAATCTGATGCTGATGATGGAAGAGAGCACAGGAACATCATCGAGGATCAGCGCATTAGACTAGCCGAGTACCAACTACGCATCGAGGAGCGTGAACGGGAAATCGTGGAGTATTTGGAAGTCATCAGAGAACTCGAAGGCACGGTGGGCTCCTTGCAGGCGCGCATGGAAGATTTAGAGGAGAGACTCCAGGTCATGGCCCACGCGCCGATGTTGATGACCGGACTACCAGTTTTCACAAAGTCTACGATGGATATAATGACTGAACCGGTGTTTAGCGGTAGAAGATTGGACGTCGCGCGCATGCGCCAAGTGTACGCGGTCTTCCCCAACGCACCGTTTCACCGTCTCATTGGCACCGAGACGAGAGGTATAAGAAGGCCGGTAGATGGAGCTCCAGTTGAGTATATTGTGGGGTACACAAATGGTATCTTTTCCCTCGCGGCGACGCGGGAAGAACGGTATGGATCGGTACCCGAATTTGTGCAGCTGGGCACAAAAGAGTCGAATGCCCACATTTCTCTACCAGTGGGTTCGGTGGTCGAAGTATCAGACTTCTGTAATGTGATCAACGCAGAATCGAATGCGAGTGTATTAAGAGGATTGACGGGATGCAAGGTGCCTGGAATGGCGGGGTTACCGCACCCGTCGGGTATCGCGACGAGATTTCGGGTAACTTTTCGACCATGGACCAGAGACGAGAGAGCGGTAGTCTCCAGGGTAATCTTCACACGAGATTACAGAGACCGCGAAGTTCCATCAGACGCGCATTTCCGCGCGGTATTAGCACTCCAGCGGAATTTGGAAGAACGATTGTCGATGGGATTCGACCAGTTTGTACGAACCTCACCGAGACCGAGTGAAAATGACGTGGTAATAGTGAGGACAGCGGTGGCTTACCCAGAAATGAGGGCCAAGTGCTACAGATGGGACGAAGAAGCACCGATGTTGTTGTTGCCTATCTACATGGTACAAAAATACTCATCAGTGGGTCGTTTTGAGGAGGTTGGAGATGGTTGTCCATATTTGGCTGGACCATCAGCGGAGCACTTGAATTTGTTGTGAACAGGGTATGTGCGTAAGAGGATAACTGTTAGAGTATGATAAGTCTTTTTGTATTTTGGTAAAAAACGTTGGTATTTCTATTTTCCCTCCAGGGTATTTTGGTATAACTTCATTTTCTTCCAGGGGTATTTGGTATACTGTCATTCTGAACTGGATATTCGTTTTTTGGGTACTATGGTTCCACTGATGGTGTAATTCAATGGTTAACAAAGTACTTTTTGGAATTTGGAATCTTCAAGGTTTATTGGTTTTCATAAGGCTTATTATTATTGTATTGGATTATTGTATTGGATTATTGTATTGGATTATTTTATTGGGTTTCACACACACACTGTTTAAGCTACGCTGATATTATATGGATTCTACACCCCTATTAATTCACCACCAATGTTATGATATTATGTTTCACGTGGCTCGCCAAGACCTACACTTATGTCACTGTTATCTACCAGCAACTCGTTTATTCAATTTGAATTTGGTGGACTTCTTTCTAAAGCGATGGAGGAGTCAGAGGTTCTTTTATGTGTGCACGCCCACTAAAAGGATGGATTTTCAAGAAGAGAGAATGGGAGATCAGATGGATATTTCCTAAGACATAGATTGGTGTTCTCTATCAAGTAGATACGTTTTCTTTCGAGAAAAATATTTTTTCGAAGAGAAAAATAATTTTTCGAACTCGATAATTCTGTGGCACTGGGCAAATGATCGATGATCCGACATTCCCTTTTTTAATTTTATTGAAAGAATTCTTTTGACGTGCCATACCGATTTCTATGTCTCGCAAATTGCAGAGCTCAAGAGAGGATAAGACGCGTCCTGAATGGTACAATGGAAATAACCACTTGCATCTTTCGTAGTTTTTGCTCTTTATGTGCCTTGCACAGTGCAGAAGAAAAAAATTGCATGCATCATGGCCGAAAAAAGTTTTAAATTTCCCCGGAACCTCTCTTATCTGCAATGTGCAGTTCTGGTTCTAATGGAATGGTTCTAACGGAATGGCCCCCTACACAACCACTCGGCCGCTACAGGATAAGATGGAACAAGGATTTCCAGAAGCATCATAGCCAGCGAAGCAAAAATCTTGCAGACTTTTTTTCTGGTCGAGCGGTCGGTTTCTATTTTTTCGTCTGCGAAAATGATGAACAACTCCCTGATCCAACCTCCTGATTCTAACAATGACATGTAGAAACTCATCATGGAACAACAGCGGACTATGTCAGGTATGGAACAAAATTTCCAAACTTTTGGCCAAAGTGGAATCCTTGGAAGCGCAAGCCATGGCACACCCCAAAGCAACCGCTAACATCCCATTATCCCTAGCTGAAATTGCCAAGGAAGTCCAGCAGCAAGACGACAAAAAGTTTACGGTGGTGTTCGAATCTGCTGCAGAAACAGAAGACGAAGCTACCAACAACGCTGCTGACAAAGCTCTGGCCGAAAGTCGAAAGTTGCATTGACAGGACAATAGAAACCATACTGTTTCCAGTCATGGTTTTTACATGTGGTTAGAGAAATAAATTGAGCTGAAAATAGTGGAATAACAATTAACACATTACACTTTCTTATGGAGAAGGCACTCAGACGGAGCTTTTTTTGAAGACAACGTTGATCTCCGTTGTTTCCTTGTTTTCGGTAAAACGTTGCTTTCGATTAAATAGAATTGCTTTTTGATTTTCCATTTGATAAACATGAGGGAATTAAACTTTACCAATATTTATGCTCTTATTTGTGTTTTCTCGTCTGACATTTTTAAGGAGAAAGTCGAAAGAATTTTACATTTTTTGCAAGGCTCTCGCTGCAAAGCGCGTGCTTAAATTATCAGGAATTGATACGCGCCCCATGCCTGGAATATGCGCGCAATTTAAAGAAGACATGGTCGTCGTTTTTCTCGATTACTTCCCCTGTAAATCAATCGCCTACAAATTAGCGATCAAAAAACAAGATACACCTCTGTCTTGTAAAGTTTTGCCCTAACTATTTGAAGAAAAAATGATTCAAACTACGCGGAAAACCCCAAACTACTTGTCACAGCAGATTAGGCAACTCCTCTGTAAACACGTCTATGCTTTGGGAAGAATGGTGGCATTATGAGAAAATAGGAAGAGCAAGTTGATTGCAGTCAATCAGTCAGCTCTTACTGTATCTTGTTTGCTTGCAGGGGAATTATTCCAAGTGCGACGCTCAGATTTTAATGAAAATTGGCACAAATCTAGATTGTTTTTTATAAGTCATGAGAGAAGCTACCAACTCGCGCTTTTCAAAAACGGTCGGTATTTTTTAGATAGAAAGTCTACAGAAATATGCAATTTTTTTGCGAATTTTGGCGTGAAAAGAGGCATGCCATAGTAGGCGATAATGTTTGCACAAAATACTCCATAAGAAACCGGCAAATAATATACAGGGTGGGGCATCTTTGTGGCCCGATTTGAATTGGCTATAACTTCTTTAGCTCTTGGCCAAATCTTAAAATTCTTTTTTTCCCTGAATCCTCTGACAACCCCATTTTGTTTGACACCAAATATGTTATACATAGTAAGTGTATATCTACAGTTTTTGGATTTATTCTTGGAGTTCATTTTTCCTCGGTTCTGACCAAACTTCGTGTAGTCATATGCGGATTTTCTCGGAATTTTGACAAAACTTCTGCAATTTTCAGCTCCGTTCGTACCCATCTTTTCTGCTTTTTTTGTTTCCTGTTAACGCTGCCAGTCTCAAGAAACTTATTCCACGAACGTCGAATTGTCTTGCGATCTGGAAGTTGGGCATTACGTCCGTATTTCATGCGGCATTCCCTTTGAACATTTATCGCCGAACCGTACTTTCCGTACCAAACCACTGATCAAGCTTTTTGTTCCACACCGTACTCTATTTTCGGACACACCGGGAAAGACCGAAAAAACAACCGAAAAATGACCGAAAAAATGAACTCCAAGAATAAATCCAATAACTGTAGATATACACTTACTATGTATAACATATTTGGTATCAAACAAAATGGGGTTGTCAGAGGATTCAGGGAAAAAAAGAATTTTAAGATTTGGCCAAGAACTAAAGAAGTTATGGCCAATTCAAATCGGGCCACAAAGATGCCCCACCCTGTATTATATAAAAGTGAAGAATTCACTTGCTGAAAAAGACGCTAAGTTTGCTTTTTTGAGCTTTTTTTTCTAATGTAGGCCTAATTTTTTCCATTCTATAATATTTTTTCAAAAAAAATGAGGAAAGCGTTTTTTAACGTTTTGCTTTGTAATGGCCGGTGCGATCTTATCTCTTCACTCTTATATGACTCTCCGCGTTTTGCATACTCTCTCGGCCGCAAGGATCGTTCAATAACTTCGCTTCGCCTGCGAAGCGCGAGCTAAAACTTGCGGGAATTGTCATGCGACCCAAGCCCAGCGGGTGTGCAAAGTTCAAAGAAAATCTGAGCTTGAAAGCCTTCCTTTTCATAAATAGACTTTTGATATTTGTGAGGCGTTATCAAGGCGATTAGTTGATAAAAATATAAGTTTGTCTTTGCGAGATGGATGTTTGCAATTGGAAATTTTCTGGGTTTTTGAAAAAAAATTTCGGAAGCATAAAATGTCCTAATTTTACTCAAAATTTTTGTCATGTTTTCAAATTGCGGGATCGCAATATGAACACCTTCTGAGATTTTGAAGGTTGTTTTGCTGTCTTCATTTTAGTCAATTTCACAATACATTTCCCAGGCTATCGTCACAAAGATCATTTTTCTTCAGATCCCGCTCTACCTTTCTCCACAGCTAAACCATGATTTTTTACCTCTTCCTAGCCGCAATTGCCCTCCTGCTCTTTCACAATTACTACTGGAAGCGTCGCAATCTCCCCCCTGGCCCACCTCCCCTCCCCTTCCTTGGCAACATTCTCTCATTGGCCAACGAAACCCGTTGGGAAGTGAAATTCCAGGAATGGACCTACCAATACGGCACAACTTTCACGTATTGGCTGGGCAATCTTGGGTTTGTGGCGGTATGCGACTACAAGGATATGGTCAAGTATTTCGTGGAGAATGCGGACGTTTTCTCGGATCGGTTCTGGTTGAAGAATGCGGTGGAAGAGGTTCGAGGTGGGCAATTTGGGGTCTTGACATCGAGCGGCGACATTTGGAGGGAACATCGGAGATTTGCGTTGAAAGTCTTGAGGGATTTTGGATTGGGAAAGAATGAGATGGAGGAGAGGGTAAGTGGCTAATATTTTGTCAAGATCTTTGTGTATTCGAGCCTGTATATAACGCCACTTGTCTGTAACGAAAAAAAAAATTTCAGCGGCTCCAAGAGTCAATTTTAAACCTCCTTAGAACAAAACCTTCTTATAACAAAACTTTTTTTCTCCTTTGAAATGTGTTATACCGAGGTTTGATGGCCTACGCATATACACACGTATGCATTTTTTCAGATTCTGGCTGAGCTCCATACAGTTTTGGAGAAAGTGAACAATCAAATGGGTGCCGAAGAAACCGACTTTTTCAAGTTCTCTGATATGGCTGTTGGGTCCATTATCAACTCTATTCTCAGCGGGTATCGCTTCTCCGACGTAGGTATTCCACGGAGAAGAAATATACATATATTGGCAGAGCTGATCCAGTGGCAAAAAACGTATCATGTTGGATCCTGGAGGTATCACAAAATGTGGCAAAATACCTCCCTCTCCAAGTGAAAAAAAACTTCAAAAGCGTCTCGCTTTTTTATGCCCTTCTAAACGAAGGTTTTGTAGTTGGAGAGGGAGGCATTTTACCACATTTTTTGATACTACCCGGATGAAAAATGCTACGGTTCTTGTCACTGGATCAGATCCACTGTATATTTTTACAAAACCAAATTTTAATATAACCGCTTTTCGCATGAATTTCATAACCTTGTAGGGCCACGAAGATCAGTTCGAAGAGATGAAATTCGTTACAGCCGAGGCCATGAAAGCCTTTACCAGCGCGGAGGCCAACTTTGTCTTCAACAACCCCTGGCTAATGGAGGTGCCGGTGATAAATCGACGCGCCAAAGACGCCGTCAAGTACATGGCGGCGATTTTCGCGTTCCTGGACAAGCAAATCCAACAACATTTGGCCGAGAATGATTACACGCAGGATCTGGAGCCCAACGATTACATTGATGCGTATCTGCTGGAAAGAGAGCGGCATATTCGAAGTGAGGGAGACGAAGGGCTCTTCCACATGACCCAGTTGCGCAACATGTTGACCGACTTGTGGTTCGCGGGCCAGGAGACGACTAGCTCGACGATCACGTGGATTATCGCCTACTTGATTCGTCATCCGCAAGTGCAGGAGAAAATGCAAAAAGAGCTGGATACGGTGATTGGGAGCAATCGAATTATCCGCAATGCCGAAAGGAATAGTTTACCCTATACGAATGCTGTTATTATGGTGAGAAAAAGGTGTAGAATTAAGAGAAATTTTGGTTTTAGGAATGCCAAAGGTGCTGCAATTTGCTGAGTCAAAACATCCCACGAGCCCTTCAACAGGACTTTGAGATTGATGGCTACAAGTACAAGAAGGGCACAATTGTCCTCCCTCAAATCTCGGTGCTTCTGCGCAATCCGAAGGTAAGGAAATAGGCGGGTTTCTTTTAGAAAATGATGCCAAATTAACCCTGTACCAAGGAATTTATTCGTTATATAATATAAATCTGTCGGGAAAATAATGAAGATTTGTCGAAGAAAAATGTCTCACGTCGTCGTAGCCGTGCACCAAAACCCTAGCCGTGGGCAGCTGTGGTAGGCGATGGGGAATTTGAAAGGCGCAATAGATCCACATTATTTTTCCGACGGACTGATACAGTGGGCGACCTGATCCAGTGGCAAAACACATACCATTTTGCATAAAGGACGTTTAAAAAATGTAGCAAAATACCTCCGTCTTCAAGTGAAAAAAACAGCGGTTTCAAAAGCCCGCGCGGTCTTTTTGTGAGGTAAATTCAAAACGGAGTTTTTTTTTTAGCTGGAGAGGAAGGCATTTTGCGACATTTTTGATACTTCCTGGATGCAAAATGAAACGTTTTTTGCCACTGAATCAGGTCCGTCACTGTAGATGAATTTTGCTGCACCGAGGTTGCAGTGACTTTCGAGGATTTTGGAACTGTTTATTTATAAATGGAAAGATTTTGTTGTGCGTCCTTTCAATTTTTCCAAGTCCGAGAAACTGAATTGAAAATCATTGCACAAATTTTCCAAGTTTCACCAATTTCGGGCTCCAAAATTTGGAATAAAAATGTCGAGGGTCAGTACGGAAGCCTCGGAGAACTTCGGCCCGTCATATTTGGTGGACAAAAAATAGGGTACCTTGACTTCAATTTGACATAAATTTTATCGAAATTGGTGCATTAATGGCGGAGAAATGCTTGACATAAGGATGGAAGCTTCGGCTGAACCACCCTGTACAAAGCAACCCTTTTTTCTTTCAGGTCTTCCCAGAGCCCGATAATTTCAACCCCGACCGATTCATCGACGAAAATGGAAAGCTGAAACAAGTGGAAGAGCTGATCCCATTCTCGATCGGCAAACGAATCTGCTTGGGCGAGGGAATGGCCAGAATGGAGCTGTTCCTCTTCACGGCCAACTTCTTCAACCAGTACAAGTTTTCGGCCGGAAAGATTGCGCCAACCTTGAAGAAGACGAGTGGAGCCTCGACGATGACCCAACCTTACAAATGCAAGATCGAGTTGAGAAAATGAACGGAGGGTTTTGACAAAAATAAAGTAAATATATGTATACAATATATAGTATATATAAAGTATATATATATTATAGTATGAATAAATGCATTTTTGATAACGAATTCTTATAAATAAAGCATTGAGATCAAGGAGGAACCTTTTTCAGTGCCTAATTTTCACCCAGCTCTTGTTATTTTTTAAATGAAACTTTTCGCATCAAAATTCTTCTAATTGTATTTATTAAAGCAATATACAGCGCAATGTTAGTTTCTTTACAGTGTAGCGACTAAGCACCTATTGATTTAGCGTCTGAACACCCTGCGGAACTGATTGTCTCCACCATCCATGTCGCCACCCCTTCCTCTTCCCATATGCATTCCTGGAGCACGCATGCCCGCCGCTTTCATCTCATTCAACGCTGAGGGATTCTGCTGTAGAAGCGCCATCATTCTTTTATGAGACTCGGCGTAGCTTAAGGACTGATCCATCATAACGGCCTGAAAAGAAGGGCTTTAAAATTCAAGTCTACCAACTCACATTAATCTGGTTGTAAACCGCCTTCGCGCTAGCGCTCAGTCCACCAGCCTTCCTGTCATTGTCGGCTTTCATCTTTTCCATCCTAGCCTTTCCAGCCGCCATCATAGCTCTGGCTTCGGGATTCACAGTGGCAGCGAATTGGTCGAATCTCGCTTTAGCTTGACCTTTGGGCAGATTACGTGTTTCCATCATCATCTCCATGAATCGACCTTTTTGCTCGGTAGTCAGTGTTTGCAAAACATCTCCAAATCTTCGTCCACCCATTCCCATTCCAAAACGACGGGCCGTTCCCATCCCGGGGGCCTGGGAAGTGGCTAGAAGAGTCGCGGAAAAGAGGAGAGCGGTGGTCAAGGAGTTCATGGTGATTCTCAAATGATATCTATGAAATTAATTGGTATGGATGGGTTTTTAGATCCGCGGAATTTGCAATACAAACCCGCAAATTTTCTCAGGATTTCCCAGACGGAATCTAAGCGAGCTTCAGGCCTAGTCATTGAAATTTATTTTTTTCCTTATGCAGAATTTTTGCTAGTAAAAAATAAATTTCTCTATCGCCAAATTCCTTCAGTAGAGAGTCAGCGACGCCTTGATTTTGTCAAGTGTAGTTGACCAAATTCAACGACAGTTGACAAAGTCCCTAGCCTACAAAAAATTCCCATGCCAATTCAACTTTTCCCTTCTGCTTTTATACTCTCGTCGAAAGGTCCACAGTAATATACGGTTGTATTCGTAGGCGGCGCAAAGATCATCTTCAGCCTTTTACTTTCTTCTTTCAAATTGCCCAATTTGGATGTTATTTGTAGAATATAAAATCTCGCTTTGTATTGTGTGATCTGCTCTGCTCGCCAAGCGGTACTTTTCTTCTTCAAAAATTAATCAAAACGCCTTTTGAAGAGAAAGATTCAGCGAATTCGATCAAAGGCGATATTCGAAATGACGCGGGTCGTCTTTTAGACTACAAAATATCTTCTATTTTTGGTCTTTAATATGTCTTGTATACCTCGAAGCAGCCCTCCAGACAAGGGTCGCAGGAAACAATGGTAGAGGACACACACAAGTTTTTACATCGATACGAACAATGAAGTTAAAATTTTTTTTATATATAATAAAAAAATCATTAATGCAAGGTATAATATTTTTGTTTTTATTAGCAAAATTAAATTTCATTTTTTAAAGTTTCAACGATGTTTAGCTTCTTTGCTGAAGAGGGCACTTGTAGTTCAGCTGAATCAACGGTTAAGCCTTTGGAATCATCAAACTCAAAGACTGGATTGACAAAGGTTTCAGATTGCTGAAAAATAATGTATGTTTTTAAAGCGAAATGGTCAACGTGCAACGCCCAGATTTGCTTAAATTTGGCCTCCAAGCTCGCGCTTACAAGGGAAGTACCCCAAGTGCGACGCTCAGATTTTCTTTAAATTTTGCACACACGTCGGGAATAGACTAAATATCAATTCCTGAAAGTTTTAGCTCGCGCTTTGCGGGCGCCGCCGAGATATCTAACGATTTTTGCCGCTGAGAGAGCACGCTAAACGTGGAGAGCGTTCAGAGAGAAAAACGCTTTTTGGCCATAACTTTAGCAGTTTCGTGCGGAAAAGTTTGATTTTTTGTAGAAACATTATCCTTTACGGTTGAAATAGGCATGAAACTTTTCGTGCCGAAATTCGACAAAAAGTCCAAAATTTTCGCCGACTTTCGATCTAAAAATCTCGGTTGTTTCTGCAAAGCGCGAGCTAGGATTCTCGCATATATCTTTGAAAAAATTATTCTAAATTTGTGCCAAGTTTCATCAAAATCTGAGCGTCGCACTTGGGGTACTTCCCCTGTTAGCTAAAAAAATTGAGGATTTTAGATGGAAAATGGACAAAAATGCGACATTTTTTTGCAAATCTTGGCATGATACGCATAGCGCAAGACAAACATTTTCATACCGAAAACTACAAAAAAAAACCTGTGCGTTTTTTTCAGAAAACGTTGTAAATGTCATGCAAAAGTTCGAGAGAAAGTCAAATGATTCAAGTGGCAGCAACTTTTTGTAATTTGTGGCTAATTCTCTTACTTATAATTCATAGTTTACCGCAACATCAAAAGACCAATCAAAATTAGCTTGTCACAAATTAACCAATCTTACCTCACTGCCCGCAACTTCTTCATGCCCAGCCAACGTTAAAACCACATTTTCCTCGCCACGGAATCTCACCAAATGCTCTGGGAAGCGACTGTTCTGCCGGTTTATCCAGGACCTCAGCGCTGGGTTTTTGTGCAGCTCGTATCTGAACATGACAGCGCCAACAGAGCAGACGATGAAGGCAACGATAACGAACTCGAGGAATTTGGCTAAAAATGGGAAGTTACACAAAATACAGTGAGCGACAAAATTATAACCGCACTTTAGAAATTGCTGTAACTTTTTGGTTGCCAATAGAAATGTGTCATATTTGGCACCAATGTGCATTACTCTAATACAAACTTTGTGCCAAAAATTTACTTCGGGAAACTTTCCCAATTTTGAAAAAAGTTGAAAAAACCAAAATTTTGGTGATTTTCTTTGCGACAAAATTATTTATAACCGCACTTACGGATTTGGCTAATTATCCTAATTAAACATTGAACAGCAATGACTAATGTTTAGTTACGTTACCAAAACCAAAAAAGTTCCGAGGAATTTCTAAAGTGCGGTGATAATTTTGTCGCGCACTGCAATTCCTGTGGCGATTCGAAAATCTGAACTTATACAGGGTGTCAAAAAAAAATGCATGTTATTTTTATGGCTACATTTTATATACCAAAGAAAATTTCTTGAAAATCGCGGATTTGGATGTTGGTGATCTCCCGGTTGACTGAACTGCTAGCGGCGTGTTTTCCTTCACGTCCTGGATGGAAAAAACATGCATTTTTTTGGGACACCCTGCACAGCGTTCCGAACATTTTTTCCGCCGCCGATCGGTGTCGAAAAAAGGAAAAAATGAAAAGTAGTGCTTACAAGTCGGTGTATATTTGGCTAGCCACAATAGATGTAACTAAACTAAAAAGTGGTTATTAGACTATAAGAGATTGCCATTCCACGTATACAAACTACACCATCATACCTTATGTTAATGTTGAGAAAATGATGATCGAAAATTATCAAAAATTCAACCTTCAGGTAAAAATAACTGTACCTTCCAACCCTTAGGCACACAATTTTTTTTCTTCGATCGTGTGCAGAATTTCAAGAGCTACAACATAGACAGAATCAATAATTTTCCCGGGCCTTTAATCTTAGTTATGGTTGAAAAGGGCCTAATTTTGGCCGTTTTTGCACTTTTTTTTTACTTATTTGCACTTCAAGATTAAAAAGTGAAGATATTCTATATAAAACGGATTGTCATGATCATTGTGGTCATCCATGCCAAATTTCAACTTTTTCTGACACTCCAGAGTCGTTGAATACGAACTTGAATATGGAACCCAAGTGTACTATTTCTGTTGAATAAAATCACGTTAAGTGCTCCAAAATCACTTCTTGAGCGAAAATATGTTGTATACATACACTCTGTGCAAACTTTTTGTCATCAAGCCAAAATATATCGTTTTCATTTCGAAAGTTGAATTCAACAGACAATTCTGACCAATGCCAAAGTGTGAGCTTGCAAACACTTACTGGAATTACCCGTAAAGCTGAGTTTGGCCTTTGTAATCGCGACCTAAGATTCATTGCGACCAGAAGTGCTGTAATTAATGCCAGCCAAGGATTTCATTACTGTTTTCTTACAAAGTTGAAGATACGAAGTTTCCATGCTGACGTTCGTATTCAACGACTCTGGAGTGTCAGAAAAAGTTGAAATTTGGCATGGATGACCACAATGATCATGACAATCCGTTTTATATAGAATATCTTCACTTTTTAATCTTGAAGTGCAAATAAGTAAAAAAAAAGTGCAAAAACGGCCAAAATTAGGCCCTTTTCAACCATAACTAAGATTAAAGGCCCGGGAAAATTATTGATTCTGTCTATGTTGTAGCTCTTGAAATTCTGCACACGATCGAAGAAAAAAAATTGTGTGCCTAAGGGTTGGAAGGTACAGTTATTTTTACCTGAAGGTTGAATTTTTGATAATTTTCGATCATCATTTTCTCAACATTAACATAAGGTATGATGGTGTAGTTTGTATACGTGGAATGGCAATCTCTTATAGTCTAATAACCACTTTTTAGTTTAGTTACATCTATTGTGGCTAGCCAAATATACACCGACTTGTAAGCACTACTTTTCATTTTTTCCTTTTTTCGACACCGATCGGCGGCGGAAAAAATGTTCGGAACGCTGTGCCCTGTAGAAGGGAAACATTTTTCTTTTTTAAAAGACGATTTCTGAGTCAGTGCGTTAGCCGTGGACATAGGAAAAAATCGATTTTGAGTTTTTTGCATTAAAATGACTGTTGGAAGGGGCTAAGCAAAAGCGAACAATATTTTTTCCCAAATCCTTCGTTAAGGTATATTTTTTTACAATTAACTGTTTTAGAAGTAATCGCCTCTAGCTGTGGTATCTTGCCTTACAGTGCAGTGCTTTGACGGCTACCATAGTTTTTGACCCTTGCGAACACGATGGAGTGATTATTTTTCCCGGTTTCCTACTGTAACATACCGTAATACCGTATCGACCGCTAAAAAACGGTCGTAAAATCTTTGTTTCTGAAAACCCCCAGCTGATTTTTTGATATGTTAATCAGCGTAAAATTCTGCTCTAGACCCAATCAAAAAAAGTGCAAAAAGTGGTGCGACAAATTTTGTGGTGTAGTGGTTAGTGGGCGGGACTACCATTCCAGCGTCCCGGGTTCGATCCCGGCTGGGTGCAAATGTCAAAAAAATGCCGCAAATCAATTTTAATGTAAAAATAAGGAATGTCCAAAGAACACAAAGCAATTTGTAATGATTATGACACCTCTGTTTTCGAGTAAACCCGGTTTAATGTAATCTTAGCGGCTGAAAACGGAAAAAATAAAAGTGCTTCAAATGTGATAAAATTTATAGATATGCTTCTACAGGTTATTACAAGAAACTTTTCCGTTAGTCTTTTTTTGTAACTTACAGTATAACGGATTACTGTAGCATAATGCAGAATTTCGTATTTTGCGTTCTACATGGCGAAAGAGAGCTGGAAGTAAAGTCATAATGTGCAGAATTATTACCAAGAAGCTTATCTGTGAGAAAAAATATTGTTTATGGCAGGATGATTTGGTATACCTGAATAATCTTTCACCGTATTAGCGATCAACGATGACGTCAGAACATACTCGAAATAATTTGGAATTTTGTTTCGGATAACGAAAGGCGACTTTTTTTGCTGGCAGGGCGGTCTAACAAAAAATCCCAACCTTTTTTCAAGAACATCGAAGGGAACATCGATTTTTTATAAATAGTTTCATGTTACAGTAATCCGTTATACTGTAAGCTACAAAAAAAGACTAACGGAAAAGTTTCTTATAATAACCTGTAGAACCATATCTATGAATTTTATCACATTTGAAGCACTTTTATTTTTTCCGTTTTCAGCCGCTAAGATTACATTAAACCGGGTTTACTCGAAAACAGAGGTGTCATAATCATTACAAATTGCTTTGTGTTCTTTGGGCATTCCTTATTTTTACATTAAAATTGATTTGCGGCATTTTTTTGACATTTGCACCCAGCCGGGATCGAACCCGGGACGCTGGAATGGTAGTCCCGCCCACTAACCACTACACCACAAAATTTGTCGCACCACTTTTTGCACTTTTTTTGATTGGGTCTAGAGCAGAATTTTACGCTGATTAACATATCAAAAAATCAGCTGGGGGTTTTTAGAAACAAAGATTTTACGACCGTTTTTTAGCGGTCGATACGGTATTACGGTATGTTACAGTAGGAAACCGGGAAAAATAATCACTCCATCGTGTTCGCAAGGGTCAAAAACTATAGTAGCCGTCAAAGCACTGCACTGTAAGGCAAGATACCACAGCTAGAGGCGATTACTTCTAAAACAGTTAATTGTAAAAAAATATACCTTAACGAAGGATTTGGGAAAAAATATTGTTCGCTTTTGTTTAGCCCCTTCCAACAGTCATTTTAATACAAAAAACTCAAAATCGATTTTTTCCTATGTCCACGGCTAACTGGCGGCTGATTCACTGACTCAGAAATCGTCTTTTAATTCGAATTTCAGGTCCAAATGAAACCCTGTACAACAAAAAACTTTTTTTAAATTTTTGTTTCTTGCTATTTGTTGTACAGAAGTTTTGACTATATGTAAAGACCATCTGTGAAAATGCGAGATAAACATTTCTCTTTTTGGGACACCCTGTAGAAGGGAAACATTTTTCTTTTTTAATTCGAATTTTAGGTCCAAATGAAACCCTGCACAACAAAAAACTTTTTTTTAATTTTTGTTTCTTGCTATTTGTTGTACAGAAGTTTTGACTATATGTAAAGACCATCTGCGAAAATGCGGGAAAAAACATTTGTCGTATCTGCAATATACGAGATTCTAGACCTCATTTTTGCATTTTTTTATGAAAGTTTATGTCAAAAGCCTGTTAAAAAAGATGAACTTACCGCCAAAACTGGTGGCCTTCCATTGCGAAAAACCGACTTCAATCCTGGTTGATTGGAACTGCTCCGGCGATTTTTGGACTGAAACAAAATAAAAGGCCGTATTTTACATTTTTTTTATCTTTTAAAATATCTTGTTGGCTGTATTTTTTGCCGGTTTTTCTTTGGAATAATCGGCTATCCCTATTTTACATTTTTTTTTAAATTTTTTAAAATATTTCGTTTGAAAAATTTTAATCTTTGAAAAGCATCCAAATTTTGAAGACGACGTATTTTACAATTCTTATTTGTTTCTCACCTCTCTGTATAATATAATACATTTCGTAGAGTAAATGTCGGTATTGGTCGGCGTCAAAGTACTCGAGCTCCGCGGGGATAACACTCAACTAAAAATTCCATATATAATATCCTTCTCTGCAGCAAAATGCACATCAAATAAGAGAATTCAGAGAAACACTCGCATAGAAAATATGGTAAACATCTTGAATACCATAAATATCATAAAATATTAGATGGAAATGTTAGTTGAAAAGATAGGAAAAATCCCCTATTAAAAAATTTTTTCTACTGTAACAAAAAATACCCCTATAAAAAAATCTACCATAACAAAAAACACGCTAAAAATTTATTTTTTACCGTTTAGTTTCAAAAAAAATTAAAGTTTGATGATTTATTTCTCAACACCGCACATCAAAACGTTTTACATTCTACGAAAATTTAAAAATCCGAATGGATAAGATTGTTTGTTATGGTCATAAAACAAACTTTTGTTCAGGAAGTTTTCTTGAAAGTTCATCTCCGGTGTGGAGTAGCGCGAAACATGAACTTTGCGAAAAATCGGGGGTTTTTCGTACTTTAAAGGGCAAAAGGTCAGTTAAACCACCCAGTTTCTTTGAAAATCATGTTCCAAACTATGGAAGGCACTTATATGGTCATTTGCGAATAATTTTCCGTCCCGCCCTGTAGACCAACAAGGTCAAAGTTCATGAAATTCAATAAACTTATTTTAATTCAAATAACCAGTGTAAATCAACAAGTTTTAACGCATTTTCTCAATTACAGTAAATTTTACCTTATTTTAATTTACTTTCATCGTTATACAAGACATTACCATTGAGCGTTTGGGCGGCGAACTCTAGAAACTCTGGACTCTTTCTCTTGACATTCTGGCCGGTCATGGTATCTGGTCCGGTTTTTAATGCTGATCACGATGGGGTTGGTTTCGAATCCCGAAATTTGAAATTTGACGCCCTTAGGGCGTTTTTTCGAATTTTTGAAAATCCGGGGGAAATTTTCCGGATTCGATTTTCGCCCTGAAGCCGTAAGCATAGACGGCTGAAATTTGGCCTGATTATGGCCAGGCAAAATACCCCGAGCCGTATTTTTCAGATTTTTGAATTTCGCTCTAGTTTCCGAGAAATTCGACATACCGTGCAAAAATTTTGAAATCCCGAAAACTTTAAATCGCGTAGTGCGTTCGTATATTTGTCGTATTTTAGAAATCGAATACCCACTGTAGGGTAGTTTTGCATGCTGAATGCTATGGCACACGCAAAAATCCGAAAATTTTGAAGTCTGTGCTTTGAGGGCCGATTTTTCGAAAAAAAAGTGCCAAATGGAACAAAATGCAACTTTTTGAGAATCCCACCGTAGCTCAGAAGCCGAAAAAAATTCAGAAGATACTACATCCAATTTCGGAGCGAACTGCGTGCCGAGTTTTTGAATTTTGACCTAGGTTAAATTTTTTGATATTAAACATGGCACCAAAAATTTCAAAAAATCTCGAAATGATAAAATACAAAATGCGATAGAGAGAAGCGAAACGTGGTTCTAGAGCAAGTCAGGGACGCTGATTCAGAATTCGTTCTCAGAATCCAGAAATTCCGTCATCTTGATGGCGAAAATTGAAAAATTCTGAAAAGTGCGCTGAGCTGAAAAATCGAAAACCTCTGTACTGTAGCGGGTTAAGGTCTCTGTTCTTCCGCAAGACTTCCCGACTATTCTGGATCTATTTTTTTGGACCTTTGCATGCTTCAAAACAGTTTTAATGCAACAAAAAAATCTAAAAATAGGTGAAAAACCCGCAAAATTAAAAAATCGATAAAACTTTTTGCTCTCGAAAAATTTGGAGGCCGTAAAAAATATAATACTCTACTTACCACGCTCTACAATCTTATCCATTCGCTTTTTACTAATTTCGTAGCATTTTTTTGTAAAACCTTGTAGAAGTTTACAAACCTGTTCCACTCCAACCCTAAAAAATCCCGAAACACAAAAATTCTACGTACCCAGAAGGAATCAAAAAATAGAATGCTGTTCTGACTTTCTTATTCACGCAAATACGACCCAAAACAATTACGTTTTCACGGAGTAATTAATTGAAGAAGAAACTAAATTTATTTTCGCTTTTTTGGCAACTTTGGCATTGTGTTGCAGTTTTGATGTGCACCGTATTTTACCCTCCTACCTGGTAAAGCGCACTGCCCGCGAACTGAATCCGAATCAACGAAAAGCCCGTTTTGTTGTCCCGTTCAACTTCCGAATCTCTCAGCGCTTGTTGCGCAGCGTCGTAGTCAAAATCGACTTGACTGAATGTCGCCATCGTCCCGCAGATACTACAGCAATGACCGACTGGACGAATCGGAGTGTCGCAATAGCCAGTGGGGTCGATGCATTTAACGTACGAACAGATCTCGGAGAAGACCTGAAAAAGTCATTTTTTATGGCTGTCGGAAAAATAATGTGCACTCTTTCGCATCAAAAGTCGCATCGACGAAAATGATTTGTTTCCAGAAACTCATATTGTCTTTTCACTTTAGCGACACGATTTGGTATAGCTACATTGTGTTCATTATTTTCCCGACAGACTGATATGCATTGGCGGACCTGATCCAGTACCAAAAAACTTAAAATTTTGCATCCGGGAAGTATCAAAAATGTGGCAAAATGCTTCCCACTCCAAATGAAAAAACTTCGTTTTGAAGGGCGGACCCTATTCCTCACAAAAATTGCTTTAAAATCTGAGTATTTTTCATTTGGAGAGGGAAGCATTTTGCCACTTTTTCGATACTTCCGGAGGCAAATGGCACGTTTTTTGCCACTGGATCAGGTCCGCCACTGTATAAAGGAACCCCTCAAAAAGCCTTACAATTTCATTCAACGTGCTCTGCAATTGCCCCTCTTTTGGTGGGTCGTCTCTCTTGATGACGAAAGCCTCCGGATCCGGACATTGGAACACATACGGAGCGGTGTTCCGACTGGCCATTGTAAAGTTCTTCGCATACAATGGGTTGGTCAGTCGGAAGACTTGTTGGCCTTCTCGAGTGTAGAGGAAATCTTCGAATCCTTGCTTGGTGAGGGACTGAAAAATAAATACTATGAGAACCTCTGTAAAACAAGTTTTTGTGCAAAACTCTCTATAGCAAACAATTTTAGAGGCCGTAAGACTTAAGATAAGAGCTTTTTCGGCTAGAATTTGACGTTAATGAGGTTTATTTTGGCCAATAATTGACATTTGAGACGTCTGAAATTGTATGGTTATAATGAAAAGCCTTTCTATAACAAATGATTTTTTTAGTGCTTTGAAATTTGTAGTATAGTGGTTGACTGTATTTTTTGGTGTTTTTGGAGGTCGTTTTGCTCTAGCAGAAACAGTGGAACCGCAGCAAAACAAACCCGCATACAATAAAAACTCTTTATAACATACAATTTCCTAGATCACAAGAGTCAATTATTGGCCAAGATAAACCTCCTTATAACAAAACTTTTTATTAAGAACATGTTTTCTAGGGCCTTTGAGACTCGTTGAACTCTACCGTATCTTTTGAACCCAATGAAATTGAAAAATTCGATTTTTTCGAAAGTATTTACTTCCCTTTTTTCAAAGTTACTTAGCTTCAAAGCAAAACCAAACAATTTTACCGTGCAGATTTCTCCCTGCAAACCGAATTTGTCTGTGCGGAAAAACAAACTGTTTTCGTTTTTGTGAAGAGAAAACAAACTTGGAAAAAGCTTTTCCAATGGAATATTGAATGAGCATCCGGCCGAAGAACGGCCGTTACTCCCCTATCCTCGGCGCATGTGATTCTCCTGAAAAGTGTAGAGGAGTTTTTTTAAAGATTACAATAAAATTTTGGGGCTTTGATCTGTATAGATGGTTCCTGAGTCGCCGTATCAACAGTGGGCATCTTACCAGCCCATTACTGAAAATTTTTTGTGACCGATTTTTAAATTTAAACCTACCGTACTTTAAAGTATTGTGGTTTTACAGAATATTGGCCAGTGAAATCCTCCAAGAGCAAAAGATCAGATTTTTTTGTTGTTTTGTACACATGTTGCGACAGGATCGCACACCAATTGGCAAAACTTTTAGCTTGCGCTTTGCCAGGGCAGCTATTCAAAAATTTCTGCAGAGAATTCAGGAATAACCTTTTTAAGCCAACCCAGCCAATTTCTAACACAAAACACATATACATATTTTATATGTAGATGGTTTTTTATATTATATGTTTTATATATGGTTTTTTTCGCATCAGTACCAGGGCAACTCCCTAATCCACTGCTTTCAAAATCATAGGAATTTGTTTTCAAAAAATGCTTCTTGAACCTTTAAAAACGCCTGACTAACCTTATGGTAACTATTCAAGCTACTCCATACACCAGCAAACTTAATTCGCAACATCTAACTGCCAAGCTCATCGTTTGAATTTACTGTTGTAAGCAAATATTGGCTGATTGCCAAACACGCCCGCAAAATCACCGAAGTTCTTCAAGCTAGTGGTTGGCCGCAAGTCTGGGCCCGCGGGCCAGGGGTACATCTGCCTGTATCCAAACAGTTTACAAAAAATATAGAAGAATCTTGCAATTTACTCCAAAATTTTCGGCAGATCTCTGAGTTTGCTGCTAAGTTCTGAATTCTATGGCTTCTATTGTCTCTCGCTTTATTTTCGAGATGCAATGTCTGATCCATTTAAATTGTTTTTTAATGCCGGCCATATTATTGCGCCCCACTTTCCAGCGTGTTGTTTTCGCCCAACGCAAGTGTCATTATTTTGAAATTCAATGACTTAATAAGGGAAAAATATACTTCTCTTTGTTCACTTCAGACAAAGACGTCATAAAGTGGGATCTGAAATAGTAATATTGTGACTTTGCCGTTGTTTTGGTTGCCATACATTACTGCGGGTCGCAATGATTTTCAATTTAATGTTATGTTATAGATTGACAGGATTTGGAGCTGACGTCTTTTTTGGCTTGTGTACACGGTATCTATAGCTGTATTCTTCAATGAAGCAATGGGGACGGTCGCTGATGCAAGTCGGTCTTAATATTTAGACTAAACTTTTGCAGGACACATGCAACATCACTGAAAAGCGTTCTATTTCGTTGGGGAAGGATGAAGAGTTTGAAAGTGTTTTTTGGCATTTTCTCTCTTTCAAGAAACGACTTTCAGCCGCAACACTCAGATTTTCCAAAGAAATTGGCATACTGATCTGAACTAGCGACATAGCACACGTCAAACCGAGATAAGCTAAAACAGTTCGATGAATGGCTTGGTAATTTGCCAAAAAAAGACGCGAAAAAACGTTTTGTCGAGGAAGAAATGGGAAATTTTTGGGGGGAGAGAGTACGCTTTTGTGTGCCTTTTTTCTCTCTTTCTCTGCGAAATCAAGACGAAGTGTAAAAAACCGATAGCGAAGAGTCTATTCCGGTCACCGGACTCCTCAGTTTGACGTGTAGCAGTCCTTGAAAGGTTTATCTCCAACTTTGAGAGAGCGCGCAAAACGAGGAGGGTTGGCTAGATGACAAACGATTTTTGCCTATAACTCTCTTTACCTACGGAAAATTTCTGTTGTTTTTTTGTAAAAACACTTTTTACTTCAACAGAAATCGATTTTCAAATTCATAATCGGAAATCGCAAACAAGGGCTTCAAAGGGTTCAACTTTAATTTCTTGCCCTTCAAATCCAATATCAGTCGGTCGGGAAAATAATGAGCATAATATCGTTGGGCAATCAAGTTGCTGAAGTAAAAAACAATTTGATTTTGCCGCGACACAATTTATCTTATCGGCAGAGATGCGATTTTCGAAGCAACAGAGTCCTCATTATTTTCCCGACAGACTGAAAGATGTTTTTTGATAACTTTTTTGATTTCTGTAAAACACAAGTTTATTTGCATATGATTGTTTCAAGATGTTTCTACCATCCATTCTTTACAGTTTTACCTCCCTCCTCCCCATCTATAGTACTCTTTTCAAGTATCCGTGTGACAACAAAGTACATTCAACTTTGTTTTCTTTCCGTTTTCGTCAAATTGAAATTCCGAAAAAAACGGCGCCGAAGACAAAGGTGTCTCGGACCGAAAACTTTTGGACCCCATTCTTGGGCTGGGGCGGAAGGAATCTCCGTCTTTTGTTTCAGACAGTTCGAGCGAGAGGATGTCTTCTCGGTTTCCAACGTATTTGTCGATTTCACAATTACCCGATTCTTGGCCGTCGAAACCGGTGATGCGCAAAGTTTCAAACTCGAAGGATTTGTGGGTGGATGGGGGCAACTGGGGATTGTAAAATACGTGAATTGGGGCATTATCTTGACTAGAAATTTATTTTCTTTTGATTGGAGCCAAAGTAATATTATATTGATATTGTGGAATCTCTGCAAAATACATTATAAGAGACCTAATATTCTCAGCAAGTTTCGGCGTTAAAATACTTCCGGGGTGGGTCCTAGTGTGTAATAGTAAAAGATAGTCCTACGTTTCCACAGTAAATCAATTATTTTTTTTATGGTAGACTGGGAGATTATGAGACTATGGCCAAATAATGTTTTGAAGCTTGGACAAAATGTGGCAATTTTTGGCTAACTTTGGCAATAAAAATTTCCATACCTATTTCTACTGTAGAGAGTAATGTTTCCACAAAAAATCGACATTTTTCAACAGCATATTGGTTGAGATATCTGGGAAAGACATATTTCTCTGAAATCGCTCTTCGTAGCTCTCAAGGATTACATGTTAATTTTCACCAAAAAGAATTTTGAAGATCACGGCCAAGATTTGTATTTCTCTAACCCTCTCTCCTCATATTCTATATTCTCTAGCCAGCAAAGATCATTGAATATTAAGGCAACGCCCACAAAAGGGGACGTAAAGTTTTGATACTTTAACCGTAACCAACGTATAAAAAATAGTTAAACCTCCGTACAAACAAAGGCTGTCTAGCAATTTTAGGGCCAGTAATCATTTTAGGCCAAAATTAGCCTCCACACAACGTGCAACGACACCCTTCCTATTAGCAATATTTTCACAAAGTGAATGGACATTTTTTCCTTTTTGCACAGTGCATTTTGAAACTTTTCCTTCGCTTGTCGCCAACGTATAGTCGATTTTGATTTTTTCTTTTCGCATCGTGCAACCGTCAAAAAATAGGCCATTTGCACTGTGCAAATTTCTGGCGCCAGTTTCAGCGACATCGCTAAAGCTCGTCGCAGCGATACCTATTTTGCCGCACAGTGCAACCAAAAGCCGCACACCAAGAGAAAACTGTCAAATGCACAGTGCAATATGGAGGTTTTTTGTGCACTATGCGCGGCTAGACGAATGCCCATGCCCTCTATGAAGTGCAAATACTAATATAACAAACATATTTTCTTGCCCTTCGGCTTGTTATTCATACTTTTGACTCTGTTTATACATCAAAATCGCCCCTCTACCGTATTATTTCCCCATTCCCAGACACATCAGCCTACAATCAAAAAACTACATTTTGTCCAGCGAAATTAGAGTATACATACGATCGAGTGTTTGCCCGAAAATGAAAACATGGAGTAGCCGAGTTTCTCAGACGCTCCGGTAACCCATAACCGTGCGAATTTTTAAATATTACATGCGTTTGCGGCCCGTGTTTCTTTTCGTCTTCCCGAGCCCATTTTCGGAAGCGGATTGCCTGGAAACTTTGCCGTTTCCTGAACGGGTTTCTCGTCGAGAATGTTTAATTTCGGAGGAAGAGCACGCTGGGAGGTCAATGGGACGAAATTATTAATGGCTTCTTTGTGGGGATAACAGAGGTTCAATTGCGTCGGTTTTTGTGTTGATCATGTAGGATGGGCGCATTAGAAATTTGAGGAGTCAAGGAGGAGTTTTGTCTCGGTGTTTTACTGACGCAATTGGAGTCTACAAGCCGTCTATGGGGCAAGGAAGATATTGCAAAACTAGAGCTATTCTTTGCTTGCTCTAGGAAGATATTCAAACTGCGACGCTCAAATTTCATATAGGTTTATTCGAAGTTGCATATAAATTTTTGATAAACATAACTTGCGCTTTTCGACAGCAACAGCAGCGCGTAAAATCTTCGAAATTTACCCTCCCGGTAAGTGTCGGACAAAAATTTCAGCGTTGATTTTTTATCACATCTCTTGCAAGAACGACGTTTCTGTACAAAGACTAATAGACTAAAAATCTTTCCTATACTGCCGGGCAGAAAGCTTTGACCACCCATATCTCAAGTGAAAATAACGGAACCAGTATGATACTTGGCATGTATACTAGTCAATACAGGCAGAGTGATTAACAACTGAGCTAGAGGAGGTCAGAGGTCTATGTCAAAAATGTTATGTGAATCTTTTTCCACATAAATTTATCTGCAAAATACTTGGTATTTCATTTTTCCCCGACCAAAACCCAACTGTTCACAGTCTAATTTCTCTATAATTTTATCTCAATTTATTGCAATTTACCTCAAATCTAATCATCTCTCTTATTTCCTAAATTTATAGCTGTTCTCTGGCTTCAAAGTCCATTTTCAATATCATTATTTTCTGTTTTTTCCAATTCCATTTCAAAACCCCTCCGGCATTCCAAACACCTCAGACAGAGTTCGCTTTATGCCAATACCCATTTCAATCATAACTCGTTATCTTCGCCACCTGCTTCACACTCTTTTTCGGCCGGGGATGAAGATGTTTTCGAGGACTTTGGAACGGGTTTTGTCGTCACAAGTAGGCCGAGAACATAAGACCGAGATGAGAATATTATTGTTATTTTTGTGTGTTCAGCTGGGAGAACAGTCTTGTTGTGTGATCGGTATGCTCGCTCAAAGCTGTTACATAAGGTTTCTGTTGTTTTTGGGAGGTGAAAATGGTTTTTTTCAATTTTTTTGGTGTTTATTTTTTACTACGGCAGTTATTTTTTTCTGATCTTTT